AAACTAAATTATTTTATTGATTTATTTGTGAAATTATAAGCATTTATTATAATTATTTACACGTCTAAGTCATTTACATCGATATTATGTCATTTCAAAAACAATAAACTTAAAATAAACTTTAATTTGTCCCTCAACTGGAATTCGATTGGTTTCGTTAACAAGTTAACAATGAAACGTACTGCGCATTGCACGCAAGTCATCCGTGACTATGTTTGACATTATGTTATTCATGCAAGTATTCCGTCACTATTTTTGACATATAATACACGCAACAAGGCTGTACAATGTATTGAGTACAGTTCGGGATCTTTTTATATCTTGAGTGGAAAACTACTATATTTTCATTAGAAAGTTTAGAGTTATATAATAAATGATGGTAGTGGGCTCGCTAAATAGGTCAGGCAGATGTTTTCAAATATTTATCTTAGGAACCCAACATTTAGTACAAAATTAGTACAATCTAACGTTATCGCCTTAACCAATTACGCTTGTCTCGAGTCTTATTTAACCAATTTTATCACAGGATTTGTCATTAGTACAAAAATAAAAATAAGAGAATAGCCGGTATCTTTTACAGCAGGTTGCCCATTTGTTGGTAATTCTCGGTCATCACCAAATCTTTCTTACACGGACATATGATAAATTGATAAATTTAATGAATATTTCAGTTACATATACAACTGCTTAAACTCGTATTATCATTAGTTTCCATAGAGAATGAAAGATCTATTACCTATAACAACTTTGTTCTGATTGAGATAAAAACATGACAAGTAAACTGATAGTTTTTAATTCATTTTCTTAATCAAGAATAATTTTACTTAAGATAGTTTAGTTCCCAAACTGTTTATCTAAGTAAGCAAGAACAATGATTTATCATTTAATATGATAGAGGCCAGGAACCAATCATCGCTAGAATCCACAGTCCAACGTAATGGCATCCTCAAATTGTCATTTGTAACAATTATTTACTAATCCTGTATCAAGTGGATTTGTATTCATAAAAATTGTTATGCTGTTTTAGATCTACTTTGATGAAAAATAACTATTACTTTTTCAGCAATGTCAATTTTTGATGAAAACGGCTTATGAAAACTACAAAAATTGTGTTTCAAATAAAACGGCACTACCTCCTGGGCCACAACGTGACGCAGTGTGTGGTGTTATCGGACACGTCACATCACTTTGCCATTCTTGCTGTGCTGATGGTGGATGTAACTATGGCACATGTGAAGAACAAAACAGTAATTTAAATTACATAAGATTACATAATAAATAATAATACTTATTTTTATGAGTATTTTCGTCACAAGAAATGATTTTTTAATGATTTAGACTTCAAATGTATGTGTGACAAAGTATCTCAAAATTGAGCTTATGGTAACTTGCTTAGTGGCGTACTAGTGCCGTTAATACAAGTAGGGTATTTGACAATTAATTTTTCCAAGTAGAATGGATATGTATACTATGATTATTATCTAATTGTTATTTATTCATTCATTTATTTTTTTTATCTATTTATTGATTTATTTAGTTTTCTTTGTGTTTTTTTTCTTTTGAAGATCGGATCTTCACACTGGCAGAAAATGGAAAATTTGATATCAAGACATTAAAGGCCATTTAGAAATTTTCAGAACTGATGTAAACCATTTATATTTATAAAAATAAATGGAGGAAAAATAACTTTTTGTCTTTTTCAACCTCAGTCTATATAGCATGATCGACAAATGTTGACAATTTGCTGTCCAATTCAAAATGAAAAACTTAAGCTAAAAAAGGGATAAATTGGAATGATAAAAAACGTGTTTATGTATTTGTTTGCTGTAACGAAATTTACTAGCACTATTGCCAAAATACACAGTCAGGGGTGATTAAGTTGGATTGACAAAATTATATGTCTAATGCGAAACTAACAATAATGTAATATCAAGAATACTCTAGTACAAATTTCGGATATTATGGCACCTTAAATATGACACGTTCGTGCCGTTCCATGAAAAGCGGCGTATGGTCCCGAAGTAAAGGCATACATGAAAGCGATGGTATTTTGAAAGATGATCAAATGTAATGAAGCCTGCATTTCACAGACACCTCAACCAGACAAGTACAAATGTTGCTGCAATGCAGCAAATGAGACGCTCCCGCAAGAATGAATGAGAGAGGGGCCATATATTAATTTTTTAAAAATATGCTGTCACTGATGCCTACCTGGTAAGGAAAGTGATTCCAATACAAACAACAATAACAAGACTTGAACGGTAACTTGCACTTTCCAGTACCGTCCATGAACAGGCTCAATCAAACCGAGCCTGCAACATTTTCAATTTTGCCGTGTTTGGCTTTCTTTAGGGATTCTGTATTTATCTATTTTATGATCACATCTGTGTTATTTGTGCCGGGTGGCGGCTGTAAAAAGTATCCCTGTACATTTAATCAATGATGTTAAATTTTCGATCCTTGAAGATCGTTCAGCACGACATTATTGTTGTGCTTGTGGTATTTTTAGTTTCAACTTTTCGGCATTTTCTAGTTGAGTGGTTCCAATATTCCTACTTGAATAATGTTGAATCACCCTTAGGATATGTTGCCTGCTTTTTAAATTTGTCTTTAGACGTCTTATCTGTGATACGCAGGCTTCATAACCTCTGACCCCCTTTCAAAATTCCATTTTATTTAGTTCCGCCCATTGTTTTCTCGTTTAGGGCACACGCTTTTTATTTCTTGGGGACCATACGCCGCTTTTCATGGAATGGCACGGAAGTGTCACATTGAAGGTTCCATGATAACCGCCGTATGAACACATCTGCAGATGTTTCTAAATTCAAAATTTTACTATTTCATGTTTAAATGTTGATTTCTGCTTAAGCCGGTGCTATGGGGCGTGGACGGTAACTTGCACTTTCCAGTACCGTCCATGAACAGGCTTAATCAAACCGAGCCTGCAACATTTTCAATTTTGCCGTGTTTGGCTTTCTTTAGGGATTCTGTATTAATCTATTTTGTAATGTGACATGACAGTAGTGCAACATTGTTCTGTTTGTGTCACTATTGTAGTCAGTAATATTAGATGATAAAAAATATCAAAGCATGTACATTTTCTTTGTCACCTATAATGCTACTCATTTTCTATATGTTATCAACACCTTATCATGGTAAGAAATATAAAAATCCATATGTAAATAAGCCAAAACAAAGACTCTTTTTTTCAAAATGTACGTTACATATTTCGCGGCAAATGCTATATCATGATATAACAAGAAAAGCATTGATGCAAAGCATCAAAAGGCGTCCAAGCAAGAAATGCAGCAAGTAGATGAACTAGTAGACATCTGATGACAAGATTTTCTTTTCAATGGTTGATTGGATTTTACCAGAATTGTATATCATAGGTGAATAGGCGAAAGAAAGACATTGTTCATCATGATTTTTGGTAGGCTTGCCAGAGATTTAAATATTTTATGTATTTTCTTTGGAACATACAAAACAGTAGTCAAAATAAACAAAGTCTGTTTTTTATTATAATAACTGTAACAAATGTACAAACAGTATATAAAAATAGTAACAAAAGGGACTGACTAATATAGTACTATGACATGCATTTTTTTCATGTCAAATTAAATGGTTTCTATTTATACCGGGAAATTAATATACAGTAGATAAATACTGAAAGTAGAACACCTACTGGAATGAAAAATTTAGGATGAATTCTAAAAAGACCAATTTCAGGATTGTTTTTGTTATACGCGTTCACAAAAAAATGGTACATTAAAATTAAGAAATAATATATCCCAAACAGTGATTTTATCGCTCAATAGCATCACTGTTTGGAGTTCGGGCGCAAGGAATTATATCACCATTACACATCATCTTAAAATTGCAGACAAAAGTATCTGTTGTTAAAATGTCACAGTATTCGGCAAATCAACATTCCACTCAAATCACCATAAAGCCGATTGCCTTCAAACAAAATAAAATCAACTTCCTACAGCAATAATTCAGAAATCAGAGTCGATTTAAATATTCACGATAAAATATGTCAGCCGTGGAAAAGAAAGGAGCTATTTTGCCGGAAAGAACCTACGGAAAAAACAATTTCAAAATTATAATACTATGATATAACAATTCATAAAAATGACCTACTTCATTTTTTCGATAAATTTATAGAGTGCAACCTATTGTTGAATATGTGTGCATTTCATTTCCTGCAAAATTTTCCAGTTCTTTATATTTAACCATAGCGCGACACGACTGACCGTTTGGTTTAGTTTCAGACTCGCTACTAAAACTGCTTCTATTCATAGATTTTCGGGCTTACACAATGTTCAGGTCACCTATTTATACATTTCGAATTCATGTGCAACAATAAAATACAAACATAACCCACAGGGTACTACAAAATAGTTAGTAATTCCCTGTAGAAGATACAAATGTAAGAAATAACTTACCGAATTTAAGTTTTTTTGTTTTCTTCCCAGCGGCTGAGATGTTGAATTTGTTCATGTTCTCATTCATTAATAAGACATAAGGCGAAACAAATATATGACTTTAATAGAAATGGGAAGGAATTCTTCGTTCCGAATTTATTTTTAGCTGTAAATCGAATGGATTAATTGATAAAAATCGGGTCCATGGACAAATGCTATTATATATTGTCGACTGAACATGGTAAATATGTAATGAAAATTTAAAAATAGTTACACTTTATATAACGATTTACAAATTATGTGAAGTCTAAATTATGAATGCTACGAATACACATTTTATTGAAAAGGTAAAAAAGAGAGGAAAAATGTACCAAAAAGAAAGATTCGCAAATATCAAAATTGTTAGTTTAAACTTATTAATCTAAACACATGCCCTATTAAATAAATAGATAAGTCAATACAATGAAATATAATTGCAAAAACAAATCAAAAAGGTATACGTTAACGGCATTGTGTGTAATTGTCCTTAAAACAATGGCAGTTTATCTTATAATCTATTTTGAACGATAAACGTATATGGTTTGTTTTAAATCGCATCGTTAACAAGTATGGAATCATATTTATAACAGAATAACATGGCAAATTCAACTTTAGTTAATTAATGGAATACTTACCAAAAGTAAGTAAATTTCACGCCTACATTTATGAGTTAATATTTTATTTTTTTATTTTTACTTTACTTTTTTGAGGTTTTATCAAATGATATTAATATGGTAAGGTTCAAACAATCGTGTGTTTACATGATGATTATACTGTCACTCGTATTTTGTTCAAAATATGGCAATGATAACCTGATGCTTACATTTGGGGAGGGGCACTGCGTCCATGGCCGAATAGTTAAGGTCTTTGACTTCTTCTATCAGGAGCTTTGGATTATTTCATATGTGGAAGCTATCCAGCGAGCTTACGGACCGTTGGTGGTTCTACTTAGGTGCCCCTTTGCGCCTGATATAATGCACGGAAGGGCACCTGTGGTCTTCCTCTACCAGTAAATCTGGAACGTCGCCATATGGCGTAAACTTTGTTGGTTTGACGTAAAACCCAATTATTTTTGTGGTATTATTTATTTGAAGCCTGTAACTTTTACCATTCAACCTTTTTTATAACATTACCTCTTTCTTTATAGCGGTCGATTCCAACCCATTATCTAAGCCTCGTTTTCATTTTCCTGTCGTGCATACCATCACCTGTTTATGGAGGTTTGTTAAATTAGTAATATAAAGTATGACATTTACAGTTTATAATGAATTTTTCTCGTTTTATTGCAATTGGAAGTTGGAGAAAATAAAAAAAAAATTATTAATTTTAAAGATACAAATGTACTTTATTTTACAATTTTTGTACAATATCATCACATGTAAATTAAAAGATGCGAAGCGTCAAATAAAGGATAACAAGTCATACATGTATTTGATTTTCGTATAATATAATGTAGTCTAAATATTTAATTGTTTCGCTCCTAAGTATTCAGATAAGGAATATGTTTTGTGATAGAATGTTAATGTTTTTTTACAAAAGAAAACCAAACTTTCATTGGACATGTTTGATTTCTTCAGCATCGTTAGAATGATAATTAAAGCTAACTGAATCAAGTCTTTATCGAAAGATGAGGTAAACACGTTTCGTTCATTAATAACATTTTGTGTGGCCAATACTTTTGCAGTATCCCTGGGGGATCCGTGTATGGCTAACAGTGATTGTAGCGACCTTGGAAATTCCGAGTGCACCCGAATATTTGATTGCGTCACCGGAAGTTGCACGTGTCAATCTGGATATGGAAACGAAACTGGAACTGGATGTAACAGTATGAATTTATGTATACTTTATTCTGCACAATTTTGACTCATTCCACTATATGGAATGTTTCCGTTAATTTGAGATAAAATAGAGATAAAAGGGTTGAATAATTTATGTCTAACCAACTAGTGCGTTTTGCAGGGTCCGTATTCGACAGCTGCATTTTATGGTGGCTGAATTGTGCCATTCGTATTTTAGCCCCGCGACCCCGCCAAGCGAAAAGTCGAAAATTAACAAGTTAAAATGGCGGGGTCGCGCAGCGAAAACACGCTAATTAGCGAGGGCGCGGGGCGAAGTTTGATAAATAAAACTTCGCCGCGCGGGGGCGCGAGAGAGATTAAAGAAATAAAACGGCGGGGGCGCGGAGCGAAAACACGCTTATTAGCGCCCTCGCTAATTAGTGTGTTTTCGCTCGGCGCCCCCGCCATTTTAACATGTTAGTTATCGACTTTTCGCTTGGCGGGCTCGCGGGACGAAAACACGCTAATATGCGGGGGCGCGCGGCTAAGTTTTTTTTTATTAAACTTCGCCCCGCGCCCCAGATAATTATCGTGTTTTCGTCCCGCGACCCCGCCGTTTTATATCTTAAATCTCGCACCGCGGCCCCGCGGGGCGAAGTTTTATTTATTAAACTTCGCCTCGCGCCCTCGCTAATTAGCGTGTTTTCGCTCCGCGCCCCGCCATTTAACATGTTAATTATCGACTTTTCGCTTGGTGGGGTCGCGGGACGAAAACATGCTAATTAGCGGGGGCGCTCGGCGAAGTTTTATTGATTAAACTTCGCCCCGCGACCCCGCTAATAAGCGTGTTTTCGCTCCGCGCCCCCGCCGTTTTATTTCTTAAAATTCGCCCCGCGCCCCCGCGCGGCGAAGTTTTATTTATTAAACTTCGCCCCGTGCCCTCGCTAATTAGCGTGTTTTCGCTGTCCCCCCCCCCCCCGCCATTTTAACTTGTTAATTTTCGACTTTTCGCTTGGCGGGGTCGCGGGGCGAAAACACGAATGGCACAAATCAGCCACCATAGCATTCAGTGTCTTAACGAGCGGAGGAACCCTTATTAAACGTATAATTCATTTAGTAGCATACTTGAAAATACACAACAAAAGAATCATATCCGGATGGTATTGATAAGTGTGACATTGTTTTTTCAAGAAATATTTTGTAATAAGAATACATTTACATCTACATCATACTGCTTCAAAATCGTAATCGATTACACTAAGCAGGCGCGTTGTCTGGGAATAGCTGTTAAAAACAAATATGTTAAGTGCAAATTTATAGACACAAGGTAAAAGCAAGTTAAAAAGAACTACAAGACTGAGATAAAAGTTAAAATCAAAGCTGGCTTAGAACTGTTAAAAAGGATGCAGCTGCCCTGTAAAGAGGTCTTAACTTGGACTAGCTTGTAAGGACACAGGAGACCATTCCACAGATGATTACATCTGGGGGATAATTAATAGGAGTGATATTGTGTCCTTGAATATGGAATTAAGTAGTTCAGGTTTCTAGTTGGTGTCAGGTGGTGATGGTCGACCCTCACAAGATTGTGTTGGATTTTGTAGAGCTGATGTAGCGCCTCTTTTCTGGGGTTTGCTAATTAAGTTCACTTATCATTATAGATACACTACTGGTGTGAATGTAGTCATTGTATACATATATGGCAGCTGACCTTTGAACTTGTTCTATTGAATATTCGAATGACATATAGCTAATATTTTATCGATATTTTAAAATACTCGTGCAAAATGTGCCCAGTGTAGATCAATTCATATTAATTGTCACTTTATCAAACAATGTCGTAATTGCTTTAATATTTTGGCACAGAGAATATATTTAAGTTATTCATTTTATATTTGTTTTGAGTCGAAAGTAAACGTAGATTTTTTTATATAGAGATATTAAGCAGTTTTAATGAGCCATGTCGGACGGGGTATTACTGTAATGAGGCTAACCAAATATGTGACACAACAACTGGTCGTTGTGCTTGCACCACGTGGTACGATTACCATTCGACGGCGAAAGCATGGGTTTTGAGGACTTACAAAATACTGAAAGAGTCTTGCGGAGGGCAGTATAACTTGCAATGTCTTCAACCGCTTCTTGATTCGGGTATAACTTTGAACGTTTATTTCATTTATTGTTACTCATGCAAATTTATTATCATTTGCTAAAAAGGGGGCTTGAACAATTCATTGTTCAGTGTGTATTTTATCAATATGTTTTGTGCAATTAATGAATGATTTTGCCGTTTATAAAACCATATTTCTATTGCAATTCTAACGTACATGGATTGTCAGTGCCGTATGCAATGTGAAAGTTACTTTCTTTGTTCAAATTTTTAAATACAATTTAAATGTTTTCATGAATATTAGCGTGAAATTGAATATTTGTTGTGTTTAAGCTGCACGCCTTCAGATGAGTAAAAATATGAATAAGAAAATCAAACTTGAGATAAAATGTTCTTAAATTTTAGGATGCTTTTGCGATTAAACACTGATTTTTCAGTATTTATACCTACATTTCTACTTCGTTACTTACGCAGTAATGGCTATTGTATGCATATTTTTACATTTTTTGTAAGTTAAGTGGGTTGTAAGTGTTATTGATAATGTGTAAATTGCTTCCTTTTGTTTCTTCAAAATATTATACTTTTAAAAACATTTTGAAAATTATCATGAAAAATAGCATAAATCTGCATGATTATACCTTATTTCAAATTGTAAAACACATATTCTTGGTGTTAGGGTTATTCAATTTTCGTTTTCAGGCGGGGAATGTGACGGAACTTGTGACTGTCGATCTGGATATGTCGCCGACACATCCGAATCTTACACCACTTGCAGAGCACGTGAGTTTAATATTCTTACTGCATTCCCGGCGATAAGAAAAATACTTAAATCTTTTATAAGTACTAGTATCCTCCCATAGTGTAATCTTAATTGTAAACATGGATGTAAACTCAGGAACCACTCTCTGCTTTATAGAGGATAGAATTGTCTCCATTCGATCACGTCATTTGACGTCATTTCCTGTCAGGCCTTTTGGTTATTATTTATCAAATTGCATATAGTTCCCAAATACACATGATAGTGCTGTGGGTACATTATATGGATCACATATTATTGCTTATAGCATCGACTATTTATAAAAGTAATTCAAAATTTATAGCAGTACGTGGTTATCTATTTCACAGTATATAAACGATTTGTACCCCAACCGGATCTTGTGAGAAGCTCTCAACATCAGTTCCGTACAAACAGGCGGGGTGACCCATAAAACTTTTTAAGACGGCTTGCATAAAATCTGTGACGGTATACAAACATTTGAATCATATTAAGAAATATTTTTTCTTTGCTTATAGATACATCTATAACCAGCGTCTTTATATTTATGCGCATTAAACGCTGTGCTCTTCGCTTCGTGTTTTGTTTATGTCAACACACGCCGATTACACAAGCAAATTTATGCCTAAAATTGTTTTATTTCACTTTAACTGATATCTGAATCTTAACTTTATTGTCTTACCCCGTGTTACCCCGTGTTACCGTGTTACCGCAAGGCACTTGTGTAGATATCTTTGAATATTGATAAAAACGTAGTAAATAATAGAGGCGAACATTCTGATAAATGTATCCGTCTTGTTAAAACAATTTTAATGATCTGTACCCTACTTGTGTTTTTACTGAACCATAACTTGCGAGTAACTTTTAATGATTTTTATTGTTTTTGTCCTATGTTCCAAATTACGTTTTGCAGAATATGAAGTTATTGTGTCACAAGAACATGATACACTTTTTAGTTCTATATAAGTAACCAATACTGCACATGAATGGACCTTCATCATGTTTTCACTTTCCGTGGATATACCAGCATGAAGTAGCTGATAATACGAATTAGGAAGAAAATTATTTCTTGACAGGAATTATCAACCAACAAATCTTATCTTCATTTACCATTCATTTTTCTTTGAAAAGATATAAGGCTAAGATACAACTATAAGTACTATAAACGTTACTACTATTAAGTTTAACGGCATTGTTGTTGGTTTTTGACGTGACCGTTGTATAACGTCACATATCAATCCATCCTCCTCGAAAGATCATTACAGGATTTTTTGGCAGATTACTTACTAATATTTCAACATGTTGAAAGCTTTTACACATACCAATGATTATAATATGCTTTTTTAAACACGTTTTATATTCTCATAAATGCCTTGGTTTTCTTTTTTCTGACATGCACGACTAGGATTACTCTTAAGGAATCATTTTAAGGAGTTACCTGCATATTGTTTATAAATGTCTAAAAGGTAGTTTTCACTCTTGCAAGTTTATTTCCACTTATTTTTTATATAGTTTACAGGCTTGCCAGTGTCTAAGATAGCTTGTTAGTTTTCTTTTCACATAACTTAAAAAGTTTATCATTGGCTATTATAAGTTATTTTACGTCAAAAGATATATAAAAAAATTCAGTTCCTTTCTATAAATTGCCATAAACATGTATTTCAGATGGATTTGGGTGAATCATTTGAAGTTGAGGGTCTTGACAGTAGCTTTCGTGTGAATAAAAAACCATAAATGTGGGATCTTTGAAATAAGTTGTCAAAAGTTAAAACTTAAACTCTTCGTCATTTGTACTGAAAACGTATCTTTTGTCGATATGTGAACATCTTTAACAGACGTTTTGATTTTTTGACATTTCTTGATTCAAGTTCTTCTTGTCTTGAAATTTTGACTGTTTTTGTAATATCATTTGCTTTTTAAGTCCTTTTTAATTTTTTCAGTTCTTTTGGAATAATTATAAATTCTTTTGAGTATGATTTTAATGTTTCTGTTATTGTTGTCAAACAGTGAGCTTTTGCTCTGATGTCGAAATTATGAACAATAGTGTTTCCGATTTTTTTTAATAGAAAGGGGGCAATGAAGACAACTGAATTCTTCCAATTTGCCTTCAATAAACAAATAAATACGTTAAATAATTAAAGTTCTCTCTATTAAATCTTTTAAAATACTCACAAGTCAGGGTACAGATAAAATTCGTAAACTCACAAGTAGGGTTCACAATCACCAGCAAGTAACGTTCAGTTTACAGAATTGACCTCCGTGGTTAAACTCTTAATTTAATGTTCAAAATGCAGCAATATTTTTTGCAGATGACTAAATTTTCGTTTGTTATTGATTATTTTAGTAGTTCGATATAACAACTCAATGTTTAACTAAATAAACCTCGAAATAAGACGGATTCTTGCTAGTGTTCAGTGTTGATCACCTGAAAGCAGTTCGTGAGTTTCGATTATTTTATAGCTTTGATGCTAACATTTATATTTTGCATAACTAAAACACTGAATAAAGTTTCTCTTCTACGATGTAAATATAGATTTATTAACCTAACGTTCATAAGTATCAATATAAATACTAATATATCAAACAAGTTAAGCGTCAGAACATGGCTGACTCTGACATCTTCTCACAAGATCCGGTTGGGGTTCAAATGGTTTATATACTGTGTATTTGTACGAAGGGTGAAATCAGATAGCCGAGCCTAAGTGTTTGGATGTTCTTTCTGACGAAAGCACAACGCATTCCATGTCGTCCTCAGAAAAAAAGTTAACAATATGCCAGCAAGTTAACATCATTGAAACATTGCTTTCTTTATCCTCAAGTAGTCGTTTCTGTAAGTGCACTAGGACTGACATATAGACATATATACATTGAATGTGTTATAGTGAAAATTTATTTTATTACATATTCAAAAAAAGAATTTGAATATTTGGCTGAAAATTAAGTTTTGAATTCTCAAATTTAATGAAGTCAACTTCGAGTTTTAATTTTTACTTTTGTAGGTTACCGGAGTGCAGATATCTTTCACTCGCCATCTGCAGTTAATCAATTTTTTTTCTCTTTCAGCGAGATGGGGTGAAAGTTGTCAGTGGTTACCACAGTGTGTTATTTCGTTCGATACTAAGACGATATCAGACGACACTTCAAACAATGTGCCCACGTGCAGGAACAATATTTGCTCGTGCCCTCCATCCCACGACCATAGATATGTAAATGGGTACCATCTTTGCCTTAGTAAGTTTAAAGCCACAGATTTAACAATTGATATTTAGATCAAATCACATATCTTATAGATGAAAGTTCGTCATTACATTTTACACCGGACTAGATCACTCTCTGACATATATTTTACTTTGTGATATCTATGTGATTTACATGATGTGCCTCTTCATTTTGTTTCTCTCGACATGTACATATAAGTTTTATTCACTTTGCCTTTGATTATGTATTCAAATCATTGTTTTGTGGACGAGGAGTTATGCTTAAGTCTTGGGAAAAAGAAACACTTGCTCTTTTCTGTCCTCTAATGAAAGGATATATAGTTAGGGAAGCTATCAAGCTAGCTTTCGGTGGTTCTACTCACGTGCGTTTTCGTGCCAAAAATAATGCACGGAAAAGCACATGAGGTCTTCTTCCACCAGAAAAGCAGAAAAGCTGGAATGTCGCCATATTACCTATACTGTTGGTGCAACGTAAAACCCAATCAATGATAAAGAATATATTTCTGTGATATCATATATAAAAAAAACATTTTATTTATTTATTTATTTATTTATTTATTTATAATTGACACAATTAAGCGTTTCTATTACAAAAAGATGAACTGGTAAAAAGTAAACAATAATGATCAGAAAATGTAAAAAGTTTGAACGTAATAGTGAATTGCAAAGTTTTAACTGCTTGCTGCCGGAGAAGCAACTAAAATGAAATTTTTCATTTACATATTAACATTTTCAGATAAAGTTGACGATGGATTTGAGCGGTATAAAATCGGTGAAAATTGTACACACTTCAGCGAATGTGAAAGTTTCTTATGTGTAAAATGTCCTGGTTCATCAAGCGGGATATGCATGCAAGGTATGTCATTCCTTAAAGAGTTAAATATGTCATTTTCAGTAAAATTGCCAAATGGTCGAAAATGCAATTTACCAATGATTTAAGGAAAACTCTCGATACCTCTAATTTACCGCTCTCTATATTTAAATAAGTAAATATACCGACGCGTTATAGAAAACTCTTGGGACGTTGTTTTAAAGAAGACTTAACAGTCACATGATGCACTTTTTTCCAAGCTAAAATTACTGAAACAGAATAATTTTATTGTTGTTGTTTTTTTCCAACAGAAGATATAACTTGAAGGACGCTTTAAAATAATCTTTATATATTATTAAAGTTGGTTTTCTATTGTAATAATGTGTTTATTATACTGATGGAGACTTTTTACAAAACATGTACTGGCTGAAAAATGTTCAAACAGTACAAACTAAAATAAAATCGAGGAGATTGTTTACAATTATAGACCTCTTAAATAATATTGATCAGAGCTTTTTTGAAACCTTAATGAAAGATAAGATGAAATCATCCTTGTCTGAAGGTTTTCTGATTGTGTATCATGCTATGTAATTGAGAGTTGAAATTATTACTAATGCTGTTCATTCTTAAATTTTTTTACCTCTCGAACACTTATTTTCTTGGAAATATTGTTAATAAATGTGGTTTGAACAGTATTTTTTATTTACTCATTTTTATTAATATAAATGATCAAAATGCTATTCTTTGTATGTTTTTGTGATATCTTGACCATTCTTTGTATATTTGTAAATGACCAAGATATTTTGTATGCAGATATGCCAAAAAAATGTGTATTTTGCTCAAAGGGACTGACTCCATATTGATGTTTTTTGACATGATGGGACTGGAAGTAATTTTCAAAATTAATGTTCCATTTGATCTAGGTCTATACCATACCAAAAGCTTGTGTGCAAAATTTCAGATCTTTCGATCGCTTCAAAGTTTTTCCCAAATAATTATTCTAATTGAATGTGTAAAATGACCAAAAATAGAAAATCCCTGCAATGCTTTATCAAATCGGGCAAAGATTGCTTCAAACATACGGTTTTCAATTTACTTCTGAGTGTGTGTGTTTTTTTTCTTTTGCATATCTTTCTGTTTTAAGTGACCCAGCTGATCTATATAAAACATTCAACTATAATGCTTTTAGCCTTTTGGATCTTAAGGCCGGTATTCCATTCATACGGGAGCGCGACGTGAACGTTTTGCGTGAGCGTGAGGCTTGAGTTTTCACGCTCTCACTATTCCATTCATCCGGATAACGTGGAAACATTTGTTGGAAAGAAAATATGTCAATACAAAAGCGTCATTTAATTCATGCTCACGCCGATAAGGAATACATACAATAGAAAATTGTTTGTTTGATTTTTCACGTACGCGCTTCACGTTTACGCTAAACGTTCCCGTATAGATGGAATACCGGCCTAATGCACGTGTAAAAGTTATTCAATGTCACCGTTACTAGCAAAAACATTGGATTTATTTAGTCATAGGAAAACTCAATTGTTTCCTTACGATAAACGTATGTATATTGCTTTTTATCAAACAGATATTCAAGATAAAGGTATTCTTGCATGTTTTTACACTTTTTATTGTAACATTTTTTTGTAGAACAGAGAAAGTTTTCAACTTTATATGCATGTTTTAAGAGCAAATAAATGCATGAGTTTTGGTGATCCACTTAAATTATTAATTTAAAGCACTTTACACTTATGTGTTTTTTTTGTTGAAATGAATTCCATATAGCTAAGATTTATAAAAAAGACTGGAAGAATATAAGATGCATGGGTTGGAATCTTGTCACGGCATAATGCATGTATGTACTAATGATGATCGAGTACAAGACATGGTTCATGATTTTTTAATTACTAAACTCAGAAACTATCATATTACGTGTATATAACTCTTTCCGGTACATGCAACTTAAGATATTTGAGCCCTCAAGAGCTCGTTTATACTCGACACAATTCGGCAATTGTGACAAGTCGCAACAAACTAGTGTTATTTTACAGAGAGGTAAAACGAAGCCGAATGCATGCGAATCATTATGGAATTAATGTAATATCTACATATAATCACATTAACAAGCATTGAAATTATAACATTTCCGAAAATGTTAGTTTGTACTTATCATGTCAGCATAGTACATAGTAAAAACTTTTTTCATACCATACTGTAGTGCTTGCCATGAAAAAGGCAGATACCTGAGCAGAACCACCGACCTTCCATAAGATAGTTGGGTAGCTCTCTCACATAAAATAATCGGAGACGCTGGCCATGCTCGAATTACAGCGGTGAGAGGGCAAGTGCTTTTAGGCCAAAGACCTTAACCACTGGCCACGGACGCCTTTTCTATTTGCTTTGCTCCTATATATTTTTTCTGTATTATTCTGATACATGACAGAATATCATGCTTTATTTATTTATTCATTTCAGATTCGGGAGTCTCTAGTTTAGGACTGTTCTCATCCATAACTTGGGTAATAATACTACTGCAAATAATTGCCGGAGATTTCTGATGATCTTCTGTACTTTAGCCGTCAACAAATAGGAAGTTATCAGAAAATACCGAATGATAATAACATTTAAATATACATGTATACCAGTATTTTATTCATCATCATCATCACCATCATCATCATTACCGGTATTTGATTCATCATCATCATCATAATCATCATCATCATATACATTTTGCATTACATGTGAATTTACTTATTTTGAGTTTAAAATTATTAACACTGTTTTCTTTCAATCAAACATAATCATATACAATATTCATGTATAATTTCAATCAAATATAAAAAAATGACTGAGTAGAAAGTCACAAGTATTTTTAAGAAAGGTTTTCCTTTATTTATTGTTGTTGTTGTTTTTCGAGCTTGTCATCTTTATTATGATCAACTCTGTAATCATCATCAGGTACACAATTTTATAATATGCGAGAGGTAGTAGGTAATGAGCAAGCTATTTGATGTTTGTTGAACAGTCTAATGTAAATAAAATAAATCCACCAGTATTTGCAAATACTTTATTTATACGTTAAAAATTTAATATTTATAAAATCATTTCATGCATTTATATGTGAAACATTTATACAATTGTGTATCTTCTTTGATGTTAATGTTACTTCACAGTGTATTGCATTTTGTAAATAAACAAACTGTAATAACATATATCTGAAATTATGTTGTTTAATGGGATCACTTTGTTTCCAGATTTTTATCAATAAACTAGAGAAGTAGATTTGCCCGATATTGCACGTGATTTACGTGCAGTATGTCTTTCCTTTTCAGAAGGCTGTCGGTGATTTTGTCATGCGTATGTCACATCAGCTTGCATATCCTTGTAAAGTCAATTTAATTATCTGATTTATAACTTAAGATGGGAACTTAAAAGTACGATACCAAATACATATCTTCACACACTTAATTGGCCAGTAATAATGCCTTTTTCTCTCTTTTTATTAAAAATACATTGACATATAAATGTTTAAACACATGTGTGTAGCTGATGGACCTATTAAATATACCCAAAATATATCAAATCTTTAAAAACTTCTAATCTCTATGTATAAAGTGCCAAATGATGAAATCATAATATTATCGGCATTACATAACAAATTAATTTCATACTTAGTTTGCCCTCTATTAACACTGTTGCTTTGATGAGTAACATTCTATGCTTAATACGAGACATATTGCAATATCTCTACACTTACAGCTTTGACATAGTTGATAAAAATATGCATCCTGTTCGAAGCTAACTTCAAAATTGGTGAGCATAAAACGTGCACTGTCCAGATAATATATATAACAAAATAACAAACAACATAATGACATTTACGTAACTTGCGTCCAATCTTGAATTTATCCAAGCGTATATGTCATTGTTTTATTTGAGTAATGCTGTATATATATATATATATATATATATATATAACATCATCACAAATCAGAACATGAGATTCAAACGCTGGTCTTTTTCGGAGCTCCTCAGCAAACATGCAAAGCCCAAAAGTTCCTCCCAGTGACTATGCCATCTGATCCTGAATGTCAATCATGTTCCCTTGGTTAGATACAATCTCAACTTTTCGGCCATTTCCGTCAGTCTTCGGATAAGGAAGTATGAATACACAGAACGGATACGGTATTTCGGAGAAACCTAACATGTAAACAAGCAATTTAATACTAGGAGTTAAAGACTATATTTATACCAATATATCAAGTAAAAGTCCACCTTCAAAGATATGACAGTAAACAAAACATTATTTCTATACTTCTTACTATGGTTAAGTACAAAATGCCAATCTGTTGACATTAAGTCGGATTTGTTTACAATTGTTCATCAATGGGCATATTTGAATTAAAAATGGTTGTCAGACATATTTCCAATCATAGTTGTACCGAAATAAACTATATTTCCCTTAAGATGTCAAATATTTATATTCGTTTTTCATTATCGAAGATAACATTCTCTGTTTCTGTTTACATCTGAAACCACGTGGTAGATCTACTGTCAAACCGTATTGTTTCCGAGGTTATTATGAATTATAGCCGAGAATGTTCCGATTGGGTTAGATATTTTTCTGCTAAATATTTATCTATTGTCACATTTATCACAACTGAGATTCGTGTTCTGGTGATTTGGTTTTGTATATATCAACAACTGATTGAGAATTAAGCCTTGTCAAAATACAGTTTACAACAATTTAAGAAATACATTGCATGACACAAAATGAAGAATCCATAGCTATTATCACTCTATTTATGACTGAAATTTTGTGAGTTACACTTTTGATACAAGAAGCTTCGTATATTGTTTCGTTGTAAAATGAAGTACATTTATTACGTCTTTTTAATTTACCTGAATCACATTTACAACTATCTAATACTTTAGTTGATAATTCACATTCTGTCGTGTTCTTTTTGTGATAACACCAGTCTGTTAAATCATTGACACCACAGCACTTAAAATGTTTTTGTTATTGTAACCAGCAGTGATCACGTGACGTAAATTCTCTTTTCTCACCCATGGCGAAATCTAGATGTTTTGCCATGGAATTTGGTAAACGTGATGTTGCCAGGTTGTCAAGGACAACAGCAGATAACACATTGGCAATCTCTAGAGAAAAAACCATACCTAGACCAACAACGAAATACCGGACATGACAGTTGATGTGCAAACAATTTGTCCCGATTATACTTAACAATGCAACAATCACTGAACTTGCACCTGAAGCAGCATGTGTGTAAATTGACGTGTAATATTTTTGCAGAAATGTGCATCCTATGAAGTTTGTCATCAATAGCCAAATTGACGTTGATATTTGCACCAAGCCATGTAACACCGCACTTTGGGGTCAAACGCACTTTGGGGTCCGACCCTAAAGTGCGTTACGTACTTTGCGGTCCGACCCCAGAGTGCGTTACGCACTTTGGGGTGCAATTTTGATCCCAAAGTGCGTTAAACAGGTACATGTGCATTTTTTAACATCAGACAAGGGACGCACTTTGGGGTCATAAAAGGTCAATCAATAAAAATGAACTTTCATGACGTTTTAAATGATAAACTGTAGTCAAAGCCAATGGTAAACATAAGTCAAGGTACAAAATAGACGCAAGACATGTGCCCTGAATTACAGTAAAATCGATGGGAATTTGAAATGATCTTGATCAGTTAGTGAAGAACTTTCATCAAATAATTCTTTTTTGTATCAAGTAATAAGCTCAAAATATTTTTTTTTCTCTCGCATTTCCAGTTATTTTAAAAGAATGTACACCTTTCATTAACTCCATTGTTTTAGTTAATTGCATCATTTTTCCGTTTTTTTATTTTCACATTTTATAGAAATATGATAGTCTTATAAATCCTGGAAAATTTAAATAACACATTTCAGTAAATAAATGTGCCTGTTAAAATGTTGAAAGATACGGTGGCACAAATGTGACATGTGTGTGTTTTTATTTATCTCGTGTGCACGAGATACTATGTCGTGGCCACAAGTTACTAATTATAAGTCGTGGCCACGAGAAAGCTAAGTCGTGGCAACGAGATACTAATAACTGTGTCGTGGCCACGAGATACTATGTCGAGGCCACGAGATACTATGTCGTGGCCACAACATACTATGTCGTTGCCAAGAAATACTATGTCTGACTGGTCAATAATTTTACATTTAGCGTCACTGTGACCCTGATTTTTGACCCAATGACCTCGAAATTATTAGATGTCATCTACTGATCAGGTGCAATGATCTTCCTGGGTTATATAAACCATTGCTTATCCCTTCTAAAGTATTCACCAGACAAAGATTTGTGAAGTGTCATGGTTACCTTGACCATTGACCTCAAACATCCTTATAGGCTATATACTGTCCATGGGCAATGTCCCTTCCAAATAAAATAAACCAGGACTTATTCCTCCTCATGTTATAAACAAGGTTAACGTATAAACAAGGTTAACATGCCGCAGTACGTACAAACCCAACAAAGGACTTTAGTTAAAATTATTGTCTGATGGACCTTGGAAGGTGATTTTCTAATATGATCCTTAAGACAAGTTCAAGGTAAATATCTTCAGTATTTTCCAAGATTAATGTTGCATGTAAAAGTAAGTTGTTAAGTTTAAAAACTTTTTCATAATATTATATAATATTCTGATTGGTTAATTATCTCGTTCCCACGAAGTACTGTTGTTTTATCACTCAATTTTGTCAAAATAACAAGGCCGAGTGATTAACGCTTCGGACTAGTAATCTATTGATCGCTAGCCGCATGGGTTCAAACCCCGTCAGGGCTAGTCGTTGTTTCCTTGAGCAAGACACTTTACACTCATTGTTCAGTACTGGTTGGTTCCAGGAACGGATTCGAAAGTGTGACTATAAGCTTATAGCTTCCTATACAATCGAACTAAAATAAATTCTGTATAAACTAAAATAATTCCATTTTTGTAAGTCCTTGAATATACATGTATACAAATTTGATATGGACATGCATATGAAAAGAACTTTTATTTATATGTTAATCATACTTCTTTCTTATAAGAGAATATAAAAAATATCCACAAAATAAATTGCAAATAGAGCAAGCAAAGGGGGAACTCATAAAGACTTATGATTTAAAGGAACGCCCCTTAGGTCCAAAAAGCCTAAAGGACAAAATTTTGCATTTCTGACATAGATCGCCTGGGGTAATTGATACAGAAAGATCTGCAAAAGGTCTTATTATTGTGCTATTCTTGGCCCGATTTTAGTAAAACGCGTTGCAACCCTTTTCAATTTCAGACAATTTTTCATAATTATAGTAATTTGTAATTTTTAAAAATCGGAATGAAGGTTTATAAAAATGAAATTAGAATTTGAGTCTTGTCAATAATACATTTTCATCTCTGAACAATACATCTAATTCAACGAATAATCTTCCAAGTGAACAACATTGCGTGTCAGCAAATGACATTTTCCCATAGTAATTTTCAAAAATAAGACTTAGACTTGGAATTTTGGCAACGATTGTCCTCCATATGTGTATGTACCTACATACGTGTACATTTCTTTTAAGCTCATCTTTAGAAACGTTAGTCAACTTCCATTAATTTGTTTCCATGCAATTACAGGCCGAAACAGCCCCTCCTTTATTAGGAAAGAGGAACTCTACGAAATAAACATAAAGAATAATGTTAAAAAAGAATGAGTAATCAAGTGAATTATTACACTATATATACACAGCATAAAAATCGAATGCCAACATATTTGACGTTAATAAATTAAATGACTTCAGAAAAATTATATCTACGCTGAATGTAGTTCAACATATTTTTATCAATTCTCGTTTTAGCAGCATGTTGAAATTGAATAAGATATGAATCTACTTACATTACAGTAGAACGATGTACAGTTTATCATTCAAATGCAGTGTAACTAATTAATCTGGCCTAGCGATCTTCCTGACTATATTCCTGCGCATTTGAACTCGAATCGTAAATAAATCTATAACAATGCATTCAAAAGTGATATCTATTTCCTTACTGAAGGATATAATATTTTGGAAAATGTTATTCTTACACACAATGTTGTTCACTTGTAAAATATTTGTTAAATTTAAAATGTTTTGATTCAATGATAAACCAGATCAGACATGAGACCTTAATATCAACAAGACTATGACTCTAACTCCATTAAAGGTCATACATTTATCAATTTCAAAAATACCCTGTCGTTACATTTTGAGATCAATGAGAGATATTAAAGTAACTACACTAAGGTTAATTTTATATTAATTTTATATTAATATTTTCTTAACATGTATGTTCCATTTGATGTAGGTCTAGACCAATATATTGTTCCCAAAAGTTCTTCATTCCATTTTCCAAGGATAACTAATTATTATGAATGTGAAAAATGATCTGAAATCGAAATGCGTTTTAACAATTTTTTCTAAAATCGGGCCAAGAAAAGCATATCTGTATTAAGTACCCCAAGCGATCTTTGTAAGAAACGCAATGTTTTAGGCTTTCAGACCTCAGGGGAGTTGTTATAAATCAGTCTTTATGGGTTCTCCCTTTGCTTGCTCTTTTTGAAAAATATGAAGCCTATTTTGTATATTTGATGTTATATTCTCCTTTAAGAAAGAAGTCTTATTAATATAGACTTCTTTTCGTGTGCATACGCATATAAATGGAATGATTTTGACAACAATGTGTGATAATACAACAATTATTTATTGTCTGGAACAGTCCTCAAAAAGGTTTTCTTTCTTATAAGATTATACATATAATAGATGTATGACTAACAAATCCACATGCAATACCTCTTCATCAAATTCAATTATTTTCCTCCCGTGAAATACAGAATTATTAAAATTGCGGCCGCTTATATCACACAAAGCATGGTCTAATATTAACCTCCGCTCAAAATAACGAAATAAGGTCGGATGGTGTGAATTTTTCTTCTTCTAGAATTGTTTTTTTTTATATTACAAATATTAAAACAAGCGATCATAGATATATTAAAAAAATATTGTCATCAAAATTTAACTATGATTTTTAACTTATTTTTTAGCTCAAGATTTCATGTATTTATGAGAAATTCATCTGAAATTGAAAGCTACCAGTTGGGAAAACAGATTTTGATATTTTTGTTAATATCAATGAAATTGCACTTGAAATGGTTAAGAATAAAATGAAAAGAAAATTTGTTTATTTGTTGTTTAAGATATTATTTTATTTCATCTTACACAAAAACAAACAAATGTCCTCTATAGAAATAAGTTATTGTTCAAACAATACAACTTTTAAGTTTAATTTACATTTATTGCGGTATCCTTGACATAGTGAATTAAAGAAAATATTTGTACAATAAAGTGACATAGAAGACCAACTTATCGCTTGCTTCGTGATTCTACAATTTGAAATACCGGGTCATGAGTCTTATCTTACTCATATATATGAGCCACTTAAACCTTTTAGGCATATTAAGGACATTCGTGGCAGACAAAACGGTAAGATTTTTTTTTGAAGGAAAAGAAAATAATAATGACCAATACTGTATGAACATTAAAATGGTAAAATCTTGAAATTAGATGTTTTAGTAACTATCATTCAAATGTACTGACTTTCAACATTGTAAAACATAACAAGTTGAAACCTTGTTAAAATGGTACGTGGCAATCACTTTATTTATTTTACTATGATTTCTATGCACTTTAAAATGTGTTAACCAACTTGCTAAAAACAGCTAACGGAGATGTTCAAAAATTTGTTTGGAAAAACTGCAGTTTAATACGATGAACGTACTGAAACATTCGTTTTATTTTAGAAGAAAGACTGTTACCACCAAGATAAAATGATTGCAGGTATGCATGACATTAAATAAGAATGACGTTAATTCAAGTTTTATTTATTTATCATATACTTTATTTTATCGTTTTCCTTTATCATTCATGTTTATTGGTAAATATATTCAGACTTTTCATGCAAGGTTTTCTATAAATTTATTCAACTTGTAATTTTGGTTAATGCGAGCGCATTTTTGACATTGGTTGTATAGGTGTATCATTTGTTAATTACCATACAGGTATCAAAAACAGTGACAAGTGTGATGATTACTGTATTACCAATTTTTTATATGATCACCTGTTTTCAGATTATGCTTTCATCATTTAATAGCTTCTATCAATGATATAATAATTAAGTTATTTTTGTGTAAGTAATCATGACTATAGAGGGAAAAACATATAAAATATGCATTTCCCTTTGATAACAAATTGATACTATAATTGTTCTGTTTTTTATATTACAGATAAAACAGCATGTTTTTTGCTTTCGTCCTACATATTTATGGGTGAGTTTATTTCTTTTGTTTGTTTGTATGTTTTGTGCGTATTTGTGTGCGTACATGTCTGTGTTCAGTTCAGTTCCTTCAATTATGAAACTATAACGGCTTAAAGTTTTTAACTCTGTTTTCAGAAAAATTATGACAATGTGAGACGAAAGGCACTTTACTAAAGTTCAGTTAACTTTGTTATACGCATCAATCTTAAAAATGATGAAAGAAAAAGAAATGGTAACGATAAATTTAAAGAATCAATGCATAACAATTCTAAAAGTCCATAGTTCATTTCAAATGTAATCATGTAAAGTATATAAGAGAAGTGGCAGTGCTGTTCGGGCTTTTTGGACTCGGCGATAAATGTCAACTTTCGCCCGACTCTATCGTCGGTTACCCACAGAATATATATCGTGGGTAACCGGCGATGGGGCCGACTCCAAATGACGCGATGTATTGAACAATATTCAATTTATGTCTTATGCCTCACATACAGAATTAAATATAGGACAGAAAATGCGTGACTTAAAAGTCGATTACCCTACATAAGGCACATTTCATTTTCCATAGAAAATAAATATTGATGAAAACAATAGAAATGTATCATTTCGATATTTTTATATAATTTTCATTAATAAAGTTAAGTTATTAAAGTTGTAAGTGATTTCGTATGAGCAGTTTTATGATGAGAAAGAAATAATACTTTGCTCTGTATAGCGTTTGCTATATAAATATATGTAATATCCAAGCAAGATCCACATATAATTTCATCGTGGTTTGTTGTAATGTCTGATCCTAAATACATAATGATTTATTGTATTGCAGACCTTTCAATATATATCAAATCACTCCAAAACGTTTGTGTGAAATCAAATGTATAAAGTACCCCCAAAAAACATAATAAATATGTTATATTTTGAGCAGGATGTATTACTATCGTATTATCACAGAACATTTTAAGATGTAGGCAGTGTAACCGAGCAAGTACACTTTCTGATTGTAACAAGATTGTTACTTGTGACGCCACACTTGAGGTAAACTAACATTGTCTTACATGCTTTAATACGAGTGTTGAAATACTACGGAAAAATCTTGTAAAAAATTAACATACATGTATTTTATTTCTTTCTATAACAATTAACATTAAAAACACCTTATAGTTTAAAGACGACCTTTCTCTCATTTTTTTAAGATGATGTATCCCATGTTTTTTATTATCAGCTTGATCATATTCAAATACGTAAAATAATAAAAGAAAAATTAAATATCGTTCGTCACCATGATAATTATTTGCATATATTTAAACATCTAGTATATTCAAGTGACGTAATCAACAAATAGAAATTCTTAGTCCAATGTCATCAGACATTTTCAGTCTTTGCAAAATAAATTCATGTTTATGTTTAATGTTGCTTTTAACAGGATTGTTTTATGGATGAATTACTCACAGATCAACTAACAGTTGTATATGTAGGCGGTTGCAGATCTAAAGATGTATGTTTTGGTTAACATTTTTTCACTATTTTTTTCATTATAGAATAAAATATGAATTTGCAACATCTGAAATGACATTAATGACGTATAAAATGATCATTTTTTTTAAATATTTTGCATTGTTCACAAATTTATAATCACAAAACCAAATATATTAGAGGGTGAAAAACGCATAGTTCTAGTTAAAACCTGTAATAAGTTGATCAAAAGAAGTTGTTAAAAATACGTTTCGCGTATACTGTGGTTAAAACATAAGCGGAATATTTATTCAGCGAAATTTTAGAGCTGTAGGAAATGCCCACAATTTGCCGTTGAGTTACAGACCTATTGTTAAACGTTTTTAATCCTGCCTTACAGACGGATAAAAGTACTTTGGGCCAAAAAAAATCGGCAAAGGAGTCGATTAACCAATAACAGCATTCCGCTTAACATATCACAGGCATAGCTTCTACGCGTTCATGAAATGTGGGTCCGCCAAGAATTCCGATTAAATTATAATAATGACGTTAATTTATGTTAAGTTTCTATAAAAGAGTCACTAATTTTCCAAAATAAAATTATGTGATTTACTCTTAAATTATGTGATTTACTCTTAAATTATGTGATTTACTTTTAATGTACGGTACTTTCTCAGCCTCAGACCAGTAACGAAACTTATATCCGCTGTAAATTGTAAATAATGCACAATTACAAGGATGCATTTCCTATTTGTTGCAACGGAATTACAGTTCACTGACAGGTATATATTTACAAATTTTAATGTTACTGTCATTCTTTTTCCCTCTGTTGAATATCTACGCTTATTTGTCAGGTGATTTCGCAACCCGAAAGGTTAAATATCTTTAAATGCACAAAGTTTTGAATGTTTTTTACAGGTTCCTACATTACTTGGATCTTGCGTGAAATATTTTATCGATATACAGTTTCAAATATCCTGCGAACGGTATTGGAGAACTCTAATAAATGACACACTGTCAACTGTTACATGCCTATCTATTGTAATATTTTAGGACAAGCGTTCGGTATGTAAAGAAGTTTTCATCAGAATTCGAAAAGCACAATTAAGTTTTATATACTACCTAAACGGCTATTTTTAGTCTGTAAATTTTTGTAAAGATCAAGACATTAATCAGTTTATGACACATAAGGTTTTGTTTTATCTATTTGAATTTGTTTATTTGATAAAACCTGTGTAAGAGTCATCTCTATGGTGGCTGATCTGTGCCATTCGTGTTTTCGCCTCGCGACCCCGCCAAGCGAAAAGTCGAGAATTAACGGCGGGGTCGCGGGATAAAAACACACTAATTAGAGGGCGGGAGGCGAAGTTTAAACAGTAAAACTTCGCCACGCGGGTACGCGGGACGAGATTTTAGAAATGAATCGACGTGACGCGGAGCTAATTAGCGTGTTTTCGCTCTGCGCCCCCGCCATTTTAACTTGTCAATTATATTATCGTTTTTCGTTTGGCGGGGTCGCGGGGCGAAAACACGATAATATGCGGGGGTAAGCGGCGAAGTTTTATTTACTTCGGCCCGCGTCTCTGCTAATTAGCTCCTTTTCGCCTGCGACCTCGCCGTTTTATTTCTTAAATCTCGCTACGCGCCCAGGGTTGAAGTTTTATTTATTAAACTTCGCCCCGCGCCCTCCATAATTAGCATGTTTTCGCTCCGCCCCACCGCCATTTGGCGGGGTCGAGGGACGAAAACACGCATATAAGCGGGGGCGCACAGCGAAGTTTTCTTTATTAAACTTTGCCCACGCCTCCTCTAATTAGCTATGTTTTTGTCCCGATACCCCGCCGTTTTATTTCTTAAATCTCGCTCTGCGCCCACGCGGGGCGAAGTTTTATTTATTACACTTTGCCCCGCGCCCTCCCTATATAGCGTGTTTTGCTGCGCGCCCCACCATTTTAACTTGTTAATTTTTTACTTTCCTCTTGGCGGGGTCGCGGGGCTAAAACACGAATGGCACAAATCAGCCACCATACATCTGAATTATATATTATTTAACTGAAACATGAGTGTAAAATCATTTCAGCGGGAAAATTAAAAAAATCAGGAAATTTGTAAAAGTGGTTAATTTTCTGAAGGCTTCATGGAATAAATTTCAATATCTTGTAAAGTGCCCACATGTATTAATTATAGCCTGCCAGTGCCTGTACGGTAAAGGGGCCGATTGATCTTTTATTGTGGAATTCTATTCCACTCCTTTTGAAAGGCAACACGAATTCTGCAAGAGTGACCGGATGCACATGAAGACAGGAAAAAGTCATTTGAGGCATCTTCAAATCATGTTAATTTTTTCCGTGATCTGGCAGGCATGCTCGATTGTTTCACATGCAAGGAATTAAATAGAGAGGTGGGCAGTGTGTAGCCGAGCATTGTCCTGCATTATGATATACCCTGGACCCGCTGCAATTGTATACTGTCATACATGTATGGCAAGATTCTTGCGGCAAAATTTAGACTCAGGATTGTCGTTACACATGATGACAGGCACAATACTTTTTGAATCAAATGTATGTTCTTAAGAATGTTATTGGATAAACTGTAAGTGGGGAAAATAGAGGTCCTTATCAATTATAAGTAGTTCACATTTTACAATATGATACTTTATCATGATAAACGTTCAAAATTCAACTAACATGTATATATATATTGACAGGTTTGTAATTCGTCGGGGAGAAAGCGAAATGATTTAGTTACTTGCTCGAGGTATTATCATTACTACTAACTACATTAATTATCAAATGGTTTATTGAACTAAGTTTTAATTGTAGTGAAAAAATATGTTTGATTTATATTTTCTCTTAATTACAACAATAAAGCGGTGTCCGAGAAGAAAAAAAAACGATAGTAATTTTCGGTATTCCTAAACATTACATTATTCGCATTAATATTTCTTTAATTATTCCAAATAAAGCAAATTTTTTACCGTGCAATTTATTGTTCACGAACTTTTATTCAGATGCTGTGGATTCGGAGATGATTGTAATAAACGGTTATGTGGAATCAAAGATGGTACGTTTAACATTTATTCTAAATTATTTCTATTGATTTGTCCATTATTGACAATAATTTACTTCTGTCTTTTAACTTTATTCAAACCAGTACTTGTTGTTTGCTATGATTGAATTTATATTCATTTAAAATACCTAACAGAGTACTGGACAAAAATTGTCCTTTTGTTACCTTTTCCACGATCATCGGTTTTAAACAAAAATGTACGTAAGTATTGAACTACAGTAACATAAGGCCTGTAGAGAAGTACTTTCCCGAAGAAAATGCTTTATTTACGTCACATTTGACGTGATATCATGAGTAAGCATTATTTTTTTTAAATTGTTTATAAATGCACACCATCATTTTAAATAGTGGTTAAAGTTAGATGTGTTGTAAAAATATATTTTTATTCTCCCGAAAAATATTAATTGATTTAGTACCTTCTTTTCAAAATCACAATTGTAATTAACTTATACTCTAAATGATATCTCAATTGTTAACGACAAAATATTCATTTTACGAATTCAAAACATTCCTTTTCAGACACGTTAAACAGTAGCCAGTGCTACAACTGTGATCATAGGACTTCAGAACAATCCGAAGTAACAGATCCAAAATCCTGTGTAACACTCGATACATGTCAACAGAATGAGGTACATTCGTACATATTTTATTGTTATACAGATGTTTCATGGCGAAGATTTCGTTCATGTGTCGTGCATTTTGTGACTCTTTCAAACGAGACTTCTCCTTAAAACATGTTTGTAAATTCACAAATTGGTACTTATGTTGATCTCTAAAACTAGGTTTAGAAATGTTTCCAAGAAATCGAGAAAATGAGAATTTCTTAAAAAAGTCCAAACGGCATAATTGAAAATGTTTTAGGCTCGGTTTGATTGAGCGAGTTCATGGACGGTACTGTCAAGTACAAACTACCGTCCACGCCCCCTAGCACCGGCTGAAGCAGAATTCAGCATTTAAACATAAAAATGGTGAAATTTTTAATTTCGAAACATCCGCAGATGTGTTCATACGGCGATTACCATGGAACCTTACATGTGATATAAAGTGTCATTCCATGCAGCGTATAGAAGCGTGTGCCCTAAACGAGAAAACATTCGGAATGAACTGGAAAGGGGATCAAATGTTTTGAGGCCCTCAAACTCTCAGCGTCATAATCATACAGAAAATGGGCCGAGGTTTAAATCACAAAAAAAATCATTCACGTCAAATATTTTCCGAAAATCGTAACATTCGAAAGGAAAACCGTGTAAATATGTGCACTCTGTCACCAGACTTACATTTGCTATTTATATTTTGACTGACGTAACTGATAGATGAAAAGTGCTCCCTTTACTTCATCCATTGTATTGTAAAAAACAAACAATATTTTAATGGCTGTTTGTAAAACATGTGACCCCTATCGACAGCCAATTAGTCATGTGGTCAGGTTATTGTATCAGACTATAAACGTAGTGACCAATACGTAAATAAGGGTTATCTACTGGTCATGACAAGTCACTAGGTAATTGTGATCGCAAAGGTTGTGTGCAGCAATTTTATGACAAAGTTATCACAAATTCAATGTATAATATAGGCCTTCTTAATGACAGCAAATTTGTTATATTACATTATACCTTGAAATGTGTATACCAAAAGCAATTTTAGTTTTATAAAAAAATATCAACCAAGGCAACATGAGTTGTTGAGTTATTGGTCAGAAACCGTTTTTAAGTACAAGGTCAATGTGACTTTGACCATTAAATCAATAAGGGTTATCTACTGACCAAGACTACTGCACCTGTGAAGTTTGAATGTAAAGGGCCCATGAGTCGTTGAGATATTGACCAGAAAGCGTTTCTACTTATAAGGTCAATGTGATCTTGACCTTCGACCTCAAAAATTTATTGAGGTCATCTTCTAACCAAAAGCAATGCATCCGTGAAGTTTGAAGGTCAATGGTTCATTTGTTGTCTAGTTATTGGTAGGAAACTACTTTGTTATACAAAGTCAATATGACCCCCCTGACCCCAAAATCAATAGCGGTCATCTACTGGCAAAGACAAATAAACATTTTCAGTTTGAGGGAAACCGTTTTTACCAACAATATCAATATGACCTTGACTTTTGTCTACCTTACCCCAAAATCAAAGAGGCCATCTACTTGCCTTGCCAAGACCAATTCACCTAAGAAATTTGAGGACCAATAACCCATAGGTTGTCAAGATATTGATCGGAAAATGTTTTAACCTACAAGATTAATATGACCTTGACTTTTGACTCCTCGACCCAAAAAATCAATATGGGTCATCACCTGGCCAAGACCAATGCACCCTTTTATTTTGAATGCCGATGGGTTGTCATGTCATTGATCGGAAACCGCTTTACCGACCGTAAGACAAACAAATGCAAAGCAATATACCCCAAAATTCTTTGAAGGGGCATACTTTAAACAATTGAAGTTTAGAGATCTTTTTCTATATATATTTTTCTTTAAATAGATTAAGTTTAATAAAAAAAATCGTTAAGATATTTAATACCAGTAATTATCTTTTTTTTTTCTATAAAACACTCAAAAGCCATGCTATTACAAAAAATGAAAAATCAATGAATTAATCTGTTGATAAGAATCTTATGACGAAGTATCATGGTACCTTTTATCTAGGAATACTTTGTCACAGCCAAAAGATTGATTTATTTCTTATAAGCCTTAAGGGAATTTATTAACCTTACAAGACAAATTGTATTTAAAATTTAGTGAAATATGCATTTTAAAGCAAACAACAATCAATGTAATGTGTTGAATTTGTTTGACGAAACAATAAAGTTTCCATAAATAAGAAATTTTATTCTTCTGAAACGTAATCATATCTTTAACCGACATAAATATCTTCTGTACATTTCATGGAACCAAGATTTATCATGTAATTCAAAAGTAGAATTTTCACGTAATTGACATGCTTTGGTTTTTTTATTGTAAGGTTTGTTATACCACCCAGTCAGATATTGGCGGCAGAGATACGTTTTTCTATGGTTGTTTAAGCAAACTAGTAAGTTATTCCACAGTTTTACATCCATTTCGCTTTCTTTTAGACTTGTATTTCGTTATATTTGATACATAAAGCATGTTTAATTAATGTGCTATCTAGTGGATTGTAACCCTCGTATTAATTGTGGACAAAATGTATTCTCTCTCATCCGCAGAGCGAGTTAAAGAAAACAACTTTATGTAATCAAGGGAAGCAGTACAATCCACTAAAATAAAACACATTCTTGTATTTTTCTTTTTATTAAATACCTTCAGTTAAACTCATGTTATATATCTGAACAAAACAGAATGAATTGTTTTACTTTATTAGACTATGCACGTAGTTATTGTTATGTTGTGATGAGCAGCGCTTGAATACACTTGCCGTAATGTGTCGCATGGAGCTTCTTTTTACCTGGTATTTAACAAAGCAACTGATCCAAACTAAATTATTTTATTGATTTATTTGTGAAAGTATAAGCATTTATTATAATTGTTATTCATATTTTATTTACACATCTATGTCATTTATATCGATATTACAGTATGTCATTTAAAAAAAAATTAAAGTTTATATAATTTGTCCCTCGACTGGAATTCGATTGGTTTCGTAAACAATAAAACGTACTGCGCAATGCACGCAAGTTGTCCGTCATGATGTTATTCACGAAATTATTCCGTCACTATTTTTGACATGTAATACACGCAACAAGGCTCGTACAAAGTATTGAGTACAGAATGAGATCTTTATATATCTTATGTGAAAAACGACTGTATTTTCATTAGAAAGTTTAGAGTTATATAATAAATGATGGTAGTGCGTTCCGCTCGATAAATAGATCTAAGGGACCCAACATTTCTAAAGTAAACTTTTGTACAAAATTAGTACAATCTAACGTTATCGCCTTAACCAAAGTCTTATTTAACCAATTTTATCACAGGATTTGTCATTAGTACGAACATTAAAATAAGAGAATAGCCGGCATTGTTTAAAGCAGGTTGCCCATTTGTTGGTAATTCTCGGTCATCACCAAATCTTTCTTACACGGACATATGATAAATTGATAAATTTAATGAATATTTCAGTTACATATACAACTGCTTAAAATCGTATTACCATTAGTTTCCATAAAGAATGAAAGATCGTATAACCTAAAGATACTTTGTTCTGATTGAGATAAAAACATGACAAGTAAACTGATAGTTTTTAATTCATTTTCTTAATCAAGAATAATTTTACTTAAGATAGTTTAGTTCCCAAATTGTTTATCTAAGTAAGCAAGAACAGTGGTTTACGTTCAATATGATATAGGTCTGAAACCGATCACCCCTTCGACCATTAATCAAACGTAATGGCATCTTCAAAATGGCCACTTTTAACAAATATATTAATAATTCTCTATCAATGTGGGGTTTGTCTCTACGGATATTTTTATGCTGTTTTAGATCTACTTTGATGAAATATAACTATTACTTTTTTCAGCAATGTCAATTTATAATGAGAAGGGCTTATGAAGACTTCAGAGATTGTATTTCAAATAAAACGGCACTATCTCCTGGGCCACAACGTGACGCAGTGTGTGGTGTTATCGGACGCGTCACATCACTTTGCCATTCTTGCTGTGCTGATGGTGGATGTAACTATGGCACATGTGAAGAACAAAACAGTAATTTAAATTACATAAGATTACATAATAAATAATAATACTTATTTTTATGAGTCTTTTCGTCACAAGAAATGATTTTTTAATGATTTAGACTTCAAATGTATGTGTGACAAAGTATCTCAAAATTGAGCTTATGGTAACTTGCTTAGTGGCGTACTAGTGCCGTTGATACAAGTAGGGTATTTGACAATTAATTTTTCCAAGTAGAATGGATATGTATACAAATGTACTATGATTTTTAATTAATTATGAATGTATTTTCTTTGGAACATACAAACAGTAGTAAAAATAAACAAAGTCTGTTTTTTTATTATTATAACTGTAACAAATGTACAAACAGTATATAAATACAGTAACAAAAGGGACTAATATAGTACTATTACATGCATTTTTTCATGTCAATTAAAAAGAAATGGTTTCTATTAGTATCTGGAACTTAAGATACAGTGGTTATATTTCAAGTCCCAGATTAATACTGGAATGAACAATTTAGGATAAATTCTAAAAAGACCAATTTCAGGATTATTTTTATGTTACACGCGTTAACAAAATAATGGTACATTAAAGTCATGAATAAATTTGCATGTCATGTTGATATTGTGGAACATTATTTATCAATATAATGGAAGACTGTTAACTGAATTTTAGACAGGAATGGGGTTTCATGCGAGTCAAAGTTATAAAAGCTACATGTACTTGACATAGGTGATAAACAAAGAGTTAATGTTAATTGATTTATTGGGAGATCAATCTACTATTTTGTTGAATTCTTCAAAATCCTCGTCCGACCAACCAGTGTGATTACATTCCTATCAATAAACCATCACATATCATGTTAAAACTGCAGATGAAAGTTTCTCATGTTAAAATGTCACAGTATTCGGCCATTCAACATTCCACTCAAACAAACTAGAATCAACTTCCTACAGCAATAATTCAGAAATCAGGGTCGATTTAAATATTCACGGTAAAAATAATTAAGTAATTATGGCATATGTGAAGAACTAAACAGTAATTTAAATTACATAAGACTACATTATAAATAATAATACATATTTATATGAGTCTTTTCGTCACAAGAAATGATTTTTAGTGATTTGGACTTCAAATGTATGTGTGACAAATAATCTCAAAATTGAGCTTATGGTAACTTGCTTAGTCGCGTTCTAGTGTCGTTAATACAAGTAGGGTATTTGACAATTAATTTTTCCCAAGTAAAATGGATATGTATACTATGATTTTCATCTAACTGTTAATTATTCATTTATTTATTTATTTATTTATTTATTTTCTTTTTTCTTTTGAAGATCGGATCTTCGCCCTGGCAGAAAATGGAAAATTTGATATGAAGACCTTAAAAGTCATTTAGAAAATTTCAGAACTGATGTAAACCATTAATTTTATATTTATAAAAATAAATGGAGAAAAAATAACTTGTTAGTTTATATAGTATGATCGACAAATGTTGTCATTTTGCTGTTGAAAATCAACTTTAGCTAAAATAGGGATGAATTTAAATAATACAAAAACGTGTTTATGGACGAAACTTACGAGTACTTTTGCCAAAATACTCATTCAGAGGTGATTTAGTTGGATTTACAAAAGTCAAAGTCTAATGCGAATCTTACAATAATGTAATATCAAGAATACTCTAGTTAAAATTTCGGATATTATGGCACCTTCAATAAAAGCGGCGTATGTTCCCGAAGTAAAGGCATACATGAAAGCGATAGAATTTTGAAAGATGATGAAATGTAATGAAGCCTGCATTTCACAGACAAGAAAATCAGGACAATTTAAAAAGCCGGTTATATATCCTAAGAGTGATGAAACTATATTCAAGTAGGAATTCTGGAACCCCTCAATCAGGCAAGTACAAATATTGCTGCAATGAGGCAAATGAGAAGCTCCTCGCAAAAATAAATGCGCTCATTACAGATACCTTACCAAATCATTCATAGACAAAGGTCATTTTCTATTGAGCTTCAGTACAATTGCACATTATTCCGGATGTTTCTGTAAATTATTTAAGTTTGCATAATTATACTTATCGTATGCACTGTCCATGAGAGAGGGGCCAGATATTAAATTTTAATAAATATGCTGGCTCTGATGCCTACCTGGTATGGAAAGTGATTCCAATACAAAGAACACTTACAATACTTGTAATGTGACATGACAGTAGTGCAACATTGCTCTGTTTGTGTCACTACAGTAGTCAGTAATATTAGATGATAAAAAATATCAAAGCATGTACATCTTCTTTGTCACCTATAATGCTACTCATTTACTATATGTTATCAACACCTAATCATGGTAAGAAATATAAAAATCCATATCTAAATAAGTCAAACCAAACACTCTATTTTCCAAAATGTCAGTTACATGTTTCGCGTCAAATGCTATATCATGATATTACAAGAAAAGCATTGATGCAAAGCATCAAAAAGCATCCAAGCAAGAAATGCAGCAAGAAAGGATGAACTAGTAGACATCTGATGACCAGATTTTCTTTTCAATGGTTAATTAGATTTTACCAGAATTGTATATCATAGGTGAATAAGTGAAAGAAAGACATTGTTCATCATGAACTTTTGTAGGCTTGCAAGAGATTTAAATATTTAATGTATTTTCTTTGGAACATACAAGTAGAACACCTACTGGAATGACAACTTTAGGATGAATTCTAAAAAGACCAATTTCAGGATTATACGCGTTAACAAAACTGATGGTACATTAAAATCATGAATAAATTTGCATGTCATGTTGATATTGTGAAACATTATTTATCAATATAATGGAAGACTGTAAATTGAATTTTAGACAGGAATGGGGTTTCATGCGAGTCAAAGTTATAAAAGCTACTTGACAAGGTGATTAACAAAAAGCTATTGTTAATTGATTTATTGGGAGATCAGTCTACTTTTTTTGTTGAATTCTTCAAAATCCTCGTCTGACCAACCAGTGTGTTTACATTCCTATCAATAAACCATTACACATCATCTTAAAACTGCAGACAAAAGTATCTGTTGTTAAAATGTCACAGTATTCGGCAAATTAACATTCCACTCTAATCACCATAAAGCCGATCGTCTTCAAACAAAATAGAATCAACTTCCTACAGCAATTATTCAGAAATCAGGGTCGATTTTAATATTCACGATAAAAATATGTCAGAAGTACAATCTGTGCCGTGGAAAAGAAAGGAGCTATTTTGCCGGAAAGAACCTACGGAAAAAAAACAATTTCAAAATGATAATACTATGATATAACAATTCATAAAAATGGCCTACTTCATTTTTTTCGATAAATTTATATAGTGCAATTTATTGTTGAATATGTTTGCATTTCATTTCCTGCAATTCTTTTTCAGTTCTTTATATATAACCATAGCGCGACACGACTGACCGTTTCGTTTAGTTTCAGACTCGATACTAAAACTGCTTTTATTCATAGATTATTCATAGACTTACACAATGTTCAGGTCATCTACCGTGTACCGTGAAATCGGTTGGGTATCACTTGCAGACAGAAGGAAAATGCAAAAATTAATTCTAGTTTTTAAACATAACCAAGGCGAGCTTCCCTGTTATTTAAGTGATATTTTTCCAGATATAGTTCGTAATACTAGTACATATAATTTAAGAAACAACGAAAACTACGCAACTGTTACCCGACGTCTAGAAATTTACTCAAAATCAGTGATACCATCTTCCATTAAATTATGGAACAGTTTAGATCTTGAAACGCGAACGTCTCCTACACTTTCATCTTTCAAAACCAAAATTAAAAAAATCTTTACGCCGCTTCTAGTTCCGATATATTTCCTTACTGGTGACAGATTTTTACAAGTTCACCACACACGTATAAGAAATAAGTGTAGCAATTTAAATGCTGATTTGCACTACAATCACTTACGTGACAATTCAAATTGTGAATGCGGTTTTTATTCTGAAGACGCAGACCATTACTTTTTCAAGTGTCCATTGTATATAAACCAAAGGCTAACGTTATTTATCAATACTCGTGATTATCACCCTCTTAGTGCCCATAAATTGCTTTTCGGTATCACTCATCTTAGTGACGAAGACAATAATATGTTATTCCTTCACGTTCAAAATTTCATCAAATATTCAAGGAGATTTGAAAATGACTAATTTTCAAACTACGCTTGTAAATTGTTGTCCATAACTTATATATATGCTGAGGACAGGAACTGGGCAGTAATCTCCTACATGGTGCTTATTCTTTCATTTATTCAATCAATAAATATTTCTTTCTTTCTTTCTTCCTTTCTCTTTTCCTTTTCTTTATTATTTTTTAATTCAAGTTTTGTTAGTCTTTGAACAATTTTTATAATCAAATTCTATTTTCTCAAATAATATCATATTGATTGCTGATATATACATTTATGGAATTCCAATTACAATTGAATTTATGCACATCTTTTTACTACAAGTTAGACGTTTTGGGAAGGGCCAATTCTCTAATGTTGTCAAAACTTGTGGCCCGACCCTTTTGCTTTTTTATAATAACTATAACATCCATGTATTAACTGTAAATGTATTCGTTACTGTTTTGTAGTATGTTTACATGTGACAATGTATCTGTTTTTGTATAAAATGTAAAAGCAATAAAATATGATTAAACTAAAATCTATTTATACATTTCGAATTCATGTACAGCAATAAAATACAAACATAACTCACCGGGTACTACAAAATAGTTAGTAACTACCTGTAGAAGATACAAATGTAAGAAATAACTTCCCGAATGTGGAATTTGTTCATGTTCTCATTCATGAATAAGACATAAGGGGAAACAAATATATGACTTTAATAGAAATGGGAAGGAATTCTTCGTTCCGAATTTATTTTTAGCTGTATATCGTATGGATTAATTGATAAAAATCGGGTCCATGGACAAATGCTATTGTATATTTTCGACTGAAAAATAAAATAGTTACATTTTATATAACGATTTACAAACAAATTATGTGAAGTCTAAATTATGAATGCTACGAATACACATTTTATTGAAAAGGTAAAAAAGAGAGGAAAAATATGTACCAAAACGAAAGATTCGCAAATATCAAAATTGTTAGTTTAAACTTATTAATCTAAACACATGCCCTATTAAATAAATAGATAAGTCAATACAATGAAATATAATTGCAAAAACAAATCAAAAAGGTATACGTTAACGGCATTGTATAATTGTCCTTAAAACAATGGCAGTTTATCTTATAATCTATTTTGAACGATATACTTATACGGTTTGTTTTAAATCGCATCGTTAACAAGTATGGAATCATGTTTATAACAGAATAACATGGCAAATTTAACTTTAGTTAATTAATGGAGTACTTAACAAACGTAAGTAAATTTCACGCCTACATTTATTATTTGATATTTTAAGTCAGTGGTTATATTGTTATGATCATTTTTTATTTCTTTTCAATTTTTAAGGTTTTATGTAATGATATTATTGTAAGGTCTTAAAACCATGTGTTTACACGTCGTATTTTGTTCATAATATGGCAAAAAGTACCTAATAATTAAATGTGGGGTGTTGCGTCCATGGCCGAATAGTTAAGGTTGTTGACTTCAAACTACTTGGCCCTTACGACAGAAACTTTGGATCCTTCATGTGAGAAAGCTATCCAGCGAGCTTACGGAGCGTTGGTGGTTCTACTCAGGTGCCCCTTTAAGCCTGAATAATGCTCGGAAGGACACCTGGGGTCTTCCTCCACCAGTAAAGCTGGAACCTCGCCATATGGCCTATACTGTGTTGGTGCGACGTAAACCCCAATCAAACAAACAAACTTATTTTTAGGAGTATTATTTATTTAAAGTCTGCAACTTTTACTTTTCACCCTTTTTTATAACATTACTTCTTTCTTTATAGCGGTCGAGTCCAACCCATTATCTAGGCCTCATTTTTATTTTCCTGACGTGCATACCATCACCTGTGTATGGAGGTTTGTTTAATTAGTAATATAAAGTATGACATTTACAGTGTATAACGAGTTTTCTCGTTTTATTGCAAGAAAAGAAACGCATTTTTTATTAATTTTAAAGATACAAATGTACTTTAATTCAAAAGCTTGACTTTACAATACACGGTATTATCACATTTAAATTAAAAGATGCGAAGCGTCAGATAATAGATAACAAGCAATACGTATATATGATTCTCATATAATAACATTTAGTTTAAATATTTGATTGTTTCGCTCCTAAGAATTCGGATTAGAATTATGTTTTGTGATAGAATGTTAATGCTTTTTGCAAAAGAAAACCAAACTTTTATTGGACATGTTAAATTTCTTCAGCATCGTTAGAATGATAATTAAAGCTAATTGAATCAAGTCTTCATCAAAAGATGAGGTAAACACGTTTCGTTCATTAACAACATTTTGTGTGGCCAATAATTTTTTTTGCAGTATCTCTGGGGGATCCATGTATGACTAACAGTGATTGTAGCGACCTTGGAAACTCCGAGTGCACCCGAATATTTGATTGCGTCACCGGAAGTTGCACGTGTCAAACTGGATATGGAAACGAAACTGGAACTGGATGTAACAGTATGAATTTATGTATACTTTATTCTGCACAATTTTGACTCATTCCCCTATATGGAATGTTCCGTTAATTTGAGATAAAATAGAATTCTTGTTTATCGATAAAAGGGTTGAGCAATTTATGTCTAACCAACTAGTGCGCTTTGCAGGGTCCGTATTCGACAGCTGCATTTAATGGTGGCTGATTTGTGCCATTCGTGTTTTCGCCCCGCGACCCCGCCAAGCGAAAAGTCGAAAATTAACAAGATAAAATGGCGGGGGCGCGCAGCGAAAACATACTAAATTCATTTAGTATATTATTATAATTATTATTATACATGTAATTGTTTATATTAAACTTTTTAGAATGCTATCAACATTGTTTTTTCAAGAAATATTTTGTAATAAGAATACATTTACATCTACATGATACTGCTTCAAAATCGTAATCGATTACACTAAGCAGGCGCGTTGTCTGGGAATAGCTGTTAAAAACAAATATGTTAAGTGCAAATTTATAGACAAAAGGTAAAAGCAAGTTAAAAAGAACTACATGACTGAGATAAAAGTTAAAATCAAAGCTGGCTTAGAACTGGTAAAAAGGATGCAGCTGCCCAGTAAAGAGGTCTTAACTTGGACTAGCTTATAAGGACACAGGAGACCATTCCACAGATGATTACATCTGAGGGATAATTAATAGGAGTGATATTGTGTCCTTGAATATGGAATTAAGTAGTTCAGGTTTCTAGTTGGTGTCAGGTGGTGATGGTCGACCCTCACAAGATTGTGTTGGATTTTGTAAGGCTGATGTAGCGCCTCTTTTCTGGGGTTTGCTAATTAAGTTAACTTATCATTATAGATACACTACTGGTGTGAATGTAGTCATTGTATACATATATGGCAGCTGACCTTTGAACTTGTTCTATTGAATATTCGAATGACACATAGCTAATATTTTATCGATATTTTAAAATACTCGTGCAAAATGTGCCCAGTGTAGATCAATTCATATTAATTGTCACTTTATCAAACAATGTCGTAATTGCTTTAATATTTTGGCATAGAGAATATATTAAAGTTATTCATTTTTGTATTTTCTGATCGCAGATCAGTAAATACATAGCTAACATCCACGGTCTAACACATAATTTCCTAACAGACCTAACAACGCAAAGTAGTTCTCACTCAAAACTGCTTAAAAACCAGCAATTTAAAAGAATGAACAATTGTCCAACAAATTACTACACATTCAAACTTTAAAAGTAGCGTTGGCTTATAGAATTGTCAATAAATGCACACTCACAAATTACACGGACGAATATGATTTCAATCAATGAAAATGCTATTTTTAGCGATGTCGATTACCGAATACTACACAAATAAATCTGACTGCCGAGTAGATGAATATATAGTTTCTACATGTTGGACTGTTTGGGCGCAATTTTAAAGAACAAGGTTTACCCTGAACAAAATACCTCGAAATTACCTTAACCCGAAATGCTATGGAAATTCTAAATTTAGAATGACTTGATTTTATTCAGCCTGTGCTGCTTTAAAAACCCGAAATGCAATGGAAATTCTAAATTTAGAATGACTTGATTTTATTCAGCCTTTGTTTTTAAGACTTCTCCGTGGTGCAGGGGTAACGCGCTCGTTTAGTGTGTGAGAGGTCTGGAGTTCAAATCCCAGGCGAGTCAACATGTTTTTAATTCTTTTTTTAGTGTCTTTGTTAAGGAAATAGCCACGATATGCAAGGATAAAGTGTGGCTATCATAAAAAATGAGCATAAATGATTTTTTGATGCAACTCTAGTTATGCAAAATTCCGTATGTATCAAACTCTGGTGCCATGCAAGATGAATTATAGTACATAAACATAAACTTATACAGGAAAACATATACAGATATACAGTACGATTTAGATTGCAAAGATCAGAAAATACCACAGAGCTTGCAGCCCTTTGATTAAATTTGTTTTGAGTCGAAAGTAAACGTAGATTTCTTTTTTTTATATAGAGATATTAAGCGGTTTTAATGAGCCATGTGGGACGGGGTATTACTGTAATGAGGCTAACCAAATATGTGACACAACAATTGGTCGTTGTGCTTGCACCACATGGTACGATTACCATACAACTGCGAAAGCATGTGTTTTTAGGACTTACAAAATACTGAAAGAGTCTTGCGGAGGGCAGTATAACTTACAATGTCTTCAAGCGCTTCTTGATTCGGGTATGACTCTGAACATTTATTTCATTTATTGTTACTTATTCAAATTTATTATTATTTGTTAAAAAGGAGTCTTGAACAATTCATTGTTCATTGTGTAATTTTCTAGCAGATATTTTGTGCGATTAATGAATGACTTGCAGTAATTATCACCATATTTTATTCGCAATACTAATGAACATGGATTGTACGTGCCGTTTGCAAAAGTTACTAAAGTTGTGAAAGTTACTTTGTTCACTCTTTTTAATACATTTTAACTTTTTCCATGAACATTAACATGAAACTGAAGGCTTGCTGCTGTAAGGTTGCACGCCTTCAAATGAGCAAAAATATGTCAAAGTAGAAAATCAAACTTGAGAAAAAAATGTACTAAAATTTTAGGATAAGTAAAAATATTCAAGTTTTAAGTATTCTTTTTCATGCTTTTGCGATTAATGAGTGATTTTTCAGTATTTATATCTACATTTCTACTACGTTACTAACGCAGTAATCATGGCTATTTTTTGGCATATTTTGATCTTTTTTAAGTTAAGTGGGTTGTAAGCGCCATTGGCAATGTGTAAATTGCTTTATTTTGTTTCTTCAAAATATTATACTTTTAAATACATTTTGAAAATTATCATGAAAAATAGCTAAAACTGGATGATTATATCTTATTTCAAATTGTATAGCACATACTCTTGGTGTTAGGGTTATTTATTTTTATTTTCGTTTTCAGGCGGGGAATGTGACGGAACTTGTGACTGTCGATCTGGATATGTCGCCGACACATCCGAATCTTACACCACTTGCAGAGCACGTGAGTTTACTTTTACTGCATTCCCGGCGATATGAAAAAGACTTAAATCCTTATTAGTACTAGTATCCTCCCATAGTGTAATCTTAATTGTAAACATGGATGAAAACTCAGGAACCACTCACTGCTTTAAAGAGGATAGAATTGTCTCCATTCGATCACGACTTTTGACGTCATTTCCTGTCAGGCCTTTTGGTTGTTATTTATTAAATTATATATAGTTCCATAAATGTCAGCCAAAATACACCTGATAGTGCTGTGGGTACATTATATGGATCACATATTATTGCTTATAGCATCGACTATTTATAAAAGTAATTCAAAATTTATAGCAGTACGTGGTTATCTATTTGTACGAAGGGGTGAAATCAGATAGCCGAGCCTAAGTGTTTGGATGTTCTTTCTGCCGAAAGCACAACGCATTCCCTGTTGTCCTCAGAAAAAGTTAACAATACGCCAGCAAGTTTTATATCATTGAAACATTGCTTGCTTTATCCTCGCGTAGTCGTTTCTGTAAGTGCACTGGGGCTGACATATATACATTGAATGTGTTATAGTAAAAATTCATTTTATTACATATTCAAAAAAAAAAGAATTTGAATATTTGGCTGAAAATTAATTTTTGAATTTTCAAATTTAATGAAGTCCACTTCGAGTTTTAATTTCTACTTTTGTAGGTTACCGGAGTGCAGATATCTTTCACTCGCCATCTGCAGTTGATCAATTTTTTTCTCTTTCAGCGAGATGGGGTGAAAGTTGCCAGTGGTTACCACAGTGTGTTGTTTCTTTCGATACTACGACAATATCAGACGACACTTCAAACAATGTGCCCACGTGCAGGAACAATATTTGCTCGTGCCCTCCATCCCACGACCATAGATATGTAAATGGGTACCATCTTTGCCTTAGTAAGTTTCAAGCCACAGATTTAACAATTGATATTTATATTATTTCACTTATTTTATAGATGAAAGTTCGTCATTACATTTTACACCGGACTAGATCACTCTCTAATATATCTTTTACTTTGTGATATCTATGTGATTTATATGATGTGCCTCTTTATTTTGTTTCTCTCGACATTATTGTACATGTTAGTACTTTGCTTTTGATTATGCATTCAAATCATTATTTTTGTTGACGAGTATGTATTCTCAAGTACGCAAAAAGTTCTGTTCTATATGTTGTAAGAATATAAATAGTTAAGGAAGCTATCCAGCTAGCTTACGAAAGTCGGTGGTTCTACTCAGGTGCACGTTCGTGCCTGAAATAATGCATGGAAGGGTACCCGAGGTCTTCCTTCACCAGTAAACCGTGTGTGCAGCACAGTTTATGTTTTAATTCCAGAGGGAAAAAATTTGAATTTCCATTGCAAAAAAAGATAAACGGGTAAAAAGCACAAAAAAATAATCAGAAAATGTGAAAAGTTTGAACGTAATATAGTAAATTGCTTATTTTCAACTGTTTCGTTGCCGGGGAAAAATACGAAGATAATCTCTAGAATTATTTTGTTCATTTACTTATCGACATTTTCAGATAAAGTTGACGATGGTTTTGAGCGGTATAAAATCGGTGAAAGTTGTACACACTTCAGCGAATGTGAAAGTTTCCTTTGTGTAAAATGTCCTGGTGCATCAAGCGGCGTATGCATGCAAGGTGTGTTGTTTCTTAAAGTCGCCTTAAGGGTTAAATATGTTAGTTTTAGATAAATCGTATCATAAAATTGCCAAATCAAAAGAATTAAGGTAGAAAATGAAATTTACCGACGATATAATACATAAACTATAGGGTAAACCCTCGATGTCCGCTCTATATTTAAAATTGGTAAAGCAGACGATTTTTTTTTTCTTGAATTAAAAGCTCTCAACTCTCAAACACTTTTTTAAAATGTAAATCAATCTGGTTTGAACAGTTTTTCTTATTTACTCATTTGTATTCATATATATGGCTGAAATGCTTTTCTTTGTATGTATTTGTGGTATCTTGACCATTCTTTGTATATTTCTAAATGATCAAGATAGTTTGCATACGGATGTGCCAATAAATCTTAAAGAGACTGAGTCCATTGATGTTTTTGACATGACGGGACTGGAAATAATTTTCAAAATTAATGTTCCATTTGATGTAGGTCTATTCCATACCAATAGCTTGTGATCTTTCGATCGCTTCAGGTATTTTTGCAACGCTTTTCACTCAATAGCACAAACTTATTTCTATGTATTTTTAAGCTGTCTTTTGCATATCTTTATGTTTTATATTTTAAGCTGATCTATATATAAAAACATCCAAATAATATGTTTTTAGGCCTTAATGGAGTTCCGTTAATGTACTATGTTTACTTTATGTTAGATTATGCACGCACGGCGTTATTCAATGTCACCGTTATAAGTATAAGTTTTGTGCAAAAAAGCATGGGATTCATTTTGTCATAGGGAAAATCAATTGTTTTCTTATGATATACGTGTGTATATTGCTTTTTATCAAACAGATATTCAAGATAAAGGTATTCTTGCATGTGTTTACACTTTTTATTGTAACATTTTTTGTAGAACAGAGAAAGTTTTCAACTTTATATGCATGTTTTCAGAGCAAATAAATGCATGCGTTTGGTGATGCACTTAACTTCTTAATTTTAAGCACCTTACACTTATGAGTGATTTGTTGTAATGAATTCCATACCGCTAAGATTTATAGAAAAGACTGTAAGAATATAAGATGCATGGGATGGAATCTTGTCACGGCATAATGCATGTATGTAGACTAATGATGATCGAGTATAAGACATGGTTCATGATTTTTTAATTACTAAACTCAGAAACTATCATATTACATGTATATAACTCTTTCTGGTACATGCAATTAAAATGCAGTTACATAGTTTTAAAGTTTCTTAATTATATTTTAAATTAACTTAAGATATTTGAGCCATCAAAAGCTCGTTATACTCGACACAATTCGGCAATTGTGACAAGTTGCACAAACTAGTGTTATTTTACAGAGAGGTAAAACGGAGAAAGGAAGTAAGCCGAATGCATGCGAATCATTATGGAATTAATGTAATATCCACATATAATCACATTAACAAGCATTGAAATTATGATATTTCCGAAAATTTTAGTTTGTACTAATTATGTCAGCATAGTACAAAGTAAAAACTTTTTTCATACCATACTGTAGAGCTTGCCATAAAAAAGGCGGGTACCTGAGCAGAACCACCGACCTGCCGTAAGATAGCTGGGTAGCTTTCTCACAAAAAAATAATCGGAGACGCTGGCCATGCTCGAATTACAGCGGTGAGGGGGCAAGTCCTTTCTTAACCACTCGGCCACGGACACTTCTTCTATTTGCTTTGCTCCTTTATATTTCTTCTGTATTATTCTGATACATGACAGAATATTATGCTTTATTTATTTATTCATTTCAGATTCGGGAGTCTCTAGTGTAGGACTGTTCTCATCTATACATTTTGTAATAATACTACTGCAAATAATGGCCGGATATTTCTGATGATCTCCCGTACTTTAGCCGTCAACAAATAGGAAGTTAGGAGAAAATGCCGAATGATAATAATATTTAAATATACATGTATACCGGTATTTGAGTCATCATCACCATCATCGTCAATACCGGTATTTGATTTATCATCATCACCACCATCATCATCATCATATACATTTTACATTACATGTGAATCTACTTATTGTAAGTTTAAAGTTATTAACACTATTTTCTTTCTGTCAAACATAATCATATACACTATACATGTATAATTTCAATCAAATATTAAAAAAATGACTGTGTAGAAAGTCACAAGCATTTTTAAGAAAGTCTTTCCTTTATTTATTGTTGTTGTTATTTTTCGAGCTTGTCATATTCATTATGATCAACTCTGTAATCATCATCAGGTACACCATTTTATTTCCATTATCATCATCGTCATAATCATCATCATCATCAGATCGATTCTTTTCCGACTAAGTATATAACTATCTTCGTCTAGAGAAATTAAAGGATTATTATGATATGCGAGAGGTAGTAGGTAATGACCAAGCTATGTGATGTTTGTTGAACAGTCTAATGTAAATAAAATAAATCCACCAGTATTTTCAAATACTTTATTCATACATTAAAAATTCAATTATTATAAAATCGTTACATGCATTTATATGTGAAACATTTATACAGTTGTGTATGAATACACAGAACGAATACGGTATTTCGGTCTAACTGGAGCTAAGAAACAAAACATGTAAACAAATAGCAATTTAATACAAGGAGTTAAAGACTATATTTATACCAATATATCGAGTAAAAGTCCACCTTCAAAGATATGACAGTAAACAATACATTATTTCTATTCTTCTTACTATGGTTAAGTACAAAATGCCAACCTTTTGACATTGAGTCGGATTTGTTTACAATTGTACATCAATGGGCATATTTGAATTTAAAATGGTTGTCAGACATATTTCCAATCATAATTGTACCGAAATAAACTATATTTCCCTTAGGATGTCAAATATTTATATTCGTTTTTCATTATCGAAGATAACACTCTGTTTCTGTTTACATCTGAAACCACGTGGTAGATCTACTGTCAAACCGTATTGTTTCCGAGGTTATTATGAATTATAGCCGAGAATGTTCCGATTGGGTTAGATATTTTTGTGTTGCTCCCTTGGTTAAATATTTATCTATTGTCACATTTATCACAACCGAGATTCGTGTTCTGGTGGTTTGGTTTTGTATATATCAATAACTGATTGAGAATTAAGCCTAGTCAAAATACAGTTTACAACAATGTAAGAAATACATTGCATGACACAAAATGAAGAATCCATAGCTATTATCATTCTATTTATGGCTGAAATTTTGTGAGTTACACTTTTAATACAAGAAGCTTCGTATATAGTTTCGTTGTGAAATGAAGTACATTTATTACGTCTTTTTAATTTACCTGAATCACATTTACAACTATCTAATACTTTAGTTGATAGTTCACATTCTGTCGTGTTCTTTTTGTGATAACACCAGTCTGTTAAATCGTTGACACCACAGCACTTAAAATGTTTTTGCAATCGTAACCAGCAGTTCAAATGATCATCGTGACGTTAATTCTCTTTTCTCACCCATGGCGAAATCTAGATGTGTTGCCATGGAATTTGGTAAACGTGATGTTGCCAGGTTGTCAAGAACAACAGCAGATAACACACTGGCAATCTCTAGAGAAATAATCATACCGAGGCCTACAACGAAATACCGGACATGGCAGTTGATGTGCAAACAATTTGTCCCGATTATGCTTAACAATGCAACAATCACTGAACTTGCACCTGAAGCAGCATGTGTGTAAATCGGCGCGTAATATTTTTGCAGAAATGTGCATGCAATGTAGTTTGTCACTAAAAGCCAAATGGACGTTGATATTTGCACCAAACCATGTATCAAAATGGACAGCACAAATGTAAACGTAACGTACTTGCTGGTCTTTTCTCGACCGGTCTTGCTGAAGTGAGAAAATTTACACATTCTTCTGTCGTCAAGCCAACAGTACAGGTGAAACACATCTAGATTGCGTCGACTTCAGTCTTGTGTCCGAACCTTGTAAGAAAAAATAGATCTATATAACAAGCAAGCATTTGAGGGTTGAAACATTTTAGCCGCGTACTTGAGTGTAAGAAGCTAGGGGGCGGGATGGGGTAAGGAGCTCGATCCATACCCAATAAAAGAGTACTTCTGCGATACATATTACTTTTTGTTCAAATAATTTAAACATGAATTATTTAGAAAAAGGTTTTTGTTATATTTGACTCATGATAAAAACAAGTATGCTTCTATAAAATTTACTTTGATTCGACGATCTATCATGTTTCTTAAACGGACATATTTGAAATTGCACACGTTTTAATTGAAACGTTTTTATTTATACAACATAAGTATATATAGTCTAAATTCACATTTGGTTAATGCCACTTGATCCGTGTTAAAAATAACGATTCCAAATTTAGACAATCCCTACTGACAAAATGTTACAGTTGTTTTACGGTAACCAATTGGATAATCAACTGGCGTTGTACTGACAGGTGCGGAACGGTCGATACAGCAGCAATTAATATTAGACGAGGCGTATGTATACATGCAGTACATTCCGAGGACTATGTACATATTAAACCATGAAATGTATCATATGATATATTTTAAAAATACTAATATAGTTTACTTCATGCCCAGAAATGTCTAGATTTAAGCTTCGCGTCGTGTATAAAAAAAAGTACTGATAAATTGTGATAAAATATAAAATCAAAAGATTCTAATTATTCTACCTAAATAACTGTTTTATTGAAGCGATATGTTCAATTTACATATATCCAATACTCCAATACCCAATGATTTATTTCCAATTTTCCGTACATATATTATTGCCAAAAAAAGAAAATGAAGCATATACATACATGTAAAGACAGTTACAATACAATGGTATAACATATTTGGCAAAATGCGTTGACCCGCAAGTTTTCTCAATATTAGCAACGGTCTTCCATTTCCATAGATCTATTTACAAGAAATATTTCAGTCCATATCACATGTTTTATTCCCAAGTCCATGCTTGATAATTATCCTACTTCCCAACTTATCTGACATCTTTAGCTAAGTTACAAAGAAAATAATAACATTATTTCGCCTGTAAAATGCAGTCGATTTCATTAATCCAGTAACTACTTTCACTCCTTATTGATTTACCGTTTACGGTCAATATTTCTTTCATGTACTGGCACAATTTCATTTATTTACAGACTCCGATACGCTGTAAGCCAATACAAGAAGTTACCTGTTATAATCTGATAATGGTATATAATGACCAATACGTTACTGTGTGTCATTGTATATTCCAATAGAAGATTGCGTACAGTATTGCTGCAGAATATACTTACATGCTATTCAATGCATGGAGCGTTATCTCCTCATTAATATGTATGAATTGAAATGTTATATACATGTAAATGGATTTAAGTTAATACATTAGTTAATATGTATGAGTATGTAACAGTTACTGACATTTGGATACCTTTTTACGTGACTTATTTGCCCGTGTGCACAGCAAAAACATCTAACTCCAAACTTTTGAAATATGCAGACCCTGCTCGTACATATGAACGAAATTGCTTGTTTTACCAAACCAAAAATGACTAAAGAGCGACAGAATTAGAAAGGTGCGCAATTTATTGAGAGTTCTTACGTTAGACCTCTTAATAGTTGCCAAAATTAGCATGTATTTACTCTAGTAAATATTTCTGTAACATTTTAGTGCCCTTTATAATTGAAAATGTATTTTGAATTTTTTAGGAGTTTTTAATGTAACGTCTGGTGACTTTAAAATTTGTTTTGTGTGTATATTTCCGAGAAACTCTTTTCGGGTGAAAGGATTATATACTACGTGCCAGCATTTAAACGGATTTAACTCACTTCAGTGCTGGAGCAGTATCCCTAGACACTTTACCAGAAATCATATCACATTTAAATTGGGCAATTTTAGAAGTGACACAAAAAACGAAAACTTCTGAAGCGTACACGTGCTAACTTAATATATATCTGGACAGTGATGACGTTTAAGGTTGAAGTCTATTTCTAGCTCAACAGAGACTAGACTCAAATGTAACTAATTTTCTATATGATACAGAGGGTGAGAATTGAGTGGGCCAACGCCATTTTATAATGTCCCGAAATCTGGTCCGTATAGTGTTATTGATACCTGCATGCAGGCCAAACTGGGCATGTGAGAAAACAACAATATAACAAAACATTATTAAACAAAGTAAAGTGATATAATTATAGTAATGTGAAACCATGGCAATGTTATGAACATATGTACACAAGAAGAAGAAAAAAATAGAAATAATACAATTGCAGTTATAGAATGGTAGAATAAAATCATTATGCATGAAAATATCTTTACAGAAGATTGCTAGATTGAGTAAAACATTTTTGATTTCACTATTCATCAACTTTGAAGATTTAAGAATGTAAGATTTGTCTAAATAAATCTTTCACGGGTCGTGAAAAAAGGAACAGTTAATAAATAAATAATTGAATTCATCACCTAACGAATTATTAGATCAGAAACTACAAAACTCTAAGACTTCTATCAAAATTTAAAAATCTACATGTTTCTATTTGCATTTTATGTTTCAAACATCTCAATTTGAAAAACGCAATTGCTAAATCTGATGGAATTTTTAAAAAAAACATATTCCGTTTTAAAAATTATATAATTCAGGCATTTACTGGACTCATACATAAATGTATACATGTAGAAGTTTGCCAACACTAAATTAACCGATCTTTTATTTTAACAGAAACGAATATGTTTGAAAAGTCCAATAACTTGACAAACCGAGATAATCTAAAGAAGTATACACGAATTTTTATTTTTTTTATCATTTATTAATTTGCCCCAATAGTTTTAGACTTTATCAAGGGGCAGGACGTGAAGTGGTTGCACACTTGGTTCAAGCGAGCGAATTTGGTTGCAAACTTGACAAAATGGCGAACACGGCGTGATTTTTTGAAACGGGTGAACGAATTTTTGCCAGGCAAGTGGGTTTCTTTGTTATTTTGAAGTTCATTAGTATGTCTATTCCATAATGCAATATATATGCCACACTCGGCTAAAGGTTTCAGCATCCTAGATTCTGTTTTGACGGAGTTATTGAAGATATAAACTGATCATGTAGATATTTTGAAATTTGACATGGGACTGATCTGGTCGGTTTTGCTCCTAATTTATTCGAATTTGTAAGTTTTGAACTGCATTTAACAATAACAAAATATGTTTATGTCAATGCTGTACAAAAGGTTTATTTCGCAAGTCCGAAGATAACGTTCAATACACAAAAATATCGTGTTCAAGCACATTTTGGTTACAACCAATTCGCTCGCTTGAACCAAGTGTGCAACCACTTCACGTCCTGCCCCTCGTTTATTAGACTAATAATTTTGAACCCTTAATTTGACTCATTTTGATTTTCTGGCATCAGAAAAAAGCACTATAGACAATTTAAGATAAACTTTAAAAGCATTTGTGCTTAAAGTATCGCATACTCTTTTCGACAGAAAAATTAAACCTTAAAAAGGTAGGGTGTCCTAAATCTGGTCCGAAGTGTCTGGTACGAAATATCCATTGTGCGAAACGTCCAATAATCAATTTTAGAACGGGTAATGACACGGAATTTAGATAATCGCCAAATGAAAGCGTCCAGCGTTGAAACAGAAGAAACATGTTTCTAGACCCGTATCTATAAAATATCTTCATTTCTGTATAAAGCTAAATTGTTTTGATAATTAAAGAAATGCAATTGACATTTATTTGTTATTTAAACAATATTGAGGGTTTGCGCTACATGAACTTTACCCAAAAATACAATTTAGTCTACAAAAGAGGCAACCGGTGTTCCTTACCCCACCCATTCACTTAGAGTTTTGAATTGACGGTCAGTATAGAGATACTTAACACCTAGTCTGAGTGTTGGTTATACGTTAGAATTATACTTTTTATATATATTCAAAAGCTAAGTCCCATCTCATTTATTAAACATTGATGAAACCTGTTAATTTTTACCATTCTGTTTTGACATTTGCTTGTGAATGGTGACCTTGACACCTGGATTTCGCTTGTGTCACTTTGGGCTATCATGTCCATAGTAGTTAAGTGCGTAGCTATGTAGGTAACTAGTACCCAGAGTCCTCTATATCACCCTAAAATAATATGAAAAGGCAAAGCCTCAAAGCGAGCTCGATTTACTTATACCCTGAAATAGTCGTTCATTTTTATTTAACATTTTCCGTTTTAAAATTGTCATTCTGTATTTTATACACTGCTTCCGTTTATTCTGGTTCCCTGTCCTATTATGGTTCCCATTAGTCCAATATATTAGACGTTACAGGCTTGTTATAGTTTTTGTCGGTCAAGCCTGACGTCTAATAGTTATTGCTCAAAAACGCATAGCATCATAAAAAATTCCAAAAATGTCTATTGTCTTGCCTTTCAAGCTTTATTCAAAAGCTTATCATATTTTCTTTCAATTTCATGCTCAATCATACACAAAAACTTTCAAACGATGTACTTATCAATTTAAAATAAAATATAAACATCAATCTATATATGTCTATCAGCCATACTGGTTAAGCAAGGTGCTTTACAGATTGATCCCAAATTTTTGAACGGAAAAATATATTCGAACACACTGACGGTGCATGGACAATTATTTCGTTAAAAAATTATTCCGTTAGATTGTTCTGACTCAGTTAAACGCTTGCATTTGAATTAGCCAATCAGATTTCGCGCACTTTACGGCCGCCATTTGTTTATCGGCTGTAAAAGGAATTGAAATACATGAGAGGATTAAATCATGATTTTTCGGATATGACAGTTTAATTATTTTGACAAAAGGTATTTATTTTTAAGTTTTGTTCATAAATAGGTTAAAAATTATGTAAATACACGCTGTCTTCATTGTTTTTCGTTCCGCCCGATTTTCTGGCGGAACATGCTATGGGTTTTTGAGCAATTTCGATATGACGTTGCTTTGCCCAGAAGCAAAAATATCTCAAAGCGACGTCATATTTATAGGACTAGGTTCCCATATAAGTGCACAGGACACCAGTCTAGGCTTCCGTTTTCAATCAGAATACCTTGGCTTTTATCGTTATCTTGTAATTTGAAAGGTTGAGATGTGTCAATTCGGTACTTCGGAAGAAAGTTTTCAAAACCATCACTGCCTAGAAGCATACATGCCATATTGTCCGGGAAAGTCCCGGAAATAAGGTGTCTGTCTCGGAGATGTTTTAGGTCCCTGTAAAAAAAAAATCTAAAATAATCTACTTTGAAGCAGGAAATTTTACATTTTTATATAATTTTATTGTCAAGTTTTTATAAACTAGTCTGGAACGCTAATAGCAATGATTATCCCCTTACAACACTAATCCTTTGATTGGTATATCTATGTGCCCCTTCCAACAAACATTTTATCAGCAATTATTTTGATCAATTAAAAGATTGTTTACCCCCTGTGGCTTCCTGTGCGAAGGTGTCATACACTGTAATTAACAACTGGCCAGTATGAATTTAATCCGCCTGCAGGCAGTTATCAGGTTATTAGTGGTCAATCACCGTGAAAATTACCGCTAAATATGAGGTTATGAAATCTACAAAATTCAGCGAATGTTTCAGGTAAACAACATGGCTAATTGTCCTTACTTAACATAGTTTTATTCTATTCTGTGACTGATTGAATTTACGACGCCTAACTACTTAAAAAAGATAGAAAAACTGTTAATAATTATTGACATTTTGTCTTTTGTTTATGGTGTCCTTAAATTTGCAAGTTGTAAATACCGGTAATATAGGTTGTATGCCACTATGTAAATTTAAAAAAAATTACGTTTGCTGATCAATGCCCCACCTCTAAATGAAAAGTGTCCCGGAAATGAGTCTAAAAATTATGGCATGTATGCTAGCAGGTACTCGCGTTACCGTACAGCTTGCTTTGCGAGCAGGCCTTCCAGGCCAGTTCTTCGAGCTTGCTATTAATTTGATTAAATTCATGTGTAGCAATAAAATATAATATCATTAAAATTACAGAACTAGCCAAAAGTTTTAGGTGTAGAGCTTAATTTAAGTACCCACAAAAATTTCTTTGTGACAAAAGCACAAAATTTCATTTTCATGAATTTAAGTGAATTCACACTATTTGCACTTGCATGAAATGTCTTAGTGATATATCATAATGAATCTTTCGCTTAGTGAAGTAACATGTTAACTCCTATATTGTTTCCAAAGATGTTAACTTTTTATTGCACAAAGATGACAACATGTGTTTTTTTTATTTTGCAGACTTGAGGTAAATATGGCTGAAGATAGTAGTAAGAAAATCAAGTATGTTCCTATGGTGTTAGAGAAGTCACAAGTCCCTAGAGGAGCTATCAGGGTTTCCCAGTCGGATGTTATAGCAATGCAACAAGCTAGAATAAGAAGATGTAAATCTATCTCTGAAATGTACGTATCATTGGCATAGCCATACTGTAAACTTTCTAAATTCATATCCCCTTACAGGGAATTATAGGAAGGTTTTAATAAGGCAAAGGGATACAATATAGTGGGACTGGCGATTAGCTTTGTATTATGTTTTCATCCAAACAGGCCCATGCGCCACCACTTTGTCTTGCTGATCATTGTGAAATGGTATGTTTTTGTTCATGGAGTTCTTTAGAGAAATATGACATAACATGTGTAAAGTTTTCACAATCCATTCGTTTAACATTATGCAATGAAAAATCCAAATTTATCAAGTTATTATTTTTATAATAACAGCATTTAACACTAGGCTAATCAATCATTCAGTTGCCAATTGGAAGTCAACATAAAACTACATATATAATTATGTAGTCGAAAGTTGCTATACCATAGTAATTTTTCCAAGGTAAAACATATTAACTTTGTTTCTGTCTGTCTCAATCTGTTTGTTAGCCAAGTGGGTGTCAAACAAGACGGTTTCTGGTCAATAACTAAAAGTCAGATTAACCAATATAAATCAAACTTTTCCTAGGTGGAGGTCAATGTAATTGTTACAATAGAAATTTGTCTAGTGAATAACTACAGTTAGAAATGAAATGTTTTCAATGAAATTTGGTGTGTTGCAAGATTATGTGAAGACCTCACTTGGAAGTGCTTTTGGGACCCTAGGGGTCAAGGTCACTGTTACTAAAAATAGAAAATTATGTTTCTGGTCAATAATTAAGCCTTAAATTGAAATCGTTGCAAGGGTTTTTGCTCTAATCAGGAGAAGAATAGCATTTTATTGCTGTGCTTATTTCTTAACTATATTACGCATATCTGTTTTAAATGTACCAGCTGATCTATGTAAGAAGTTCTAATCTTGGTATTTTTAGGCTAAAGTGAATGGCGCATGCACAAAGTCATTGCTGAACAAATAAAATCCGACATAAAATAGCAAAATAAAATTTTGTGTCTGAACATTTTATTCTGTATTATACAGTTTATGTACTGCATTCATTTGTGTGAAATAACAGAGACATTCTATGTTTTAACTTTTTGGAGAGAATCGACCATGGAATCAATATAATTTATATACTGTTAATGAATTTTATTAAAATATTTCATAAGATACAGCTTTATACCCTTGAAAGTAAATCAATAATATATATATTTGAAAATTGTGAGTAATTGTTTGAAATTGAAATATCCTAATATCATAAGTTTCATTAGTTTTATTAAATTATCAAAAAAGCTTTTCTTTTTCTTTTCATTTTTCAGAAGTGCTTTTCGATTTGCACCACATATACTCGGAGCTTCAACTGCGTTAACTGCAATGTCTATTAATTCACATTTTCGGTTAAAGTTTCAGTTAATGAATCTTGGAGTGATGTTTAGTTACGGTCCAGTAGTGGTTGTTCCAACCTTAATGACTCTTTTATTGAATGATTTTTTGTCGACCAAGGTGCTTTTACAACCTGAGTGTAGGGAGTGCCTACAGGTGAGAAGTGGTGTTTTTCAAGTGGCAACCTCTGTGTTATATAGTTCTGTACTTGCTCCGTTAACCAGTATTATATTATCAAGGAGAAACTTCACATATGCAAATCCTAGGAATAGATTTGAACCAAACATATACCATGCATTAAAGACAAATGCATATGTACGTGGATGCTTGGCAGCTTTAATGGCTGCAAATTTTACACTAGGGGCTTATGTACGATACAAACAAAGCCAACAACTGGATAGTTTAATGGAGAAGGAATCCCACGTCGACACAAAGAAAATTCTAGAAGAAATAAGAGACTAATTTTAATTACATTCATTTGATATTAGATTGTTGCATCTGTTCTGTTACTTTTTTATTCATGATAGCATGTTATGAGTTCTATATTTCAGCATTTTTCAAAAGTCCTGTGAAATTAAGAAACAATTTGAGCCGTGTCACGACAAAACCAACATAGTGCATTTGCGACCAGCAATGGATCCAGACCAGCCTGCACATCTGCCCAGTCTGATCAGGATCCATGCTGTTTGCTATCAGTTTCTCTACTTGTAATAGAGTTGGTAAGCGAACAACATGGATCCTGATCAGACTGCGCAGATGCGTGTTGAAAAAAAATCATGATAAAACTTAGTGACATTATGCCCATCCTAAAGTATATAGTGTGTCTACAGGTGAAAACCAAATAAGTTACATTTTGCCATTATTCTTTTTAATTTTATTATTTACTTCACACGAATAATAAATAACTCACATGGCCTGAAAAAAAACTTCCTGTAAATATCCATCGGAATTTACATGTGACATTCAATATTTTAAAAAGAATGGGGCAGTCTTTTTTTTATATTTTGGGCAGATTTTTGTATCCTTAACATTTTCCAATTTTTATTGATGATCAAACACCATTAAAACAATCAATGTTTTGAAAGGTGTAATAAGTTCAGCTCAACTTAACAATTAAATAATGAGCATAATGTCACTAACCACCTACTTATTTTCTTTCAAAATAGACTTGGTGTATGTTTGATTTTACAACTGTATGTTATAAAAATTATGTTTAAAGCCTCTAAAGTTTATGCTGTTGTTTTGAATAATGAAATATAAGTGTTAGTAGCTGATACAGAAAGAAATGGGGGAAATGTTATTCAGTTTGCCATAAATGTTTTACAGTTGAGTTTATGTTTGAAAGCTATTTGCACTGCCATAATCATGAAATGAGCCGCGTCACGAAAAAACCAACATAGTGGGTTTGCGACCAGCGTGGGTCCAGACCAGCCTGCGCATCCGTGCAGTCTGATCAGGATCCATGCTGTTTGCTGTCAGTTTTCCACTTGTAATAGAGTAGGTAAGCGAACAGCATGGATCCTGATCAGACAGCGCGGATGCACAGGCTGGTCTGGATCCATGCTGGTCGCAAACCCATTATGTTGGTTTTGTCATGACTCAGCTCAAATGGTTATAAAATGATCAAATGTTTAATTACCTATAAATTATGAATGTTGCACTTTATATTAAATGTGCTTTTTGAATTTGAGGTAAAAAGTGCTCAATATATAATTTATGTATATTGAATGTTTAGATGTTAAGTCTGGACAATTGAATATCAAAGTGTTTTAAGTTAATTTTAATAATAAAGCTAGAAATGAAATTTGTGTCACTTGTATCATAGTTTAGAGACATTTCTATTGAAAATGTGTCAGTTAAATCATATACCCATAAATGCACAGGTTGTCAACTTATCTGCTTTCCACTTACAGGACTGTCTGCCAGGGATGAAAATAGAGCATAGTTAATTAGCTACATTTTTATGGGGTTTACTTATTATGACAACAGGGAAAAGGATGGTGGAAAAATTTTAATCAGATACTGAATTATTCTGAGGTTTCATATTGTGACAACAGGGAAAGTGTTCTTATTTTGCCTATGATACAACACATTTAAATTTAAACAGTCAATTCATTCTTTTGCTAAGTGCTTGTAAGGAATTAAAAAGAAAAAATGGTTACCTCCCTTTACCTATAAAATTCATTTGCATACATTTGTATTAGTGATGAAAAAACAGAACAAAAATGATCAAGGGGCTCCAATGAAAGTATTATACATATCTGATATCAGCAATTAATGATATTTGCTTTGTGACTATCTTTCAGTTTTATTCACAGTAACCTTATTGGTCATATTTCAGCACTGTTTAAAAGAATACTCTTATCAATTATTACTCTGGACCCAATCAATGACATGCATTTAACTTAGTCTCCATTGATTTCTGGTAAGACAGACATTTATTCTGGTCAGCTGCTTTATACATTCATATACAGTCAAACCTGGATTAAAGACTGACTCTGAGCGAATAAAGACCATTTGAGAAAATAGGAAAGGTAACTTCCAAATAAAGACAACTTGTCTGTAAATACCATTATTTGTCTCTCTTTTGGGTGTCCTTTGTTCACAGGTTTCATAACAATTGCATACATTAACTCTATACACTATCTTAATTGGACATTGGGTGTCCATGGCCAAGTGGTTAAGGTCGTTGACTTCAAACCACTTGCCCCTCACCGCTGTGGGTTCGAATCCCAACAGGAACTGTGAGGAAGCTATCCAGCTAGCTTACGTAACGTTGGTGGTTCTACTCAGGTGCCTGAAATAATGCACGGAAGTGCACCCGAGGTCTTCCTCCACCAGTAAAGCTGGAGCATCGCGATATGACCTAAACTGTGGCGATGTGACATAAAACCCACAGCCTTACAGCTTACTCAGTAGTATTCCTTTATGTATTACTTTCAAAACACCAAGAACTATTCTGAACCTTTAAAAATATCTCCTCTCTCAAGCAAATGCTATTATGAATCCATTATACAGTCAGTTATGACATATTTTAAGATTGCTAGTCTTGATTAACCCATAACCTGCTCTTTCCATGTGACCAATACAGACTAAGATCACCTATCTGATCATGGTAGTCTCTGGTTGCTGTTCTGCAAGTTCATAGATTGAATGGACTTCTTTTACTCAGGGTGTCCGTTCTCGGGATTTCATGGCTAGTGAACACCCTGTTTACTTGAGACTTCTATGAATAAAATTGCTTTTTGCAGGGAAATTTGAAAACAATGGTGATATATTCCCTTCCAGAGGACAATATTTATATGCTGTACATTATCCTCATTCCAGAAGACAATATTCATTTACTGGTATATGTATATCCCCCCCATTCAAGTTGACAATATTCATATATTGGTTTTATCCCATTTCAGAAACAATTTTCGTATGCTGGTATTCCACTTTCTTACTTCTAGTAATTCCCCATTCCAAAAGACAATATTTATATATACCAGTTTGAGAAGGTAACATTCATATGCTAGAAAATATCCCTCTGCCCAGAGAACCATATTCCTATACTACAGGTATACCCCCATTTGAGAAGACAATATTATTATGCCATTAAATCCCCACATACTAGTATATCCACATTCCAGAAGCTTCTTTACATTGTTGATCTATAAATAGTTATTGTATAAAATGGACAGACCATGGTATCAATATACAACACAATCAGATATTTTGCAAATAGTTCTTTATTTTTCAATATCTTATTCTTGAGCTTATTTTACAAGAATTAACCCTGCTAATGTAAAATAAATAATTCTACAACTACTAATCTTAGGAATACACAGACTGTCAATTTAAGTAATCAAAAACATACAAAAAGAAAAATTCTTCATTATTTACTGTTCCATGCCTGTGTAAACAACAGATAAGTTGCCAATTTTAAAGTTGAACATCCATTATCTTATAAAAGTCATTGTTATAAAAAGAAAGCAAATGCATGTCAAAATTTAGATATCCAATCAAATGTAGACACAGATGGCTGGAGACTGTGCTATTCTAAGGTGCTGCTCAAGTATAACTAAAACCAAACTATCGATTTTGAATAGATAATACTGAATAGACAGAAAAAAAATCTGAATAAAGCAATTTGTATTAAATTATTTGAACAATACAAATAGCTAATTTAAAACAAAAGGGTCACCACCATTTAATAGAGCCACCTTGCACGTTGGAGATTGATCATAGCTATAGATTTACCACCAACAATACAACTTGCTGGATGACAGACCTATAAGCAGATGACCCAACAGTGTGAAATGAAAACATTCAAGAATCAGGTGTTTGTAAGAAAATATGTTTGTTGTTTACTCACAGAGTGAGTATCATCCTTAACCTTTTAAGCTATTTGATTAAAGCGGCCTTGAGATTTTCTAAAGGTTAAATAAGTTTTTGTTCTTTTAAATAAATCATTTTATATATTTGTCAAATCAAAAAATGAAATTTGCCAATGACAAAATACATAAACAATACGTAAACCTCTCGATGCTTCTAATCTACGGGTCCGTTCTCTGTATTTATATTTAATAAACCCAACAATTTGTTTCCCAATCCTTAATTTTTATAAACAAATGTCACTGTTTTGAAGAAGGCTTAACAGTGTTTTAATGCATCTTACCGAGATAAAATTACTTCAGTACATAAGTTTGAATCAACACAGACTTGTTTATTAATCAGAAAATAAAAGCTGAAGGCCGCTTTAAAAGCTTATCACAACTCTAATCAATCTAAGTATATACATTGTCCATGTATGTTATAACAAAAGAATCTTTTCTTGTAAAAAAATTAAAATCTACCTGGATTACAAAATTCGAAAGTTTACAAATTGTAATTATAAAATGTGTCTGATATAGGCATTATTTCAACAGAAATAAACAAATTTTGATTACATCAGTATATCTGATCATCTCTAAAAATGGTCATTCTTTTAAAGAAATTAAAAAATATTTAAATTAAAAAAAAACTAATGAGATAAATGTGAATTGACAAGCAGAGATTTTATAGACATTTCTATCTGATCACAATTTCCTAAACTGTTTTGACCTAATCACAAAAATTTCTATGTAAACAGAGCTGTCGGGACTGAAAGTTTTTTATCATTAATCCTTAAAATTAGAATAACAGATACTACAACATTATCATCCTTTTATATCAACTCATATTTGCTCAGTGGCACAGCACTGATGCAGTGGGACACGCCACAATTGTACTAAAGCACAAACTGACCTTCTTTTCCCTTTGAGTTGCATAGCCTGGACAAATGTCCTCTAGAATTCTGAGTTAAAATATTGAACAGTTAATTTCTTTAAAAAAACAAAAAAAAAGCAACTGGTCTAGTAACACACAAAACAAAAGCAGAGATTAAAATTCTTTTGTCAAATAAAGCTCTTTCAAGAAAAAGATACCTATTTCTTTCAGTTTATAATATTTCAAATATAACATTCTGTTTCAACAACAAGAAGACAAAAAATAAGCAACAAAACATGTTTATAAAACACTTATGTCCATGTCCCACATCTTTAAAGTGACATTATGCTCATTCAAGTGTAAATGATCATTGAAGAGGTTAAAAATGAAAATTATTTGACAATTAACAATAACTATGTTTAAATTTTACCATGAAAAATAATTAATCATATACATTACCATTGGAAATTTCTATAAATATCATCCAGAATGTATCAATAAATTTTATTTTTTTCTAAAGTGGGGACAGCCTTTTAATAATTTAGGTGTTTTTATATTGTATCATACACAATTTGTCCATAATCAAACATCATTAAAGAAGCCAATCTTTTGAAATATATACTACTAATTCAACTAAACTTGACAAGTGAAAAAGAAATGAGCATAATGTCATTTTAAATGGATAACAAAGTATATGGCAAACTTTTTCTGAATGTTGACCATAAAGGTCAGTGTTACTTATTTGTCAATGCATTAAGTACAGCAATCATACACAAATATGAGCCGCGATATGACAAAACTAACATAATGGGTTTGCGACCAGCATGGATCCAGACCAGCCTGCGCATCCGCGCAGTCTGATCAGGATCCATGCTGTTCGCTTAAAACCCTATAGCAAGTAGAGGAACTGATAGCGAACAGCATGGATCCTGATCAGACTGTGTGGATGTGCAGGCTGGTCTGGATCCATGCTGGTCGCAAACCCATTATGTTGGTTTTGCCGTAATGCTGCTCAATTATGTTTCTTCTTCATATGAAAGCTCTAGTAAATGAGTTGAGGTTGTTGTGGCCAAGTTTTAAGTTGTTGCAATAGAGGCCAATAAAAAGACATGATAAAATTATTATACCATGTAGGGGCATAAAAAAATACATAAGCAACTTAGCTTTTATATTAAATGTGACAACAGCGTGAAGCTAAATGTCAGAACAATTTTATTTACAGAGAAAATACATACATAAAAAATTGACAGCATTGTGCTTTGCAGCATGATTTCAAACATTTCACTCCAATCGTTTTAAATTTCTTTAATGCATTCTCCATTTAAAGAAAGATGAAATGTGATTTAAAAAAACAAAACCTCATGATAAATCATTTTCATTATGCATTTATTATAGTTAAATTTAATCAAATACAGCTAAAAAGAAATCTTGAAAAAGAAACTTTCCCTACAATGAAAAGAAAGCCCCCTATTTGTCATTTAATGAAAAGATTTTCTACCATTTTTGTGTTAACCAGATATCCTATATTTATGCATATTTTATCAAAAAATCGATACAGTAATCCAAGGATTTCAAAGTTTAAATCTACATTAAAGGCACGAAATATAAATGTATACAGACCAAAGTCTAAAAGCTTTTTTCTTTTCCATTTTAAGTCTAGTTAAAGTAAACTTACAACGATATAAACTTTCTAAACACCACTTATAATTTAAAGAAAAATATAGATCTTTAATCTAGTCAAAAAATTTAAAACAATTTTTCAATTTCACATTCAGTTACATAAAATTCAGGATCTAACAATTATAAATGAAAATTTGTGTCGAAAAACAAAAAGGTATCAAAACAATTGTATCATAATTTGTTTTCATTATTAACACAATGTAATGAACATAATTATATGTTTCTTAGATTCCAACTAAAATTTTCATTTTAAAATGGGAAACACTGTCAATTTCTTATAAGAGATCAGACTTCTTATCATGACTATAGCAAAGGCTTATCAAAAATATAGCAAAACAATAAATAAAATATTAGGCCACTTTTAAAATAATGTTTGTGTACTGTCTCCTGACCATATTTCTAATCATTTTTCCACTTCTCTTAATTTTCAAAAAAAGGTCTCTTTTATACCTTTTGCCCTTTTATATGCATACACACAAAATCACATATTTCTTAAGAAAATTGATATTATCTAGACAATTAGGAGACTGTAAACAAACCGGATTATAACATTGGCCTTAAATGTCAAATATTTACAGTGAGATAGCTTTAAGCGAATTATATACATAACATTATTATAATATATAATTATGTATAAAAGTGGAGGCATTTTGAAGCTTTGTGATATATCAAATTGTTATTTTACAAAATATTTTCATGGAAAGTTTTTGTGTTGTTTTTTGTTTCTGTTAGAAAGATTATTTTTTAATGGCAAGAAAATATGCCGTTACAGTTCAGCAACATGGTTGCTATATATAGTACGTATAAATATCTACAATTTATGTGTGTTAATCAATGAAATACAAGGTATTGTCCAATGAGATATGAAAAATATCACCCACTGTAAACAATAAACACAGTTCATCATTGAATAACATACAATAAATAGAAAATATGCTACATGAATATGTTTTATATCTCATATCAATGAATTGTAAATGTTTATATTTCACTATTGCACAGCACTAGTGACAATATATTTGCAATTTTTTCACTACTTCATAAGATACAATCCATATTTCACTGAAAAATGAACATATATACCACTTTAAAAGTTAGTATAAATATAAATAAATACAGTAAATCATGGCTCTAGCAAACAGGACAAAAAAATCAACACTAAGTTTGGTCTGTTTTCAATATTCACCTTAGCCCTGCTAAATTTGTATAAGTCTCGATGTTAAAAACCTTATACTCGGCGGTCTTGCATCTCTGGATATTCATTGGTCAGTGTACATTTTGTGCCTGTTTCTAACATAAAAAAATAAAAAAATTCTTTATAATCTTCAACTCCTGTCTTTCTTTGCTTAAATTAAATGGACACCACTGAGGTTTGCTGACAAGCTAGGAGTGAAATTATTTTTTCAACATTTTTGTACCACTTAGTGTAACATAACCAGCTTGCAAAATTTCAAGTTATTCACAAAAATGCTTAAAGTAAGCAGTAAAAGGTATTGTTTGACCGTAAAGCACAAAGATACTTGATGACCCGATTGACCCCGACCTGGTGACAGGATTAATGTACAACCAGCACTAAGTGGCGTGTGTTTTTTTTATTGATTTATTTTTTTCTTTACAATCAATAATCTACTTTATAAAATCATTTTGAGATCTGAGTTGAAGCTATAACCATGTTTACTGTAAATAAATACCCGTTCTTACAACATCATCTTGAGAATTTAAAAGTTAAAAAATGATTTTCTGATTATTTTGAAGCTTTTTTTTTTCAATTAACAGTCGTAACATTATTGCCATATCAACTGAAGTAACACTATAAAAATGTTTTAAGACAACCAATATATAGTCTTTCTATAACAGAAAATACAGCTCTTCAACATATCAAAATTATCTTAAGTGTATGAAGTTAGCAGTAAAAGAAACCAATGTATTAAATAAGACTTAAGTGTCTATTTCATCATTTTAACAATGAAACAAAAAAATCGTTTTAATCAAAAAGTTCTTTGAAACTGAGATTCACCATTAAGTAGACAGTTTAAAACTCTAGTCATCTCCCTTGGCTCCTACATTTATCAATACTGAATACTTTCTTAAAATCAACAATCTATTTAAGTTACCTCCCTTTATCTATTAATTACATTAAAACTTGTCCATAGTAGTTTTCAAAAAGACTTGGCAGCTCTGCTTTTAATAACAATTTTGATCTTGAATCACTTAACAGCTTATTAAGAAAGAAGATTCATAACTAATGGACAAATGGATTTCAGTTTCTTGTATAGAACATTTGTTTGATCTTATAAATATAGGCGTTATATACATATGTTATGTACAAACTTTGGGGTCCGTACTCTCAGTGTCTGAAAGGACAGATGGACCCTTATTAAAACCTAGAACACGCACATGTACAAACTTATCCAAATTCTCTGTCTTAATTTAACACTTGGGTGTACAATTATGTTATTCGTATCTTCACTGCATTAGCTCTTACTTTCCATTGATAAAAATCTTTCTTAATATTATATTAAAATCTTCAAAACAATAGTCATTGTAGAACAGATTTTTTAACCATCTCTTAGGTCAATGAAGTTTAAAAAAAATCAAGTATTCAACAATCTACTCCAAATTAACATTGGTCTTTGTACATGTACATCTTTTAAAAATTACCACTCATTTTCTGACATCAGAATTGATTTCTATAAATAGAACAAATACACGAGTCTGAAGGCCAGTGGACTTTACAAAAACAGCATGTATAAAACAACGGGAGAGAGACTTCAAAGATGGAGTATTTTTCATATTCAAACTGAAATTCCATCACTGAGGCCAAACATTGCACGCTTGCCAAGAAAATAGTACAAAGTATTTTTTCCAATAGGTTTTCCAAAACAGAAATCGCCCCTTGATCTGTTTGGATACATTGAGGTTGTTCTAATTGGAGGCTGTCATTTCACGTGAGCTTCTTCAGTTGTTCGTAGGTCATGAAGAAAATGATGTTCCAAGGTCCAAGTCTTAGCCAGTTTGGTATGAAACCTTTATAAAGGGCCGTAAGACCTTCTGTTTTTACCGTCTGAAACAAAAAGCACATAATTCATAACAGTTTTGTTATATTGTAGATTCAATATATTCTTTGCCTTTTCATACTTAAATGGCTCTTATCAAAGTTATATTCATTCATTAAAGCTGTGCATGCCACCCAGATAAGCCAAAATATTTTTTTTTTTAAATCAAACTTGAGAGAAAAACGTACTAAAATTTTAAATTAAGTAAAAAGATTCAAGATTTATGTAATAATTTACATATTATAAGGGATGAATGATCTTTCTTTTCAATGACTGATCACCATATTTCTATCACATTTCTACTTCAATATATCTATTTTTTGCATATTTTTTTCTTCTTTTTGGTAATTTATGTCAATTGTTTGTGCTGTTTGTAATATGTAAACTACTTTCTTTGTTCACTTCACAATATTCTACTTTTAAAAAACATTTTCATAATTTTCATGAAAATAAGCATGAATCTAGAGGCATGCTGCTTTAATAGGCAATACTTGTACGCCTCAATCTAATAAGCAAGAAATTCATTTGAGCAAATTAATAATAAAATCTTTGCTAATCCAAGACATTGCAGTTTTTCTACAACAACTGCATATGAAACTATCAATAAAAGTTTTTTAAAGCATCTATAATCAGAATACTAAAACTGTGCAGCTAACGCTATAAGGGATGTCAGCAGCCAAGAATACCTCTATACTGGAGTCCTAGGTTACGTAGCATCATCTTATATATGAGCCGCGTCATGACAAAACCAACATTGTGCATTAGCAACCAGCATGGATCCAGACCAGCCTGTGTATCTAGGCAGTCTGATAAGGATCCATGCTGTTCGCTTACAGATGATTATTATTATTATTATTACAAACCCTATTACAAATTGAGAAACTGATAGTGAACAGCATGGATCCTGATCAGACTGTGCGGATGCGCAGGTTGGTCTGGATCCATGCTGGTCGCAAACCCATGCGCGGCTCAATTATATTTCATCACATGTATTCAGCTACAATTGTACATATACATCATAATGTACATGATGTAACAATTATAACTGATTATAACAAATTGTAAACAAGGAAGTCACAAGATTAAATTCATACTTTATGACACTTCCATCTTGCTCCTAGCTATATGTGTCAACATGAACCAGAAAAAATCCTCTACATGATTTAACAAAACACTTCCTATCTACTATGTTATCTTTTCAACACTAGAGTGGTAATGAAAAATATATCTTATTTTGGGGGAAAATATATCTTATTTTGGGTATCAAATTCTTTCATTTTAAATATAAATATCAATTTAACTTACAAAGTTAAAAAGTAACTATAATGCAGTTAACAGTTTTGAATTATGTCACACTGAACATATCTGGTAAAAATAACAACTTTTCTGGTAAAACCACAAAAATTACTTGGTATAACCACCAACCTGTCAAAACTTAACAGCACTGATCAAATATTATTTGTTCAGTTATAAATCATGTTAAGTTGGCATTATTGAAATTTGGTATCCAATAAGACCCTCTAAGAACAAAGACACCAAAAAATGATATATGACAATCACACACTCAGATTTACTTTGAGTCTGTTGACAAAGAGACAATGAAAAGTACATCATTTACAACGGAATTAGAATCTCCTTATATAGGCAGTACTCATTATCAGCCAGTGTCTATTCTAGGAAGGGGGATTCACTCCTTTTTTTTGAGATTTCCCCCCTATTTTTTCAGAGGCAGGGTGAAAATTTTACATAGAGAAAGAAGGGGAAAAAAGTAAATGTAATAAATTCTCCCTTTTTGCATGTTTTGATAAAAATCCCCCCTGTTTTACAAATCCTAGAATAGACACTGTATCAGCAATTGGAATTAATGACAATATTATGATTATAACTGCTGACTTTCCAGTTAAGCTTATAGAAGAAGCCATCAAAAACTGTTTTTATACCATACAGTAACAAGTGACATTATGAACGGAAAGTATTTACCTGTGTAAGGCAGTGGAGAGAAGATGTATAGATCGCTGGAACAGCAGCTCCCCCTTCCAGAACAACATTCGCCTTAAACTTACGTTGGTTCATCAAACGTGTCTGAAATAGAAAAGATCGATTTAAGACACCAAATCTTCTGAAACCAAAATTCTATGCAATTGATAAGAATAGGTTTTTGTAAAGATTTGAGAATAACACATTTTTTTTGCATCAAAAAAGATTTTTAGAATTTTGAGGAATTTTAAGGAAATTATATTGTTAAATCATGTTGTTAAAAGTGTTTCAGAATTTGAGAATCTGCCTGTTCCCCACATCTCCTTGTGACAGGTCTTCCTTAATTCTTCATGACCTTTTACCAGTTTATGTAGGAATTTACTTTAAGCTTGGTCCGAGTTCTGTACCATATTGTTACAGCCATTTGATCATGCACAGAAAAATTCAAAAAGACTACGACATAAATTTGTTCATGAATTTATTGTTCTCTTGTATTTTTGCTAGCCATGTGCTGTTATACCTGTAAAATGTTTACGAGTCAAGGGTCAAAATTATACTGTATGGCTTTAAGCATACCGTCTTCAAAATAATCATGGTACATTGAAAATACATATAACGAATCTATGATATTCATAGCTTTAAGTACATGTACCTTCCAATTGGTTGAATCAAAAATAATAAGAGCAAGTCTTATATCACTGGAATTCTAGGTCTATACAGTATTTATTTTAGTTGGATTGTGTAGGAAGCTATAAGCTTACAGACACTCTTTCGAATTCGTTCCTGGAACAAACCAGTACTGAGCAATGAGTGTAAAGTTTCTTGCTCCAGGAAACAACGACTTGATCCCTGACAGGGTTTGAGCGCCATACAGCTAGCGATCATTAGATTACTATTCCGATGCATTAACCACTCGGCCATGCTGCCACCTCAGAATTCTTACTAACTCTGCCATTAGTAATGTGAATGACATTTGAAACATTTCTATCCAATGATAAAGTACGTCTTCTACAATGCAGCACAGGTGACGTTTTTTACAGTTTGTTTATAATGTCAGACTTATTATGCCATTTAATTATATGTAACCTCTTCAAAATCAAAAAAATAACATAAACAAGGGATGGGAGAGCAGGCATTTTCTATATACAGCAAGGGAATGGTTTCATTTTAGAAAAAAAAATTGGCCTTTTCCCTTCTGTGTACGAAATTTACTTTATTATAAAATATTATCTATTGTATAGGTTTCTTGATTATAGATAGGTAGCCAGTTTTTGTTTGTTTATAATGTTGACATCTGCATTTAAGTGTCACAGCCTGTAGCAAACACTTTATTATTCATGAACTGTTTAAAAAAAAGTTATAAATTTGTATGATTGTGTTGTTGTTTTCAAAAACAAAATTGTTTTTGTAAATGTCTAAATGTTTCTCGATTTTGAAATAATTCATTTTTTTTTTGTGTCTGTTTCCCACAAATAGATCTATATGTATAGATAAATCAAAGATAATATATCAAAAGACTTAAAGTTTAAATAAAAAATTAGACATTGAAGTCAGTTATTTCAATGAGCCTGTATGTATTATATATATCTCTATTTACACTCAGTTACCCTCATGTAGTCTCTATTCCATAAAAAACAACTTATTTTAACTGTTTGATACACTGTCATAATTTTCAACAATTTGGCACAGTTTTAATACCCTAAACCTTACAGCTTCGAATTGTTCTATAATCTTAAAACAGGCATAAAAAATATTTTCAGAGTCACTTGTCCTACAGGACGAGTAGCTTTTAAACCCATGGTGCAGGCAACATTTTTCACCTCGTCCTGCATCATATTCTCTTAAATTGTACTCGAATTTATGAGCTGAGCACATGAGTGGAATTTTTGATCACTGCAGAACTACATAAATAATTTCAAGTTGACCTTTTAATCATGTAAACTCTAATATAGACTTATTTGTGGATTTAAATGATGGGGGCAAACTGTTAAAATGTAATAAGAGCTAGTCATATAAAAATATGCAAAACAAATGAGGCATTGGTTAAATGGCACACTGATTTTGATTTTGTGCTTGATGTTGAAAATATACAATGTCTTATCAAAATCAATTGATTTCGGGTCATGCTGGTAGATTGGAATTTAGGAGACCTTTTATTGGTACTAATTTGCGTGTAATAATTCCAAGTTAAAAATTTTAGCAGCATATTATGCCTTAATTTCTTGTAACAAAAAATTCCTGCTTTAAAGTAAAACCATGATTGTTTGTCTTTATTGAGTATGAAAGTGTGCAGCACAAAAACTGAACATAAAACCTCAGTTAAAGTCTGGTCTTCAAAAGTTAATAACCAATTGTAGTTAGGAAAATGGACTCTAATCATGGTCTCTTGAGTTTCATTCTGACAATGTTAAATCACATGACCTCTTCGATCATATTAACTTGCCTCAATTACCAACAATACATAATTGTCAGTAAATTACCTATAGCTTGTCAAAACTTGTTTACATGATTGTCTGATGTTTATTTACCTATAGGTAATTGGCATGAAATTAAAGTGGTATTATAAAAACAGGTACTTGAGCTACTTGCACATGCACTCGTCATGCAAGTTTTTTAAGTGCATGCAACTTTCATAAACTATATCTTAATTGCACTCAATGGCCATATTTTATCTTGGTTTTAAAGCAGGTAGAATAACAGTCCAACAAATAGGAATCAAAATGGTGGAATTGGGGAAATACAAACTTTACTGAGATATTTCATTATTTACAATGTACAAACACTAGATTCAAGTTGAATTATATATAGAAACGAATATGATCAAATTCACTTCAAAGCAAAAATGATTTTAAAAAATTCTAGCTACTATTTTGTTATGGTAAAAGATAAAATAAAATTTTCAAAAGATTTCTTTTGCTTATGTAAAAGAAAGATGCAGATGTCATCATTATAAATATGGTGAATTTGGTTCTGTTTTGTGAACGCTGTTGTAAAAAAATTATAAATATTAATAAAAACAGAACAGTATTAATAGTACAGGATATCTTTAACATTACTGTATTTACACGTTATAGTCACGCCCCGAAAATCAGAATGATGCATTCTGGGACGCAATGCAGCGTCCCGGCACTTCTCCGATTAATCGTGGGTCGTCCATCTCTGCAGCAACATGATATTTTCTCGCTCGGAGTCCTACACCTTCAAAGAAGTATAACAACCAACCAAATGTAAAAAATATTGTGGTCTTGCGACCACCATACAAAAAAGAATTTTCAAATGAATTAATGACAAATCTTTGCTATTAACAAATTTTGGGTGTAATTGTGTTTTTGATTTACAGAAAGTAGGATGCATGGTCTCTAGATATTGATGAGTTGAGTAAAAACAAGTCTTTTTACTGATTTCCAAGCATTCTATGTGGCATTTTCTTTGCCTCATTTGAAATGAAAAGAGAAAAATTTCACAACAGTTTTTGATATATTAAGAAGAAAATAAAATAAACTAGAAATGTGTCATCATGCCACGGATGCCCCCGCATGCAGCCAAAATTTCAGATGTTATAATATTTAGTTCCAAATTTGTTTGCACAAATTATTTTTTTCATTTGCAGTTCAAAGCCCTTAAAACTTTTCAATGTTAACACAAACCATTTTCATACAATGTTCAAAGCACTGAAATTATTCAGTCTTAACCTTTTGAAAATAGCATATTTCATATTTGTAGCCAAAATAATGGCTACATACATTTTCACAAAAGTATGAGTGCTGAAACTGAAAGTTCAAAATTTTTCCAACATTCAAGAAAGATAAGTTTGTCCAAAATCATTGAACCACGACCAAATTCAAACTTTCCACAAAAGTATGAGTGCTTATTCCTAAGATGCATCTATATTATTTTCAAAGTGAAAGGGACATAACTCTGCCAAAAAATCATCGAACCATGACCAAATTCAAACTTGACCTGCCCATTCCTTTGACATATCCATATGTCAAATTTGAGTTGAATATGTAACACAGTTGGGTAGATAATGAACAGAAACTGTAAATTTCATATTATTTTTAAAGTAAAAGGGGCATTACTCTGCCAAAAATCATTGAACCATGACCAAATTCGATCTTGGCCTGGGCATTCCAAAAACATATCCATATGTCTAATTTGAGTTGAATGTGTTGTACTGTTGGGGAGATAATAAACAGAAACTGAAAATTTCATATTATTTTCAAAGTTAAAGGGGCATAACTCTGCCAAAAATCATTGAACCACGACCAAATTTGAACTTGACTTGCCGCATTCTTTTGATGTATCCATATGTCAAGTTTGAGTTGAATGTGTTGTACCGTTGGGGAGATAATGAATGGAAACTGAAAATTTCATATTATTTTCAAAGTAAAAGGGGCCATAACTCTGTAAAAAATCATCGAACCATGACCAAATTTGAACTTGACCTGCGCATTCCTTTGATGTATCCATATGTCAAGTTTGAGTTGAATGTGTTGTACCTTTGGGGAGATAATGAATGGAAACTGAAAATTTCATATTATTTTCAAAGTGAAAGGGGCATAACTCTGCCAAAAATCATCGAACCATGACCAAATTTGAACTTGACCTGTATTTTCTCAAGACATATCCATATGTCAAATTTGAGTTGAATGTGTTGTACCTTTGGGGAGATAATGAACGGAAACTGAAAATTTCATATTATTTTCAAAGTAAAAGGGGCATAACTCTGCCAAAAATCATCGAACCATGACCAAATTTGAACTTGACCTGTATTTTCTCAAGACATATCCATATGTCAAATTTGAGTTGAATGTGTTGTACCTTTGGGGAGATAATGAACGGAAACTGAAAATTTCATATTATTTTCAAAGTAAAAGGGGCATAACTCTGCCAAAAATCATCGAACCATGACCAAATTTGAACTTGACCTGTATTTTCTCATGACATATCCATATGTCAAGTTTGAGTTGAATGTGTTGTACCGTTGGGGAGATAATGAACGGAAACTGAAAATTTCATATTATTTTCAAAGTAAAAGGGGCATAACTCTGCCAAAAATCATCGAACCATGACCAAATTCGAACTTGACCTGTATTTTCTCATGACATATCCATATGTCAAATTTGAGTTGAATGTGTGCAACCGTTACTAAGATAATGAACGGAAACTGATGATGACGGAATGACAGAATGACGGAAGGACGGAATGACGGAAGGACGGAAGGACGGAATGACGGAAGGACGGAACAGGGTAACACTATATGCCCCGGCCATTACATGGCGGGGGCATAATAAATAAATTTTTAAATTAGGATAGTATTACTAAATACATTTTTCCTAATTATTTTTTCAATTAAATCTATTATCTAGAGATAATGGTAAGTCTCAATCAGTGACTTTTCACCTAATTTAACACAGGCCTATGAAAGGCCTCATCTCAAATGAAATTTCCTTTAAAATCATAAAGTTTATTTACACCAACTTTTTCGCTTCCCAAATTCCAAATTTTAACAATAAATCTTTCCAAAATTAAGAGGCTGTGGCTCCTTACCAATTATGTGAGAAACACCACTTTTAAGGAAATATTTTGTGTTTGAAATAGTAACATCATTTGATCAAGTGGCTTCAGAAATCCATGAAAAGACTTGTCTATTACTGTTAGGCAAGGAAAATGTGTAATACGCCTTGTTAATCACTGTAAATATATATATATATATATATATATACTTTCTCATCACTTAAATTAACATCACTTTAATTAACAATTAATAATATTTTTAACAGATATTATATTTTCCATAAAAGCAATTTTATCTTAACATTCTGCATATGATATCAACTTAACAATATAAAGTATTCAAATTTTTAACAGATATAATTTTGAAATTTTAAACAACCATACAGAATTGCACTCTCCTAAAAGGAGGTAAGAAAATAATTTATTATGTTTCTCTTTATAAATTCTTCTTTTTTGAAGATATTACACACAAGTTTAATTCACCTCTGAGGAGGAAACTGGCAGGTGTAAAATTTTAAAAAAAAAATCAATTTGAAAAAAAAAAAAAAATCAACAAGATCAAAGATTTATCATTATCAAAAAATTCTACATCGATAAACAGTAGGAAATTAAACTTGAACCGAATAAATTGTACCACAGAGTATTGCTTATTTGAATAAAAAAATGTTTGATAAAGGAAAGTGCAAATCTGTTCACATAGCTTTGAATCCCTTCAGTAAATACTCAAAAAATCTCTCAAACACGTTATATCAAACTGTATTTATATCAAAATGACTTATTTTATTAACACTATTCACAGTACAGTAAAATTATAATGTCATAACAATGGAACATGATTTTACTTCAGAGCTTAAGAAGGTTACACAAAAAAGTGACTAATATAGGTAGAAAAACTTGATGTATATTCTGCCCTACAACAATGTTACAGAGCAACAAGGCATATTGATGGATGATATTTAGTATACAGAATGTCATTTATGATGTCTCCCAAACTTTTGCAACCATGTAAAAATCTATTATACACGAAATCATTAACATTTAAAATGTCTCAATTATTACTTAAGATATGGAAAAATATTTTATTCTAGAAGAATCTAAGAGAGTAACAAAAGTGACTGATAAACATTCAAGTCACTAAAATGCTTACAGTAAGTCCAGTTTTGTATCTATATAAAAGTTAATGCTCCTTTTTAAACAAAATAACAGCATTTAGTAACATTATACTGTCAGAAAAAACAAGCCTCAGCACTGGGAATTAAGTTAACGGACCTGGATTAACATATTTCATACCAGAGCAATTTAGCTTTAGTGACTTGCATACAATTTTTGCAGCTCAAATGTGAAAGGCATTTTGTAAGGTATAGGAACCCTTAGAGTGTTAATAGCAATACTGACTTATATGGTCAGAATTAAACCAGGCTAGCCTATGTGTCCTTGCAGTATAACCAGGCTCTACATTAATGACAGCTCAATATGGTTATATTGATACTAAAATCTCTAACAAGACCTGTGAGTAATACAGCGTGCTCAACAGTAAAACAAAAGCCTGCAAAAAGTAGAATTTTCTAAGTTCAAAAAGGGGCTACAATTCTGTCAAAATCCATGTTAAAGTTTTGCAACTTGGCCAGTGACCTCCTATTAAACTCTCAAACAAGTGTATGATGTTTCAACCCATTCCCTTCAGTAGTTTTTTTAAATACCAACTGGCATGCAAATAACTTGTGTTTACATTTAACAGTCATAAGACTTCTTATTATCATATTTAACTATTGTTATTCTTTCTGTGTATAAACATGTCAAACTTCACCATCTAATTGCCACTTAACATGTATACAGGCTGTTGTTAAATCTATGAAACAGCTTTCATTTAATTGACAGGCTAAGTAGTTATATCGAAAATAAAAACCACAACAATTTCTACTTTGTTATAAAATCTTTTTATTATTATATTATATGCATGATTGTGCAAAAAAAGATAAAGGGAAAAATGCCTAGCACATGCAATATGCATTCCTGCAATTCAATGGACAATAGCCAAAGCGAATCTTCTAATTGCCAAGAATATGCATTCTTACATACTAGAATACTCAATAATTTTTTTTTTCTGTTTTGTGTGTTAAGCCTTAGTTTAATTCAAAATCGAGTTTTTAAGTCTTACACAGTTAGGGTCAAAAGGCAACCTTTCAGTTTTACTAAATAAAGAAAAGTCCCAAGATTTCCCCATTGGTCATTATTACATACATGAGCAGTTGTCTGTAGTGTATAACTAGCAACCTTTTACTTAGATTCACAACTTTCTCAAATACAAAGTCCTTATTACATGGCAGGATTTGAACCCACAGCCCTGAAGGACAAATGATTCCATTTGACCAACCCTTACCACTTGGCCTTGCAGACCCTTACAACTTTAAATGTTACCATTTGTGAAATGCAATAGGTTAAGAGTAAAAATCTCTTAATTTTTACAAAAACAAAAAAAGACTAAATATATATGTTAACAATTCCACACTTATTCTAGTCTTTGTTTTAATCTTTTGCAATAAAAATACTTTCCAAAAATAAGCTTATTTTGTGTATCAGTGCAAAAATTTACAGAAAACAAGGATTGCAAAAGCAGATTTTGAGACAACATCACATAAACCATTCTGCATGCTAAATTCTGTTCTTTGATGATTTGTATGAAATGAATAAAGCAATGGCAAGTTATAATAAAGGGAGGTAATAAAATATGATAGTTACCTTGATAACGTCAACTGGTGTAGAAGCTACAGCCCCTGCCAACCCTGCGATGAAGCTGGACCTATATATTGATATAAAACGGGGGTAATAAAATACAAATAACATATAGGGAAAGCAGCCGTTCAGTGTACACACTGTGAGACCAATTATTCAGGAGGGTCACATGTTCAATCAGCAGAGACTTTAGCTAAAAGTAATTAAAAGTCTTTTTGATGAGACAACAATATAAATCATGACAATATCTCTAAATTTTCTTCTAAAAGTTGCGTTAAAAAATGAAATTGACCATAATTTCTCAATAAGTGAAAAAATAGCAACTTTAGACAAACAATCCTCTATATAAATAAGGTGAAGATCTTGTAACAAACTTGCTAGGCTATTCATGCCTATAAAAACAGAGAAATGATTGATGCAATGAATTTTTTTCCAACTTTGTTCAATAGTGATATCATTTTCCAAACTGACATCTAGGTTTCCTAGGTAAGTTACGCAGACATGTCAAACAACAATAATAGTATACATACGTGAAATGGTTTGATTTCGTATCTCCCATAATCTCATGTGTGAGTAGGTAACGTTTGATCATATCATAGGCAGGTAACTCGACACCCACCACAATCGCTGCTCTCTGTGCCGTTGGTCCTACACCCTATAATAAAATAACATAACAACCCTATAATAAAATCACAACCCTATAATACAAGCCTACATTAAAATCATACATTAATAATCATGAATAATGAACAATATTTCATTGGTTTTATTTGTTGTTGTTGTTGTTGTTGGTCAGTTTTTTTTTTGGGTTTTACGTCTCACCAACACAGAAAAGGTTTTATGGCACTTTTCCGAACTCAAACTTACAATGGTGAAAAGCAATCTTTTTGCCACAATAATCTGAACCACTCAGACATATTTCTTATTCTATAGTGTAAATCTAATTTATGTCATAAATTATGTCTAGAAATGAATTTACCAGTGTTAGACTAGCAGGCTAGTGCAAGTTTTGATGACTTATTGTTTTATCTAATATCAGCCCATTCGAAGCCATGAGGTCAGGTTCAAATTTAGTACCCAATGAACAGTTGAATATTGAGTTATTCCAGTTGAGCATGTACTTCTGTAAAGCACTAATTTTGAGCATGCAACATAGGTAGAAACTAACAGCCTCCAATACAATGGAAGGATAACTTAATAGCATGTAAACAATTATTGTTATACTCAGCCACAGAGGTCTAGAATTACATTGATAGCTTTGCTCAGATACAAAGACTTACCCTCCATAATCCTGGAAGCCCTTCCTGTCTGAAGATGTCTTGGAATGCTTGAAACATGCTCTCATTACCCTTCAGGGAGGATCGTGCTTGCATACGAACCTGAAAATAAATCAATTAAACATTGTACATGGTTATCAAAAATATAAAATTCCCACCTTATTTGGTTTTAGACTTGATTGATAGATATTGAGTAACTATCTCCATGGAGGGGAAAAAAACACACAACCTATTGTCTATCAATAGAGAAAGGTTAAAAACAATATTACCAATATATATAAAATTGATAAGGGAGCATTTATGGTAAAGTTATAGTTTTGTACACAACAATATCAAAATATGCAAAAATTTTGTTGCAAAAGAAAATATTAAAACACAAGTATTTCAGTTTAATAAGGTACTTAAAACCAACTAAGATTGTGGTTACATATTTTCATTTATGCATATGAATTTTCCTAGTTTTTTAGTTTGTTTATGGACATTTAATCTTGATATAAATGTCGGTCAATTGGTAGCCACTTGCCAAACTGTTTTCTTATGTTACATCTAAATATAGCCTATTAGGTTAGTTATAATAGGTCCAATGACCCAGATAATACCAGTAATTAAGAATGTTAATGTTCAAGATATTTTACATGGTATGTCTTGCTCCCAGTCAATATTTTACCATACAATTTCTATTAAAGCAAAGACAGAGGGTAAAATGGTGCAACACCTAAAATTGCAGAAAAGAAATGATTAAAAAAAAAATCCATTTGATTTATTATCACATCAAAAAAAATAATTATATCTCTCAAAAAAGATCTTGTTTCTGCACAGCAGTACAGTTCATGTCAGATACTATTAAAGTTTCTATCCAGTATTTCGTTTAAACATTCCTGTATTTATAAGTTTGATTGCAAAACAAGTTATATTATAACTTTTGAGTCCGCTTAATGGATCTAACCAGAACTGGTATCATACCCCATTAAGTCTAGAACACACAATCCCTGGGTTGACGGGCAGACAACTTAACCGGCACTAGGCCACAGATTCTTATAATACATGTACAAAAGAGGCCTTTGGAGGGCCTTCAATTACAAAATTTGCCATCATTCCCTACCAAAAATAGTGTCTATTTTTTCCTATTATTTTTTTTAAAGCTTGTCTTAATTTTTTTTTTTTTAATTTCACACCTGCCAACAGTTAGAAACCCTAAATAAAATCATAATAAAATTTGCTTTTTGCAAAATAAAATAGAGCTATCTATTGAATAACAACTTAAATATTGTTACTCTTTTATATCTATGCAGCATAAGTCCCAACATTTCTCCCTGATCTTGGGAAAACAATACCAAATCCCTCTCCTACCGGTACTGGACTGTACCCCAAAACAGAGAGAAAGAAAATATTTTTATTGCAGCAAAATAGCACAACCTAGTTTAGCTCTGTATAATCAGTATGCCTCTGTGTTTATTCACAAGCCTTGTTATAGATTTCTAAGTCTTGAATAGGATTCAAACCCAGTAATCAAAGTTTAGAAGTCACCTATATACAACAGCCTATCGGACCTCTAAAGTCATATTTTGATAAACTGATATCTTTTAAACCAAGGCCATGCTACTGAAATAACTATTTTGAACAATAATTAACCCAGATTTTCTAAAGTGGATCAAACTTAAAAATTCTTTTACAATTGTATATTGATTTAATTCGTTCAAATGACAGCGTGTCATTTCTTTTAAAAATAACATAATAATCTTTTTTGTACCAATTCAAAACAGTTAATTATAGTGATGACTTCTATCTAAGATAATATTGAACCATGTAAGCCCAATATAGATTTACATTGTTATACGATATAATACATTGTCTCCTTTATGCAGTAATGGATTAACTCCTTATATTAATTAATTGGACTTACTGCGTTACTGCACTGAGGTGACAACATATATCAAGTTCTCAAATTTGAAAAAATGCCAAGCTTGCTCTTAAAATACCAGTGATAAGCAATTCTTTCAACTCTAAAATGAATGCCAAGTATTGTATGTCCTCAAATAGTCATAAAAATTTTATGATTACATGTTTTATAAATACAAAAATACACTAAATTCATCGGTTGAAATCGGGAAATTACCTTCTTGGGTATTACGCTTTAGTTATAATAACAAAATTTTTACAATATTAAAACAATACAATTCTTTCTTATAACCCTTTTAGCCAGGTAAAATACCCTGCAAATCGTTCCATGGGCTTATTCCTATCTGGGTTCAAAAAATGTCAGCCACAGCAAAATGAGGGGGCAAATGTTGGGGTGTGGGGGTTGGGAGGCAGGCAAGGGGATTAAACATCCTAGAATCATTTTCTAGCGAATTACTATTTGATCTGTAGAGAGTTTAAAGTATAACCCCAACTGGCACATGGGTTTTAAGCTTGTTGGTTAAGATAAATGGTACTCTGGTTGTGCTTGCAGGTTTGGTTCAGGGTGTATGGTACTGTAACATGGTTCACTGTAACAATTGCAGGAGAGGTAACCTGAGGTCAAAAATGGTATTTAATTGATTCTCAAAAAAACCTGTTTCACTTCAGCTACAGAATTAATTAATATTATATAGATCCGTAGGCAAGGAATTCACCTTTCCAGCATTAAGTTATCAATGTTTTATTAATACATTAATATTGCATGTACATGAAACATGGCAACAGTATAAGGGCGATGGAAACATCGGTTAATGACTGCCTTAGGATCTTCTTGTGCTTATTAATAAGTAAACAGTCTCTTGACCTGTAAGTCCTTAGTATAGCTGTTAGCATAGTAGAAATGGTAGAAAATAGTCAAAATACATACACATGAGTATTTATATATATATTATATATATACATACATATATACACAGTTAACAGAGAGGACTGAATAGAAGCTTTGCTAAGCTTATTACAGTAAAGTGTATGCTTGAGTAAGAAGCCTATCATTCCAGTTCACCTTCCGACTCAAAACTGTTATTCAGTCCTATCATAAGCCAACAATGGTGTAAAAAACTTCAGTTTCAATATATGACACATAATTAAATCAATTTATATAATTTGAATTTTGTTTGCTAAATAGACAGACAGACAATTTATTTCAATCAAATAAGGCTTATAAGCCCAGAAATATATCAATATTGGAACCAAGGAAAATGAACTGGATTGCCCTTTTCTGTGTTATTTATTTACATAAATGACAGCAATTTTGGTATAAAGCCAAATCATTAGTTTTATATTGACAGCATTCCAAAAGGTATTTTGTATCATAGTGATATGGAGAATAGGAGTGTATACCTACGCAGTTACAAACTGAAGAAATAACTTAATAAATGTATATACAAAGACAAACTCTAATCCCCTGCCAATTATAAATTGGTTACTGACAGACTGAAAATTTAAATCCATTAATAGGTTTATCTTCAATAAAAAACTACATTCCCTTTACAACTTTTTTTTCTTGTAATTGATTCATGTTTAAAAGTTGAAAGTAGTCCCAAGCTTCCTTATCTAATTGCATCTAGAAACCTACATTAGGCTACCGTTGAATACCTCAATTCATGAAAACACTTAATGAATAACATTTTATTATCTCCCTTTAAATCAAAATTTTGCATTGAAGTAAGAAATATCAAAGCTTTTCAAAATGTAAATGCTTGTAGTGTAGGTTACTAGGTGTTTGCAAACAATTATTTAACTGGAAAGTTGCCAGGGGGCCTCCTGGTTAATAGAGTAGAATACCATTTATGAATGAGCTGTGACCTTTAAGGTCAAACTAGTCTCAAAATAATTTCTATAGTCTGTTTCAAAATTTGGAATTTTAAAATTATTTACAATATTCAATTGTTAAATACAATTGATTTCATTTTAAAGCCAAATAACTTTATGGATTAAACTACCCTTAAATTATATTATAACCACATGGAAACAATCCAGATAACAAATAATTTAATGGTATTTTAAGACATGAAATAAATACCAATGAGAAATTAATGCACATTAAATAAAATTGGTTTTCACAAATAAAATGTTTTTATCAATGGCTATAGTTAAAACTTATTATTAAACCCAAACTACATGTTAAACAGACAACTTTATTTATCAAATAATTTCAAAGTAATCACTAAAGAAACATGGAAAAGAAAATTGTCATCACTTATTTTGAAAAGTCATTTCTAACTGACACACTGATAAATCTACAGTTGCCATGTATAAACACAAATATTTATTTTCCTTGCATTTTGCTCTCAAAAGAGGCATAACAAAATGACATTTTCCTTCTAAATTTATTTCTTAAAATATACATGATCATCATATTTCTTAAATTTGATGTCATTCAATCCATTACATAGAATGTCTCGACCTAGTGATTTTTATACACATTATATCATTTGCCAAATCTTTCCATCTGACTGTTTATTATTTTAATAATTTAATATATACTTTAAACATTAACATCATGTAAAACTTGGCAAACAATATCAAGGTTTTAGGGCATAATAAAATGCTATTCTCCAATTCAATACAAATTTGTCTGAAAGATAATAGGTAGTCAATTAATATTTACATTAAAAACATTTTTTTCTTTTAATTAACAAATTTTAGGTCATTGATGTACTTTCAACAGCTGGGTTTTTATGTAAGAAAATGTTATATATATACATGTATAAAGTCTTTGTTTACTTTTTCATAATTTAATAATATGGAAACTGCAGGTATTAAGTCACTTTTAGATAATATATATTAAAATTCAGACTGAAATATGTTAATGGTGACTTTGGAGACAAAATAATAAATTAAATTCACATCAAAGTCCTATATCATTTTCAGTTTCATAAATTTGCCTAAGGGGAATTTTTTTGTACTAACCACTTCCTTGTTTCTGTCCGAAGTTTTCAAAAATGGAATGTTAAAACTGTATTCTTATTCTTCCTTGAAATGATAACTTATGAAGTTCACTTGACATAAATGATAAATGATGTCAAGTATTTTTCTTTAAAGTGGATTTTTAGAAATTATTCCACAACTTAAATGCATAGGCATACATATTATACTATATGTTAAAGTTGCAACTTTCTCCACACAGTGGTTATAACTAGTGCTACACATACATTATATCATAAATCACTGGAAAGTCAATTATAAGATTTCACAGACTCTCAGCTTGGAGATATTTACACATAATGATCCACAATACCATAAACTAAACTTCTTGTTATAGCAATCGTTTAACCCTCACCAAACTAAAATTGCCCATGTAATGCCATACATTATTTTGATGGAAAATTCAAAATATGTACAGAGAACCGGACGACTGTTTCACTTTGCACTTAAGTTGCAATGGTAAAATATTTTGCTGCCTGCAGACTAAGGGTAACAGACTTACAGGGCAAGTATCATATAATCATCACAATCCAACTAAAGTATATAAAAAATAAATCAATTTCATCGATACATATTTAATCCTTAGTCAGATATGATGCCTAATTTCAGGTCATATAATGACTATTAAAAGCCATTTTGAACTTTTATGAAATAGAATCAAAGTTCAGTTACATTTTACTTGTATAATGCCCATGAATTATTGAATAGTGGCCTGGGTAAAAACTTGGGACTTTTGAAGTATGCTACTATCTTACCAAACAAAAAAATATTCAATTTCACATTCTCTAGGATTCAAACTCATCACCAGAAAGCCAAGTGATTACGACTTTTCCCATTCTGCCATGGAAATGTCATCTATCAAATATAGTCACCCGCGAGATATATCATACTGAAGCTCAGGATAACTCAGCTGTTACCAGATTAATACGCTGTTGCTTACTAAGCTGGCACTGAGTACCTGATTACTACCTACTCACGCATTCATAGACTTAGTACACAAACACCTTGAAAATAGATCCTGAATAACATTGTATGCAAATTTCTACTGCCTTCACCTTAGGAATAAAGGTTTGTACTTGTAATTTCTAACACCCTCAAACAAATGTAGTATTGCAGGATGAATTTTTTTTCTAATATTTGGCTGACACAGTTTCAAGAGAACTCTAAATATCACCGAGAAATCCAAGTGAACTTTTTGAACCTGTTGTTACGAAACAGTTACAATAATAATAAGCCTGCAGTCACTAAATTATAAGTCAGTTACCCTATTTTTCTAATAAACATGTTTCATTTCAAACAATAATAATAATTATAGTGTACACAAAATATTACAAACCTCAAGTACGTAATAAATATCGTAATAGATTAAAGATATCATTTTATAATACAAAAAGGTTATAAACTTGCATGTATTTTTACTCTCTATTAATGCTACCAAAAAAAGGCCCGGGGCATTTGTCCTCTAAAAGTATATGCTTTATGCTCATTCCTTACAAGCGCTATCTGAGTGGTAGTGCACTCCATTTTTCACAATCTGAGTGGTAGTGCACTCCATTTTTCACAATCTGAGTGGTAGTGCACTCCATTTTTCACAATCTGAGTGGTAGTGCACTCCATTTTTCACAATAATTTATAGTATGATGAAAGCAAATGAGAAAACTGGGCATATTTCTGATAAATTGTTTGCAAGTATTTCAAGTTTGAAGTTAATATATGTGATGATTTTTTGTGAGAATATAATGAAATTATAGAAAAATAAGAGTGGGATTCAAAAATGCCTTTCAGGGCTATCTGTTCTTTAGTTTTTATAGTAAACCTGCATTCCAAGTTTAAAGTGAATATCTTTTGAAAGTTTTTGAAAAATTAATCTTTACAAAAACTGAGAAAACTGACCTTAAACTATTACCTATTAAAGGTCATAATGACCTTGACCTTTGACCTTTAACTCATCAAGGTGTATCCACATAAGAAGTTTCAATATTATAGCTTTATCACTATTGAAGTTAATGACCACCAACGAAAACTTAACCAAAAAGGGTGACCAACACCAAGGACGAGCAGAACAATATCTCCAAAAATATCTTCTATAAAATAGAGTTAAAACATGTCATATCTATATGATAATTGCTATGGAAAATATAAGGCAACCTGCAGACAGCCACAATTTCAAAATCTAAGTTCATATACCTCCCCCACTGTCTGAGTTCATTGAAGACAAATATTAAGACACCCTATTAGGAAGATTGCCAATTTTCCCTGGCATGTAACTTTGCATGCTATATCAATCAATATAGAACTTTCTACAGAACAATAATCTAGCTCTCTAACAAACATAGGATTCTGTCTCAAGTGAATATTCCTCAATTTTAAGTATTATTCATATTGGTAACAAACAGATGCCTCGCTTTACTTATACTAATTAAAGTGCATTGTCTTGTATATATGTATAAATTTGATAATTTTATGTTATAGATACAAAGTGTAAATCTCATTGTAGACGTTATATGACAATTTACATTTTCGAAAAAAAATAACAACAGCATCTACAGACCCGAAATAACAATTTTTTTCTTTTGCATGCAAAGGGGCAAAATATTGTTCTGTCTGCAAGTACTTCTTAAGCCCAATATAATTAGGTCTGTGTTGTAAAAATTAACAGACTGAAACCCAAACTTTAGTGCTAACTTATAGATATTATCTGGACAACAGTCTACTGAAAATAAATAAAATTGACCACAAACTTATTCAAAATTCATTCATATTTGCTAAAAGGAGTGTGCCGTACTACATTAGGTTAGTAGAATGTCTTTAAAAAATAAAAAAATTCTACCCAAATGACTGATTATACATGACTGTCCTTACCTTGAGTACATCTGTTGGATTTGCCACCGAGCTGGACACGATTCCCGCCACAATGCCACAAAATACATTGACTGGTAGAGATTCATCTGTAAAACAATGAAAGTATATGACCTTGAGAATATGTTCAAATTCATGTTGTCAACTAAAATGTATTCAATGAAATCAATAATAAAATACTTAATTCAATTTTATACACTGGATCGGTTAACTTTAATTCAATATACAGTTACTCTGGAATTTAGGAAAAATGGGAATTTCCCCGACCAGTCCGCAGTACAAACTTACAGTAACAACGCTCTGACATGGCATATTTTATTACAGTCATGCAATAGCTATATAATTTTATTGGGCCTATAAGCTTTAGATCTGGAAACTTTATATGATACACAGCAAAAAAAATTGTTTTATAATATTAACTTGCTTTCTAGGAAATCACTGCTGAAATGAATGACTCATAACTTCAATGATCTACCTTATATACAAGCAGTTATGTAACATATGATATAGGATTGATTACTTCAAATATAGTTATTTTTTTGGTTCCTGAACTGATTCACCTGTAAAAAACCATGTTATTGAAAGCCACTTCAAATATTTAATTATCTTTTATTACTGTTTCTGTTTTCAATCTACAATTCATGAATCGTTTCTCTTGTTCTCTATGGGGGATATTCAACATTGTTCTACATATAAAATACAGGATTTATTTTCAAGTGGCAGTTGTCGAAATACAATAATTTACATACCACAAGATGAACATAAAAGATGGGAAAAAAATCCAGTATTTATAGAAAACAACTTTAATTTTCTGTTTATTAAAGGGCTCCACTGAGGTTTTCTTGACATGACAGGACTGTAGAAATAATTTTGCTTGATAAATGTTTCATCTGATGTAGATCTACACCAATAACTTGTGTACAAAATTTTAGATTATACGCCCATGCCGTTTTTTTTCCAGAAAAATTGAAAAGCGTTGCTACACTTTTCACTCAAATCAGACTAAGAATGCACAAAAATATTTTTTTCAATTTATTTTCAAGTATATTTCTTGCTTATCTTTTGCAAATATTTCTGTATTCAGCTTGAAAAGTGCATGACTTTTCCATCACAAGGGCATCAAGTTCAACCATTGCCCTAAATATATACATATAGATGACTTCATTATCAATAATTCAGCAAATTTTCTACCACCGTCTGAACTATTGATCACCTCTGCTGTTGAACTACTGGTTTTCATTGTTTAGTACACAATATACATCATTGAACTTTTACAAATTTTAAAAGTTCAATTTCATGACAAATGCATGATAACTATGTCATTAACTAGGGTAACTGTGTCACACTGTTGAACGAAGATGCTATTTCGTTGACTAGTCAAATTTTATCTACAATGGAGTCAAAAATTGTGACTTTTTAATTTGCATATAGTGTTGAACTTTTCCATAGATCTCTCATTTATCAATGAGTAGTAACTTTCAATGATGCACAGCTTTTCTATTACAATATATATTTTCATGCATGAAGATTTTAGTTCATGAAATTTATTTTAATTGCTCACTCTGGAGTATCTAGGATCTACTTTTTATGAAAAATATTGTGATAAAATTTTGACTATGAACTGAATACTTATGATCACAGGCCTAGACATTAACTTTTGAATCAGGTTGTCCTGTCGGGCAAGTAGTTTTTAAAACTACTTGCCCGTGACCTAAGACTTACTTGTCCTGACCTAAAAATGGTAAAAAATGTATAAATCAGAAAAACAAACAAGCTCATAAATATTTTTTGTATATTTAGTAGTTTTCTAAAAACATCGTTCATCTGTTTATTCAATGTGAATAATACTACGGTCATGTACATTTGTTGATATAGGAAACGGAAGGAAAAATATGAGCATGCGCCGCGGTAAGGAAATTCCCCGTTCAAAATCATCAAGTCAACATCCGTAAACGAGTCTTCGTTTACTAAGTTCATAATGTTGTTATATTTAGATTAAACATAATCATTTTTAATGCAAAAACTTTATTTAACAATTATATTTAAAGATCAATATGATTATCTACATATTTTCAATGATATCTTTACATGCAAACATCAAAATTTAAACAACAGCATAAACCCGGGAATTACCTTGTACAAAATTAGATATAGTCTATTATTAGAACAGAGAATTACCTTACCGCGGCGCATGCTCATATTTTTGCTTCCGTTTCCTATATCAACAAATGTACATGACCGTAGTATATTCACATTATTGATAATAATTCATGGTGTATTTTTGTTTTAAAGATGTTTATAAATGAAAAGATGTTATTTCTATTCATTTTGTACATGCATTTTGTCAATGATGCTTTTTATTTTGGAAAAGAGTCAACTCGGCCCTATACCAACTCGGCACGGGTCAACTCGGCACGGGTCAACTCGGCCCACTTTAAAAAAATATATTTAACGTAGTAATATTAAAAAAAATATCAAACAAAAACTTTGTTTACTTAATATCATAAATTAAGGACTTCTAATTAATTGCAGGTGGTCACTAATTCAATTTTAGAATGAATGCGTCAATCATAATATATCACCGTAATTAATCGGTATCCTTTACGAACACACTGATTGATAATAATAGCCTGTGACATAAGAGTCCTTTAATGTCTTTTAACCCAATTTCATTAATTTGTTTCTAATTGTCAAAAAGCTGAAAATTATCCGTGTATTTAACTAATTACAAGATATTATAAAAATAGTGATTACAAAAATAATATAATAATTGAAAAGTGGGCCCCGAGTCTGACCCGTGCCCGAGTTGGTAAGGGGCCGAGCTGACCGGGCGGTAGTTTTAAGGGCGAGCTGAACCCCCCCGGAATTTTATTTTGACTTGCCCTGTGGAAAGGTGCTTTCAAGAATACTGCCCGGACCAATAGCTTTACGTATGTCACGGGCAGTCGGGACAAACGTATAATTCGAGCCGAAATGGATTTAATTTTTGATATTACAGTCAAGCAGAATAAATTAGCAAACTCTGCAGACTTTAAGGTTTTTTTACTGTTGTTTTTTATAGAAAAGGCAAACATGTTGTATAAGTATATATAAAAAGTGTATGTAAGTCCAGTCCTGTGATCAGCAAAAAACTTCAATGGAAAGGGGCATAATACTCTTTGAAGTCATTTTGCAAAAATTTGGTTGGCTTCTCCTATATGAAAAGATAATTTTTATGTGTCAGACATTTCATTCTCCTAGAAAACTCGCCTCTTTAGCATAAAAATTCTATTTTACGGTATGATTAGGGACCATTTTTCAGAATATAAGTCTATAGGAAAATCAATATGATAGCCTGACCTTTATTAAACTAGTTTATTCTGCTTGTGGCCATATTTGAGTTTTCAGTAGTAAAAATATACTATTATTAAGTGCATTATCATTCTGCCAGTGCCACTTGTACTCATTCAATTATGGCTGTCATTGAATAAATATCAATATATGAAGTCACTTTTCCCAGTTTTCTTGGCTAACTTAAACTTTAAACTAAAACTTTTCAAATGTAAATGACAAAAATAACAGATAAACAAACTTTCTGTTAGTTTTTAGTATTTGTAATGTCTAATACAGGCATGCATAACACTATGATCCCAATTTATAACACATATTTAAATGTTTTCCATTGTATCTACTGTCAAAGACAATATATCTATATATCATCAATATTTGACTCTCGATATATATATATTGATACAAAATTTTCCATCAATGACAGCCCTACTTTTCAACAGTTATAAATTGAAAGTTTGAAAAGTTAAATTCGGAACATGGTTTTTTTTTTGAAGGGTCAAGTACAGGACATGGAAATTTCTGTGTAAAGTCCATACCGAGTCAAACTTACTTGCAGCACTATGTCACTGCATGATGTGTTATTAATAATATGACTGCTAGTAGTTAAATTGATAATCTGTTTGATGAATTATATGTAATATTGTAGGGCATAAAGAGGAAGGCCTCTTCCAATTTATTCCCAGTACAGCTCAAATAAATGGGTCCATCTAGATATTTTCAAAATAACATTTAAAAATGTATTTTATTCTTTTTTGTTGGAACTTGAACTAGAGATATCCAGTAACAAATAACATACATTTTGGGAAAAAGCACCTGGATTGAGTTTGAGAAATTTTTGGCATATAATGATATATTTGCAATTGGGAATGGGTCTGATAGCCTGACCTGTGATGACACTGGGAAAGGTCTGATATGTGACAATCTAAATGCACTAACTGAACTTATCAGAATTTAAAAACATTTACTTTACCTTTTTCTGATTCAGCGAAAAGTCTTTTCATGTAGTGATAAACACCAATCTTTATAGTCCCATAGCTTGCCTGACGCAGTAACGCCGGTGCTATCCTGAAAAATTCACAGAACTTAAATATATTATCTTTAGGTCCATTGGTAAAGGTCATCATAATTATTTCAAAGCTTCAACATAAATCTCTTGTCCAGTGTAATCATTTGTGGGAGTATTTTAGCAAAAGAAAATTTATTTATACCCATGTTGTCCTCAAAGAGACAAGAAAGGACATGTAAAATATGCCTTCAATCTATTGATCAATTTCATGGTGTAAAAAGTTACAAAATAATGAAGATTCTTACCCTGAGTATAACGCAGTTATTCCTTCCTCTCTAAAGATTCTATAGAAGGCATGGATCATGCCATTGTACTTCAACTGAGTTAATCTTGCATCTATTGTCTGACCTTGAACTTGTAAACGAATTTTCGTTGTATCTATTGGAAAAGTTCCACATTCAGCAGTCACCGATGCTAATCCACCAAACAAAAATGGTTCCCAGTTAAGTTTTCGCCCCATTAAATGCCGAGAGCCTTACGTATAAAAAAACCTTTTCAAGGAAACTCTGAAAAGAAGCGAAAAGAATACTCACATATGATAATTGTACATAAATGCATGCTTGAGTAACAAGTACATTCTGCTGCCAAATAAAGTTTACATACATAACAAAGCAGACATGTTCTTTATTAATTTTAAACAATTCTAATTTATCCTTTATCACATACCTATTAGTTTAAATATAACATTTTTCAATGATTCGAACATTAAGACCTGTCAGCATCAAAATAAGGGAGACGGGGGTTGGGTATGTGCAACTGTGCAGACATTTAGCTAGCAAACACTTTACCATCTGAGTGGTAATTTTATTGTGCAAAATTCAAGGTCCATTGAGGAAGACGACCAGAGTTAAGATTAATTGGTGATTTCCATAATGACATTAACTTCTTTTGAAAGTTTTCATTCAATAGAAATTATAATATAGTACTCCCCGCTGGTACCGCGTCCTTGCCCATTCCGATGTAATCAGAAAATTTGTTTCTTTACACATTGATTGACGATTGAATGTCACCAAATACTGTTTCCACCATTAAAGTGAAAGTGGAAGTGCTGCTTTTGTGAATTTGGATAAAAATTGTTAAAATTTTTTTTCATTTCAAATAAAGTTTGTCATTCATAGGAAAATCGAAAGCTGCCTGTGTGTGCTGAAAAAACTTCTTTATTTTACCCCATATTTAACAGTTTAACTTATAATTTCATGTTCCAACAGATGAAAGTTGTCTGCTGAAACTGTAATGACAGCATATTCTGTTACAAACAATTATACTGAAGCCAAAAAGGGCCATCAATTAACATACCACGGTACCATAGTGCTCTCCGTATAAGCTCCCATTCTAAACATGGCTGACCGACCATAGATGTTTCTAATTAAAATCATTGAGTTATTCTATGATAGACATGTGTATTTTAAAGTCAAGATGCGAGGGCTAAACACAATTCAATAAAATAGTAAATATAAGATATTTTTATTTGTACAATTTACTGGAAATAATAAGTACAGTGGTACCATAGGGGACCATCCTTCAGCACTACAGTACTGCAGTAATACTATAAAAACATTTCCTAAACTACTAAATGTGTAGTGGAATCCCCATTGTCTAAACCAGGTGTACATATATATGACGAGTTTCATTGTGACTTTCTGTTTTATTTTTGAAATATACATAGGGGTCTAATCCAGGAGATTGCCGGAATTCTTGTAGTAAAATGTGTCAATTTACCCTAAACGACCCTCAGTAATTTGATACAATATATGCAACGAAGACAAAACACCCGCAATGCGTCAAAACTATATTCCAAGAAGACGAAGTAAACACAGCAATAATTTCTCATTTATTCACACTTGAATAAATTATTTTTCAGAACAACATATGCTTTTCTCTCAAGTCTTCAATTATGTCATACAATTTCGCGACTGTCTACGTGACCCGTCTCGAATTTTGTGATATAAAAAAATTCTTTTCTAAAGTGCAGCATGAATAAAAAAAAATGACAGACAATAAACTTAACATTGTATGTTAAAATAAACAAGTGTCTCACCAAAATAATGCAGATAAAACGCTCCAAGTTTGGTTATTTCTGAAAATCCGGCTTACGTTCCCCGCTCCCACTACGAAAATTACACATAAATAAACAGCGCTACTAGTGGTGACCTCGCGAGGTCAAACTAGACTATAGTCTATTCTAAAATAAGTAATCAAATGTGTTGGCGATTAAAGATGTACACACATTTCATATTTCGGCATCTAACGAAAATTTTAAGTAGAAAATTTACAATACAGTAAATCTATTTTTTTTCTAATTACTAAATAGACTGTTTACTGTATATCCTAACTACTTCGACGCCGCACTTTCCAACATATGTTCGCGCGCTTTTCAGCATAATAGATCTATATATTTTATATATGTAGTGTATTCTTTAGAAAAAAAAACATAATTTATTTGAACATAAGACCTTTAAATTGACACATTATCTTAATTAAATGAAATCAACTTACACACATAAAGTAAAACACAATAAAATTCCAACACTTATCACTAGATTTCTCTAACAATTTTGATAGAACAATATTCCAAAATTTGCTCTATCAGTTAGTCAAAGTTTGCAACATTCTATTTTAAAGAATAAACTGTAGTCTAATAAATGTCCATGTTAAAATATGTCTAACATAATTTTTAGAGAAATATATAATAAGAAATCTATCAAAACCATCAAATATTATCACAGTACCAACAGCGCACGAAATAAAGTGCCACCATTGGTGTGCACGTGTTTATGTGTGCACGCCACCGTCGGGAACAAGCTGTGTTAAAGCAGAGACATAGATATCTATGTATCTGATTAATTAAAGAAACATTCGACCATGGTCAGATTCACCATTGATTATGTAATCTTAGTTGAATTAGAATCGACATACTGTTGACCTAAAGTGAAGTTAATTCATAATGTTGCTGTAGCCCAACAAATTGTGCTTTGACACAGGGCTTTTTATTATATAAAATTTAATGATGGTCGCTCTTCGCAAATATTTCCCGGTAAATGACTCTTTTTGAAACAAAAGTATTCTTTCCACGGTGATCTAAGTCATAATAGATACGCTGACATTAATTTGATATACATGTATATATAATCTTTCAGAACCTCACCGTCTGTACGCACCGTTGTCCGAGGTTCGAACCGTTAAAAGATGGTAGCCATATCTGCTAAATTGATAATTTACCTTCGTGCAACTTTAACAGTTTTAGCCGAAAGTACGTCACTGTATAGTGTTTAATGAGCACCTAAACGTACAGTAGCCTGTGACAATAGTGAAAGGAGTTTAGCCCTTGCGAGGACTGTCTGATGAAAGCTGTTGGTCTGCCTTTCAAGTCGTCAAAGCGTACTAGAGGTTTACGTACCCTAGTACTCTTCCTTATTGTACCTGCCTACTTTGTATGGCCACTCTACCTGGCTTCTGCCAGGACATCGGCAGCTAACTTCATACACTAAGTCGTGCTGTAGGAAAAGCATGCGAACCTGGCAGAGGGTCTTCAATCATCTTCTATACACAGTGCCTCTCCACAACGTGCACGGGTGAGAGCGTCGGAACACTGTAATCGATGTATTTCCACTGAGCTTATCAGTCAGAGTTGTTCTCGGTATATACCCTGTATACCAAATGCTTAATGCCGTTGCCACTTGTTCCCTTTTGATATTGCAAAACTTTGAACCATAAAATTAACGGTGATCAAATTTGATGGCGAATAGCTTCATCATAAAATTCACGTGGTTGACTATCTTAAAGGCCCATTAAGCCACGAAAATACTAAAATGCTACCATAATTTTCATTTTTTGATATCTTGTTACAGTTTCCGAAACGTTACTCTTTGCTCATATATTTGAACCATATTCGTTTTTTCTTTATTGGCAATTGGTATTATTATACTGATGAAGTTTCAGAACTAATTTCATTTATAACACGTTCTTAATCTATTAATTGTTTAACTCAATCAAAGTCTTTGTTTAACACATGCCTGGCCTTTCTAAAGTATTGAAATAGTATTGATATGGTAAAAAAAACACTGATATTTATACCTATGACATTTTTTTTTCATTCATATTGTGTAATTATTAAGAAAAAACAATGTTGTTTCTTTTTTAATAAGCACGATACATTATTATTATATGTTACTGATAGACTGTATCAAGTTATTTTGTATTAGAAATTCACTCGCAAGATCTGAACAGAACTAAACATATTGTTTACTAGATATTTAGAACATCGTAAAGTCACTGCCTGATTGGTAAATATAACTCAAGACACGCTGTCAGATTCCAGTTTAATTAAATCTAACTTTTTTTAAAGGCACACTATTCCTCAGATATCCATATTTCTAATTTTGTTTAGAAATGTCAAACATGTGTTGATCATGTTTTAATAATGGATTTATACCATGTTAGATATTTATTAGGTGTATAAAGTAGCAATGTGTCATAAATGTACCAAAATGAAAACAATGTAGTATTTTGACTTCCATACACATATACTAATTCACTATAATTTAACCAATAAAGAAGTAAAGACAGTTCATCTACATGGCAAATGAATATTTTTAAGCTGTGTCAAGATACCAAATATATTTAGTTTTTGTGAAATAAAAATGATCGCATTATTTTTAGACAAAATGGGCCTTTAACCCTTTACCACATATATACGCGAAACAACGCACTTTCGACCCCCCCCCCCCCCTCCCATTTTTTAGGCCTCAAATAGTGAAAAAATGTCCTATGTGGGCCCCAAACATAAGTTTTTGTTTGAGAAATGTTGCTAAAAAAAATGAGCACTTTTTCGGCGCCGCCCCCCATCCAAAAGATACATCAGGGGGTTGACAGAAGGGGGATGTGCCCCCTTCTGTTAGGGGGGTTTGAAGGGGGGCGGAGTCCCCCTCATCGCCAAGAAAATTTTGGACTTGTGAGAGGCTAAAAATGACGCGAGGTCGATCATAATGTAACGTTTAACCAACGCTGAAAAGCCTTTGACTCTATCTCAATCCCTTGAGAAGTTGCAGCACTTTGAAATAAATTTTGATGGAAAAAATCGAGGCAAAATAGTGATTTTTGGCAATTTGGAGATGTCCCCTCGTTGCCATGGTTACAGGAAATTTAAGACTGAGCATGTCGTTACAAAGGCAATGGTCCAGTCAACATTTGTGCCAAGTTTGATAAGTATTGAAGCATTTTTCATAGTTTCATAGCAGTTTGAACTTGTAACAGGAGGCTTTTCAGTGAAAATGGCCATTTTTCAAAATATGCTCATGGGGGAAAGGGTTAACTAAAAAAAATATAAATGTTACAAAACAACAATTTTTCACCAAAATTAGGTGAAAGACCACATGTTAACATGGAAAAACTAGTTTTTAGGTGATTCCAAAGTTTTTCATCATTTTTTGTTAATATGCGCTATTTTAGGTAATTTTGGTAGTGAGAGCGGGAAACGTAAGCTGGATTTTCAAATATACAATGACGTGCTTTTGGCTCAAAATTTATTGGCTATAAGACTTGAAATCATACTTATAATATTCATTGTTAAGGAAATACTTAGATTTCTTAGATTTTGTTAATTTATCCAATGATATTTATACTTAGAGTAGATTATCTGTCGAATCCCACGCAAGGACGTAGACAAACGGTCGGCGCGTTCAGCCGCAAAGAAAAGTAAATATTCGAAATGACAGAAGACTTATATAGTGTGAAATGAGCTCAGCATGTCGGAAGACTCTCCCTAATGTGCTGAGATGACCCTCTATGGGGATGACGACTAACATTATAGTGAGTTAATTTGTACATATATGTACAATCTTTGTCATTAAGACGATCTAAAGTCTACAACAGTCCCTAAAGTCGACACCAGTTGAGAGGTAACAGTGAATGGGGGTCCAAAGTCAGATTTGATCCAACTCGCAGATCTTTAATCTGATATATTATTTTATTTTATATTGCATTATGTTATATCAAATCATATCATATCATATTATATCACAGCTTTGTGTTTTTGGGACCATGCAAATATCAGATGCATAATTATACTAGTTGTGGTCGCACAAAAAAAAAAACATATGTACGTGTCATTGCTTTATGGGGTTCTTAGTATCACTTAAATGAACTGCGGAATAAACGAATTCTTGATTTGACTTAAGGAAGAGGGGGGGGTGTAGTTTCGTTGTATTTGGTAGTGACAGTATTGTCAGTTTCATTTGGTTCGTTTATTTCTTCTAGGTATTGTTGATGATCCACCTTATTTCTCCTTTTAACGTCTAAGAATGATTAATTTGCGGGGTATAATGATTTTTTGGTCGTTCTTTTTTAAGGCTCTCTTAGGAGCCTTTAATGCTGTTTGTTATTCCGAGGTTATTTTTGTAAGTATAAATTAATCACTGAGTTCATTTTTATTCACAAGTAAATGCACTTTGATTGAGAAATTTAATCATTGTGTGTTAAGTTTAGAGCATATATACTCCTGAAGAGTGTCTTGACAGATAATGTTGTAGACTGTCTTATTCTCCATTTTTGTAAAAAGAGATTTTTCGATTCATTTGGTAACTAATTTTGACCACTGGGTCTTTTATATCTATATTTATATAAAGAAATGAAAGAAATTAAAACTCTCTTCACCCCCCCCCCCCCCCCCCCCCCTAAAAAAAGAGGAGTATAATTGTAGGAGGAGTTTTACCCAGAAAATTGTCCACAGCAGGGTTTGAAACTACTATCTTATACCCCGGTCACATATTCACGGAAAACGGCCACGGAAGAGCCACGGATAAATTCCGGCATCGTCCGTAGCTACCCGTACTGGTCAGTAGCTCTCCGTATTGTAACCGTAATCAATCGTAGTAGTCCTTGTATATCCGTAGCGATCCTTGACAATTTTTGAACATGCACAAAAATTTGCTACGGAAAAATCAACCGTAGCGTATCCCTACTAGTCCGTATTAATCCGTACTGATACGTACTGGTCCGTACGAAAACCGTATTAGGCCGCTATTCCATTTATACGTGATCAGTGGTCCGCGTCAGTGATCCGTGTCCGGGCATGTCCGTGGGTATTATTCCATAGGTACGTTATTTTCTATATACTTTTAATTGAAGTATAGCGAACAGAGGATAATTATTTGTAGAATATGATATAATTTCATTCTAATACCAAAAACAGTTGTAACATCAAAGAATTAGGTAACAAACATTGAATATCAGTTAGGTTTTCAAATAACATCTCTTTAGCAACCGATGACCAGATGTTGTTTTTTTTTAATCTGTCATTGCTGCATCATAAACTTATATGTTCTCCTACACTATTTTGGTGACTTCTTTAGTATTTTCTTTCGAAATCGATAAAGTATTTAATTTCGTTCGAGGCATTTTGTAGGGATGAGACATGTCAGTGACTGTCCGCGTCCGTAAAAAATCGCTCATCCTGCGAAACGTCGCGGATGCCGTCGCGGAAGCGGATGGTAAACGGACAAAAGGAATAGATTCAACGTATTCTTTGATTAGCGAATCGGTAACGGATGCGGATGACGGACGCGGACCACTGATCACGTATAAATGGAATAGCGGCCTTAGTCCGTACTGATTCGTAGTCCACCAACTTGTCAAGGATTTCCACGGTTTGGTACGGAGAACTACGTATTTGTACGGTTACCCTACGTATAAGCTACGGTTTTAATACGGATTAATACGGCATTGTCACGGAAAGCCACGATCGTAATACGTTGTACTACGGAGAGGCAATGATTAGCACGGTCTTATACGGTTTATTGCGTTGCAACACGGAATGGTACGGCCCACCACTGTTTAGAACGGATAAATTAAGTATCATGTACTTTTTTAAGGGTATAAATACTACCTTCTTGTTAATAACAGACATATTTGCGGTAACATTTAATAAATGATAATTGCTTTTTACTGGCTGCAACTTTATATTGAAATGGCTCAGAATGCGGAGGCAGTGGTCGAGCTGCTTGATGACATGCATAGAAGTAAATTTATATTAAAATCGTACTACAATTTATAAGTAATAGAATAACATTTAATGCTACATATTTTACAAACATTGGATCGTGAAATTGGAGTAAATATGTACATAAAACGAAGTGTCTCATAAGCCTCGGACGCTGGCCCTTCAGTGATAATAAGATTTATTAACAACCTTTTTACATATTTTTAAAACATAAACATCACGATAATTAATGTAATTGTAAGATGAACAGCAAATCTTAAAATTAAAAGAGAAGCAGTATTGATCAACATTTTTCATTAATGATTACTAGTCCATATCTAATCAGGTAAGAGAAGACAGACGAGATGGTGGACAAGAGATGGGCTTTTACGAAGACCGCTTTATTTTTAGTATGAGGCTCTCATGGCCGAACTTGTTGAGGATCCAGCGTCCTTTAAGAAATTCATTTTAATTGGACCTGATGTGTCTCGGGGGTCGGACGCGATTAGGCTGAATCCTCCCCGCCAAAATCATTGAACTCTGCAATTCGTTTTCTATGTGTTCTTTTCTTTTTAGGCATTTTGAAAATGAGCAAGCAAGAGGTTGTGGACGGATGTATTAGGTACGTATAGATCCGTGGCAATTCGTTCTTCTCCGTATCAATACGTTCTTCTCCGTATCAGACCGTACTTATTCGTACTAACCCGTGCTTATACCGTAGCAGACCGTAGTGTATCCGTAGTGCGTCCGTCCTGATTCGAGTCGCTCCGTATCAAACCGTGTCGGTCCGTCACAATCCGTGTCTCTCCGGGGGCTTTTGGTGGTAAATCCGTCGGACTCCGTACTCATACCGTTGTGTGTCCGTACCTGAACCGTAGCGGACCACGGAATTTCACATTTCCGTAGTGATCCGTGAGCGATTAGACCGTAGCTCTTCCGTGGCATTATCCGTGAATATGTGACCGGGGCATTAGCATTGAGAGTGAGGCACCTTGATGAATAGGTCAGTGTTTCACTTCAAAAACTTTATGTCGTTATTTATGCATGTTTGAGAAATTGGCATTATATTAAAACTGTTTTTAGGTCTTTATGTTTTATTGGGAGAATTAGAAAAGCAAAACACATACATTGTGTATTATATTATGTTTCTTTATATATAATTTTCTTTGATATTTTAGACACAAATAGTTTTTCCTGCTGAAATCAGGACAACCGTGATCTGTAATCTATATACATACAGTAAGGCTTCAAAAGTTGTCTACGCATGTGTATATTGCTGATAAATAGAGGTCATAGAGGCATTAATTTTTCTGTACTTTACGACAATGAATAATTACTGCAGTGGTAAAATTTATAGAGAAAAGTAGGTAAAGAGATGCATATATAAAGAATGAAAATCTTCGTCACTCAACCCCCCCCCCTTAAAAACACGAAAAAGAGAAGGTGAGAGAAGGAGGACAAGAGTAGGAGGAGTTTTACGTTTTACACAGAAAATTGTTCACGCCCCGACATTTTCACCAATCGATAGACACCTAGAGAATTTAATCAAACAAATTATCGACATGTGTATATACAATTAAATGTATAGGCAAGATCTCCGCCCGCCGTAATTCAGTTTCTAATTCTGCTCCAGACGTCGAATTATTTTGAATAGATATGGTATAAGGAACTGCATTTCCTTTAATAAAAGAGCATAATATGGAAATTAAAGATGTATAATTAAGGCTCTGTGTATTTTTCCTACAATGTACATTTGTGAATTTAAATTAATAAACATATAATTTTATGGAATTCGTTTTCCTTTGATACAATATCAAAATACGGACATTATAATAAAATGGACTGTATTTCCTTTTATGACATATATAAGGGAATGTATATCCCTTGATACAAAGTCATAAAATACTCGTACACACAAATCTGCATTTTCTTTGGCGAGGTTCTTTTTCACACCTTTTTTTTTTCAAATAGCCTCCCCATCCATCCTCAGAAAATAGATTGATAAGGGGCTGGTTTCCTTTGTCGGAATGTCCTTAGACAGGACGTTCACTTAGTTACAAACACATGGATAATCTATGTCTGATTAAAGGGACATCTTGTTACTAGAATGTCTGATGAGAACAGACACCACAATCGTGTTATTCGAGACATAATGGACCTTTAAAGTACCTTTTGTTTGCGATATGTGGTAAAATAATTCTACCTAAAATTTTGATACATTCTAATATTAAATATATATAAATGTATAAAGTTTGATTTCAAAACAAATTTCAACTTTTATTAACTAGTACTTTTCCCTCGATTCATTGACCTAACCAGTGTTTGTGTCACATGAGAAAACATGGTCCTGGCGCGAACAGAGTTTGAGCCTACAATCTTAGCATTGAGAGTGAGGCACCTTTGAATAAAAATAGGCCAGGCTTCACTTCAAAATCTGTATGTCATTATACATGTGTTTTTTAAAATGGCATTATATTTAAAACTGTTTTATTGGGAGAATTAGAAAAGCAACACACATAATTATCATGATATGCTTCCTTATATATATTTTTCTTTGATAAATCAGACACAAAACCAGGACAACTGTGATTTGTATCTATGTACAGTAAGGTTTCAAAAGTTGTCTTCGCATGTTCATATGATTGTTAAAGAGAGATAACTCTAACGGTCATATATATATTTGATATTTCAGCTATTGAGACATTAATTTTTTCACCTGAATGAGAATAAGACAGCCCTCGTCTCGCCCACGTGCTGTTATTTTCAGCAGTAAATGTACACAACTACGCACGTGACATTAAATTTGTCGTAAGCGTCCGTTTTTTGACAATTTAGTAGGAACCAAAAGTCTTGTCAATTACTATTCTCTCCCTTTAAACGATACTTGATTATGAAATGCCTCCTCGGGTATATGCACTTCTGACGTTGTTATGAAGGACGCAATTTTTGGGAAAAAAAGCCATTGTACCGGTAAGAGAGGAGTTCGTGTAAATTGTTCCGGACATTACATGTATTAAGTACGTGAATGGAACCATCGACATATCATAAGTTAGCTTGACATAAGATTCTTCATAATTATAACAAGTCATACACAGACGGTCAGGCAATGCGTGTTCCTACTGGCTGTTATGGGTAGCAATTGACGCATTAGGCCCAAATTCTCTACAGGTAACATTGGGTATGGGGATTTGTCACTAAACTGTATTTCGTACGGGAATGAAACCAACGACCAATGGGTCTGTAGATCTCGGCACAAAATATTTTGTCAAACTGGACCGAGCAAATAATGTTGTTGCAACATGTCCATTCAACATGTCCATACACCATGTCCATACAGCAACCCCATGCATGTTCTGTGGTAGAAAGTAATTACATCCATGGTGGTTTTTTTTTTGTTTTATCGATTAATATATTGTAATATCTTAATGTACACGTATCATTTAAAAGCTGTTTCATTTAAATATGAATGCTATAATTAATTCATTGTAACTGCTTGCATATATTCATCAAAACATGTTCTTTTTTTCGGATTTCATTGCTTGTGTTGAAACCTTTAGACTTATTTTATTTCATGAAGTTGGGTAACTCTGGATTGACTTTTGTTGGATACAGACACCTGATGATTTTCATGCTCTCTACAGTGCCTAGAGTTTAGGGTATCTGATTCTCAAACCAGGATTAGTCCGTTACAGCCCTTAAGGAGGCACTACAATATTTGCAATAAACCACCGGCACGAGTTAGCTAAATATTGCTTTAATTAACAACTATTCTTGTGGGGGCAAAGTGAGGCCCACATTTAATCCCAACACTGCTTAAATTAACAGATATTTCAGTGGAGACAAAGTGAGGCCCACATTTCATCCAAATATTGCTTAAACTACCAGCTTATTAATTGTGGGCAAAGTAAGGCCCACAATTTATACAAATTTTGCTTAAAGTAACATCTATTTCAGTAGGGACAAAGTGAGTTCCATATTTTTCCAAATTTTGTTCAAATTAACTAGCAAATTTAATGGCACAACGTTAGGCCCACACTTTTACCAAGTATTGCTTTAATTAACTAGCTAACTTAATGGGTTAATGTAACTACTTATTTAATGGGACAAAATAAGGCTCATCTATCTCACGTTCTTTTAAATTCTGTGTTAACAACTTAAATCCAAATAACTTCTCCACGTTGACTTTTTTTCCTTAGGAGAAGTTGATATTAGCTTGCTGAGAATAAATGGTTTGTATTGTATGGACAAAATAACTTCAAAAATATATCTTTATTAAATGATTTTGAAATATCTGACGTGTACATAATTATTCTGTTTTATTATTTTATTGTCAATATTCTCCAAACCAATTTCAGATATCCAAACATATGTTAGATATCTATGAATTTAAATGATGTTCTGTCATCTTTTTTATATCTATTTCATATTCACAAACAGAGTAACATATTGTATATAAGTTCTTGTTTTGTATGTTTCAACATCACACTATAAGTTAACACTTCAGCGTGGCAAGTTTCATTTGATTACTAGTATCGAAACAACCAGGAGTAACAATGAAATCTTCAATGCTCATATGTTTAGCGATGGGTGTTTGTTTTCTGGGGACACTGATGGTTGTGTCGGCTGATCCACCATGTTTAACTTATGATGATTTCAACGCTACCATGACAGAGATACTAAACAAACTCTGTACTTTGGAGGAATATCTCTTAGAAGGTAATAAATAATACGATATCTGTTTGATCTATATTCTTATCTGTTCATTTACTTTTCTCTTCTTTAAAAAAATAGGATAGACACAACTCCTTGTTAGTCTGTGCGTTTTCTACCTATAAAGGTGATGTTTTTATTTTGGCAAAGTTGAAGGCCGGTGATTAATGTTCTACAAATATAAATTTTGCAAAACTCAAAATTTATGCAATGATCATTTTAAACGTCTCATCTGTTACTTTTTTGTTCGTGTATGGAGAAAGTAACAAAGTAAAACTCTCTCATTCTGCATTTTATTTGAAAGATCTTGGAACTAAGTTTTGGATTAATATCATTTTTTTTTAAGAATCAATTTTATAATTGCGCTTTTGTTGTATTTTTGTGACGTGGCAGCCTACAGTTTGAACATCTCGATTAATTATGTCTGGAAAAAAAGTTTATAGAAAATTTTATATAAAATGCAGTAAATAATTTATTATTATATATAAATGGTTATTTTTATTTCTTAAACAATCCTGCATTTTTTAACGTCAAAATTAAAAATGTTCATTGGAAAGAGTTCAGGGGAAGGGGTTATTATAGATTAATTTATATCAATTATGTACTTAATTCAATGTATTAAACTTTCCACGATGTTATGAGAAGACATTGATAATGACGATTTTATTTACTGCAATAAAAATTAAAAACAGGAGAAAAATATTGATAATGAAAAAAGAAGGCCGTAGTCAAATTTTGGCAATATATGTTTTGGTTAAAATTCATTACTTCTGAAGCTATTTTGCCCTTAATATATTTTTATTTACAGTCAGGTATCCAGGTGTCTTCGTCGATTTCCGTATCAACGTATTAAATACTTTAAGAGCGGTTAGTTGAAATTATCAAAATAATTGCTCATATTCAGGCGGATGATAAGTTTGGCGTAAAAAATACGGAAAATATCGAAATATGCCGAATTTTCAGGAGCACATGATATACATGTTCGCTTGCTATATTGATCTTATATGATGTTATTTCTTTTACACAGAGGGCATTATGGTTGTCCCTAAAAAGACTGGACAAGGTAGAAAATGAAAATGATGCAGTGGATACAAATACACACGTACCCGAAAAGAACAAATCAGAAATGTACTTGATTGTTTGATTTCAATAAAGAGAATTTCAAAATTTTATTGTAGTTTGTTATACTTTACATTGAAATAAATGTATAAAAATTATAACCAGATGCATCAAAGTAGATTCATTTGAGTCAATGATTTGCAAATGTTTGGTAAGCACCGCTATACGGCGAGGAGGGTATGAAACCGTTTGTGGGTCTATGCCACACAATATCTCCATCCCTTATTATTATCATTATTATCATTATTATTATTATTATTATTATTATTATTATTATTATTATTATTATTATTATTATTATACATCGTTATAAAAATCTTAGAGGAGGATCGAATCATGTCATCTTCAAAATATACGGACACATAGAATTTGATTACGTATTTAAGAAAAATTTAGAAAAAGAAAAAAAAGACTAGAGAGCGGTATAAATATATAGAAAAGTTATCTTCTTTTATTACATACAAATTTTGCTAAAAACTATTTTGAAAGAAATAAAAGAAAAATACAGTGATCTTTTCGGCTGTTGAAATAAGCTTGGTCCTTGTCATATCAAAAATAAATAAATAAATAAATGACGGGAGATTGAAGAAGGTGTGTGAGTTACCCTGAAAAATACCACTGACCCCGTTTCGAAAGATGATAATTTGATTTTACTCTATAAAGAAAAGTCAATTTACACAGTTTTTTCTTTCCGGCACCCTTAACCTTCTTCCCCAACTCCGATATCCCCCCCCCATATATCCAGTCAATATCCTGTGCAACGAAAACCTCTACCGAAAGCTAAAGTTATTTAGTGGTGTTCGACATTCATCATCATATCATGATAAAACCAACATAATGCGTTTGCGACCAGCATGGATCCAGACCAGCCTGCGCATCTGGGCAGTCTGATCAGGATCCATGCTGTTCGCTAAACCAAACCTATTACAAGTAGAGAAACTGATAGCGAACAACATGGATCCTGATCAGACTGCGCGGATGCGCAGGCTGGTCTGGATCCATGCTGGTCGAAAACGCACTATGTTGATTTTGTCGTGACGCGGCTCATATGTTTTAATATTAATGTTTTTTACAAACACATTAAGTCTCAGAAACGGTTTTCCCCCACTTATTTAGTAGTTATAAAACGTAATAATAACAATAGTGTCAGAGCATAATGGTTTCTGTTCACCTGAAGAAAGTAGCTTTAAATGTCATTAAAGTAGCAAAATGTCAACAATTCAAGTAGTGTTATATTCCAATACAAAATACTAAATCACTATGACTATGCTAACAGCCAAAAATCAATTGAAGAAATAGATCATGGTTTATGTGACCAATTAGTTACGTTTTGGAAACTGTTAACAGAACACGAAAAATTATAAATAAAAAAGCTTTTTTTTTAATTTTTCGCAATCACTAAATATACATATATGGCTATATTGCATTTATTAATACATGTACATACATTAACTCTTAAACACATGTGCTTAACAAGTTTCATCATCCATAACTAATGAAAAATGATTCAAGCTGTTATGTACATGCAATATCTGCCATATGTGATTCAGATTGGATTATCCATGTCTAGAAGACCCGCCCATTGGGCGGTAACGAGTCATGCTGAGTTACCGCCCATGGATGAGCTATGTCAGATATTTTTTCTTGCATGTTTCTGCCATATTCCATCATGAAATTACAACTTCATTTATAAAGGCGAAATAACGTCATCTTTATCATGTCATTGTATAGCACGCGACTCATCTGGCACCCCGCCCCCATGCAAGATGAAATTTCTGGGTAAAAGTAACTGAAACACCAGTCTGATAGGCAGGAAATTGAAATTTAAACACTAAATGACATATACAAGTGAATTATCAATCGGAACACCTCGGGCGACTTCAAGAATTCGCTTGCCGAGTGAATTATTTATCGAACACGCCTTTGAGAGTTACCTCCCCTTTTACAAACCCAACAGAGGCTTTTAAACGCATCTACGATAATCATGAATACGACTAGAACCCCGGTTCCCCGCTCTCAGGAAAGGGTGGAGGATAGCGTGGAAAAAACTCAGTTAGCCGAGGTTTAAGTTCCTGGTTAATTCGGGCCAAACATGGCCAGGGATATTTCACAATAGCTATGCTGGTCTTTTAGCAAGGATTTTACCATCTGTATGTCTCGGCAAATGCAGGTTTGATCCAAATCCAAGTCCTTGCTAGAGGGTGAAAGGACCGTGGTTACTGTTGAATTATGTATAAAATATCCATTCCATCTTCCTCCGAGACATTGAAATCTTTTCTTTATTTTTCATGTCGATGGCGAATTTTAACGGCTTTAAAAGGCTCATCCTTTCATGTAGCATAATTATGGTTTTCAGTAATTACGACGATTATTATTATTTTTTTTTGTCCTCAATTGGACAAAGAAATTTTAAGGTGGTTTGTTCATATAAACAATACTACAACAAGAACCTTAAACACATGTTTTTCATCCTTTATTTAATGTAAGAAATTACCATAAGATTTAACACATAAAACGAAATTTCAGATTATTTTTTTCATTCATTGTATAAAATTTTAGAAACGATTTTAAGCAAATTAGAAAATCAGTGTTCATCATTGTCGATACCATATCATATCATCATATCATGTCAAACCATGTCGTGTCGTATCGTATCGTTTCATATCATATCATGTCATATTATATCATATCATGTCATATCATATCATGTAATGCTATATCTAACATATCATGCCATACCATACCATATATCATATCATTTTTAGTTATGTCATACCATGTCATACCATACCAGCCTGACAGCTGAAGTCCATATTTCAAAGTCTGAGACAGCAGTAACCACTGCAATGAAGAACCTCTTCTTTTTATCGGATCATAACCTTCCAAATATGCTCATCTCAGACTTTAACAACCATTGCATTGACCAGGTAAATTACTAGTACCTTCTATCACATTTTATGTTCTTTTTTATATTTTACATCACACCACCTTCATGCGCAATTGAGTCAAGGAGAGCAACTGACATTCCGTAAGCTCACTGGATAGATTCTTTACATGAATGCGTACATCCCCTGGCAGGATTCGAACCTGTGAACTTTATATTTACCAAATATTGAAATAAGATTTTTTATCCTCATTTATTCAAGAAACAAACTGCTAGAAAACACAAGACAATACACAATGAAAGCTACTGAAATTTTGAAATAATATGAATAATGCTTTATAGAAAATCAGGCTATAGTTTTCACCATTTTCAGTGTCGTTCAAGGCTAAAGTCACTGAAAGTTGACAAGCACACAAACTACGAACACAGCACAAGTGTTCAAGAAATGCTGCAGTGCATGGTCGACGTTATAAATGATGACTTCCTCTTAATATAATTTAAGTAAGTATAATTGTGATTTACACATCTGTTTATATAAAATGCATATTTTTACTTCTTTTAAAGTCTTAGTACATTTTTCTAAAGGTTGATTTTGTTGAAATATTTTGGCTTTATCTGGAGGCATGCAGCTTAAGTGATAAGAATTATTGTATCATGGTTGATGAGTCGACAAACGTATCTGTGGACCAAAAAATGATAATATATGTGAAATACATTGAACAGGTTCTAGGTTCCTTCTAACCAAAACGTGTTCTGTTAGACATATGTAAGTTAAATGATAGAGCAACAGCAGACAAACTACAAAAGACAGTGCTAGATTCTTTAAAGGAAAAGAATTTGATATTGAACAATCTTGTTGATATAAGCATTGATGGTGCTGCAGTAATGACTGGGCGAAAGAGAGGTCTGGTACAACGGTTGAACTCAGATGTGCCAATACTCCTGAGCACACATTGTATTGCCCATCGCCTCTTACTGGCCAGTGGTGGGGCTGCTGATACAGTGCTTTATTTACTTAAGTACCAGGAACTTATAAACTCTTTGATAAATCCCCAAGGAACATGGTAAGGTTAGAGAAAGTACAAGAAGTGTTAAGTAAGGGCAGCTCTTGTGTCCGTTTTAAACACTCTGGTTGTCATTTGAAGGTAGTGTTAGGGCTATATGTGAAAATTATGATGCTCTTTTAAGTGTACTGTCTGAAAATAAGGGAGCTAAGGCTGAAGGTATCCGACAGAGTGTGTCCTGTTTTAAGTTCTTATACACCTCACACTTTCTGGCAGATGTCTTGAAGCAATTAAGCATCCTATGCAAAACATTTCAGGCAAGTACTATTGATTTCACCAGTGTTTCATCCTGTCTGGAAGTCACTGATGGTGAAATTTCTAAACTTACAGAGTCAAAGCAAGGAAAAATACTTCTGCCCCAGAAAAAGTGGACACTTCAAGTGAAATTTGAGAACAAGGGTCATGTGATAAAAGGGATAGTTAGAAACAGAGGAAGAAGGCTGGGAGTGCATGTGAAATGTTTGCGGAAGGCGGGTGATTGTCAATCTTGAGGAGAGGTTTTCAGATGCAGGTGGTAGAAAGATTTTGAGAGCTTTTTGTAGTATGTTTGATCCAGCTATTTTTTTGTAGAGAGAATGAGGTGTTAGAAGAGTATGTTCAGAGTGCCAGTGAATATATAAGAGAAGATGATTTAAGGGTGAGATTATGTCAAGCTATGCAAGGGAGGCAATAGATGTGAATAGTGTGTGTCAGTTGGCCCTTAGAAAAAAAGATGCATAGCCTTGTGTGGCTGATGTGACTTATAGGCTTTCGTGCATCAAAGTCTCTAGTGTAGAATTCAGTGTCCAGAATTTGATAAAAACTAAATTTAGAAACAGGCTTTACACAAAGTCATTGTATTTGTTAATGAAGCTTCAGATTGATGGTGACACTCAAAAGTCATTTGATTTTTCAGCATCATATTCTAAATGGAAGAACATGAAATCTAGAAGAATATGTGGCTATTAAAAAAAAAGAATCATGTTCATCTGTTTAAAACATGATGTATCAAAATCAAAAAGTAGGAGCCACACTTCATTCAGATGCTTCATCCCTGAATAATGTTGAATGCCTCCTTGTGTAAATTTGCCTGTTTTTATTGTTACACACTTGCCAAATAATACTA